ATTACCGAATCAATGGAGAACTTGATGCGCCGAATAGACAAAATTGCCTCTCTCTCTTCTTTAGTGAAGATATTATTCGACCCAAAGGTGGAGGTCTCAGCCTGAATTAAGGAATCATCTAACTGATTGGCCGAGTCATTCACGGGTTTAAGAGGATTAGAAACCCTAGGGGGAGGAACCCTAACGAGAGTACGGGAAGATGAAGGCGTGGATTCAGAATCTACAATTTCTACGTGGTCATGAGTAGTTGAAGTGCTCATGATGCAAGATCGAAAAGAAGATGAAGAACTAACCTGGTGATACGACGAGATGAAGAGCGTAGTGAACGAAATGAGCGCAGTGAAGGCAAAAACAAATCTTAAGGAAGCTCTTGAGTCAGAATAACAATAGACACTCCTTGAACCGTCTCTTGCAAAAGCGGCAACCGTGCAAATTCAATTTCTTTTTAATTAAAAGCCGTAGTCCAATTAAAGAGGGATTGGGAGTAAAGTGTGGAGGGAAAAATCCCCCTCCAACGAAGGTCATCCACATGGCTCTAATTGAAGCTTTGTTTTTATTTTCTTAATGGGTTGTAAGAATCCATCCCTATTCAAGCCCGAATAAAGTCGTCAACAGCCCAGGGTTGCTAATATTGAACTTCCAGCCCATTGGCTGAGTTATCTGGACAAGCTACATTCAGCCTAACTTCATTTAAAGATGGACCAGTCCTACTAGACAAAGGATTCAACAAAGAAGGTGTAAGGAAAATTTGGCATGGAAAGAATTGTAAAAAGGAAATAATTCTAATTGTAAAGAATGTTGTATATAGAATGAATTGGAGGACAAGCAAAGTGAGTCCTACCATAATTCCACCACCTTGTTTCATATAAATAGAAGCCTAGACCTCCAATAAAACCATCGAGTAATTTACGCTTTTCTCTGAGTATTAAAATTGCTTGTTTTGAGTGAGTTATATTCTTCTTTTTATTTCTTTTAATAGAGAGAAATTTTGCACCTACAATCATATTAATAAAACTTCGATTGAAGATAGTAGTCACACTATAGAGTAAAATAAAATTTGCAAATCTTTTGTGTAAGGCCACCTTAACAATGTAGGATTCATCAAGATTAAGAAAGGATGGACTGAGGAATTCGTCTCAGTATTAAATAAGATAAAATAAAATTTTATTTTCCAGCTAATAGTGTATCTAGACAACAAGTCCAAAAATAGTAGTGTAGTGATTGTGCAGTAATCAAAATTTATATAATATTTAATCATTAAAAAAAAATTGGTGTAAATAATTCGGGAACACAAAATAAGGACATTTAAGGTCCTTTTGGTCTTTTTTGCATTTTTTATTTCATATGAAACAGTAACAATAATGATTTATAATAATAATAATTATTTTTTGGGATGTGATTTATTTCGAAACAAATAACTAATTTGTTGCAAAATATTTTATAAAATAATATTTGAGTTTTTGGAATCGACGGCCCTTTAAATTGAGCTTACCTCATATACCCGCAAAACCGTTTAACAAACGACCTTCGCACCTATTTTCATCTCGTTTAAATTCCTAATCATTTTTTTTTTCTTTAATCTTTCCACTAAAGTTTCAAAAATTCATTTAAAAAATATAAACTTAATAAACATCCTTTCAAATTTTACACAATTGTATCAAATTAACCAAATAAACAATAGCATTCTTCCAAGCTATATATAGTTAAGAATGTTTTTATATAAAATATAAAGGGTTAAGTATCTAAAACACCCTTAAAGTTTACTTTTTGAGCAAATAATACTTCTCTTTTACTTTTGGTATATAACTCCCTCAAGAATGTAAAAATATTGTAAAAAGGACTTTTTAGTTATTACCATTAAAAAACCGTGTGAGATTATAATAACGAAAATATCCCTTAATTTAAATTTAAGTAAATGGTGCCCTTTAATATAATATTAAAATTAATACAAATAACTCATCCACCATAGTGTTATTAAAATTTATTTTTGAAAAAAAATAATTAATGGCGCGTTTATAAGAAAACAAAAATTCCTTGCAACAATTTTTAAAATTTTATTAAATTTTTACTATTTTAAAGTTAAAAAAGAAAATAAAACTTAAATTGAAAATCATTTTAAAGAAAATTTAAATTTTCTTAAATTTATATTAAGGGACATTTTTATCATTAATATATATATATATTCCTAGTTGGTACTCACACATACTTATCTCTTCTGAGACTTGAACCCCTGACCTCACTTTGGGAAATAAGAGGCTGATACCGCTAAGCCACTGGCCCGTTGGTTTTATCATTATAATATCAGTTTGCAACAATTATATACTTCTAAAGGGTTTTTGATGAAATTGTTTGTAAGGAGTTTTGTGCCAAAAAATAAAAGTGTGAGAGGAATTTTATGTAATTTGCCCTAAAATAAAACTCATTATCTCATCAGTAAGGGTGACAAAGTTTTACACGACTTGCCAACACGACTCAAACACGATAAGAGTTAAACGGGTATGGGTTGACCTTAAACGGGTTCGGGTCATAAATAAGTCGACACGATTAACCCATTTGGTTAATTGTGTCGTGTTTAAGTTGAGGGGTTTAACCTGTGTAACCCGTTTGCGGGGGCGAAGCTCCCTATGGGCTAACCTGGTAGCCCAGGTCTAAAATAATAATAATAATAATAATTAGTACTATTATTTCCATTAGCCATAGTCCAGCCTAAGTTGCCCAATCTATAATAAAAACATAAATGATAAATGGTCCAACCCAAAAAACAAGCCTACAAACAAATTAGAACTAGAAAATTAAAGAAAACCAAGGGACTATTTGGTGTGGTATTGTTGTTGGTGTTTTCATCTTCTCTACTTTGAAATTTTTTTTTTTCCCAGTAAATTCTCTGCTTGAATTTTTTCTTTAGCCCCCCTATTTTAAAATCCTTGCTCCGCCTCTACCCATTTATACCCGTTTAACTATACGTGTCATAAACAAATTTTTATTTAAATTCTAAAATAATTATCTAAACTTGTATCTTATAATTTATTCTTTTGTAAATTAGAAATTATTTAGTAATTTGATTGGATTTAAACTTATATTTTTCTAGTATTTAATGTTTGATAGAGTATTATTAATAATTTAAATAATAAAATATTTAATTTTATTAAATAGGTCATTAAACGGGTTATACGACAGGTCGAGTTAGTGTTGAAGGTTCCTGAAACGATTATTAAACGGATAGTGTTCGAATTGAACTGTTTAATAGAATACCCTTACATTGGAGGTGGCAATTTGTATTCGTGGATTGTGTTCGTGTCGTGTCGATATAAGAGTATTATACTAAATAGGTAAATCCGAACACAACCCATTTAATAATCGTATCAGGATTCATCAACACTAACTCAACCCGTTTATTAAACAGGTAATTAAACGTGTTAACCCGTTTAATGACCTATTTATCAAAACGAGACATTTAATATTTAATCAAATACAAAATAATAGAAAAAATTTGTCATAATTAACCCAAATATTCAAAATAAAAAGAAAAATCATAATGTATAGATAAAATTTATGTTGAAATAACTTAACTATTCATAGTAATTGAGTTTAAAGAGGTAATATATATATAAGTCATATTCACGATTATAACATGTTGAGTTAAATGGATCATAAACGGGTTACACGGGTTGAACCCCTTAACGATAACTCGACACGATTAAGTTAACAGATTAATCATGTCGATTATTTTATGACTTAAACTCATTTATATTTAACCTAAATTCTTTTAACTCATATTATATTCGTATTGTGTTATTGTGTCGTGTCATAATTTATCATTTCTATCTTACATCGACACGACACGATTATCATGAACGAAGACGAATTGTCATTTGCCACCGGTGCTCATCAGTACATGAAGACGAATTGTCATTTGCCACCGGTGCTCATCAGTACATGTCGCCATGGCACCGAATGAAACGAACCCATATCACAAATGAAAGAAACAATTCAAGAGATGTGTACAAACAGTAGGACCCACGTACCACTAAAAATAATTGATATTTTCACTTGTGAATTTTAAGTATGTTCCCTATAGATAAGACTTAAAGAGGTCCATTAACCTTCGTGAAGCCCTCCTGGCCACGTATTTGCCAGTGTCAAAACAAATACTGTTTGAGGATCGACATCATTTTTTTTTGGGTCGATTTAAGACTCTCCCAAATCTATTATTAGCAAACATAAATTTGGAGTCACTCGAATGATGTTCAGTAACAATCCTCAGGTATTATGGCGCACCAAAGATAAGGCTTCATATGTGACATTATATATAATAAAGTATATACTAAAACTAGGGGCGGGTTTGGTACAAGCCCCTTCTCCTATAGTTCCCTCTGTGTCCAAAACCGTTTAGCAATTCAATCTATGAATCTGTTTTTGTATCCATTAATTAACTTCGTTTAAATATAATTAACCAATTGAAAATTAAGATTTGTTCATTTATGAATGCAATCACAAAATTTCCTATCAAAATGATGGCAAAATATTTGCAGATGATTTAATTTTTAATTTTTAATATTGAAATATAATATGTTTTCTTTAGAATAGTTATACAAGTGATGAAAAAAGAAAAAAGAAAAAAGAAAAACCCAAAACAAAATTATTTAAATTTAAAAAGTACCAGTATGAGACGTCACATAAAATAAAAAGTTGAATTTGGAATCTAGTGAATCCACCGTTTTTTTAAAGTTGAATTGGTAAAGCTTAGTGAATCCACCGTTGTAAAATCAGCTGCATTCTGAGATAAGCAATTTTTATATATTTACAAAATGGTCCCTGGACAAGTTTACCATTATGGATTTTACAGTGGTTTTTGTGCGAGCTCATCCCATCTTTGAGACCCCTATAAATACCCATGCAATGTCTCTACATTTCTATCAATTCATTCTCTCTTCTTTTCTCTGCTTTCCATATATTTGGTGAGTCTTAGTAGCTAACTAGCTAGGGTTTATATATATACAATGGAGGGTGATAAGAGTTCAAGCTCTTTCCACACTAGTGAAACAGCACAAGAGAAGGGTCTGTCATACGTCCTCAAGTGTGACAAAATCTCGAGTTCAAATAGGCCTAGTTTATATCCGGATATTGCACATGTCCCCATCATCGACTTGGCCGGGTTGGGAAAGGATCCTGCATCAAGATCTACTGTTGTCAACGACATTAGAAATACATGTCGTAGCAATGGCTTTTTTCATGTAAGTCGTTTGTTTGTAATAGTCACTTTGTACAAAATAATGATAAGAATTAAATGACTTCATATATATATATATATTCATTCACGTGTGCTAATTTTTATTTATATGTACCAGATTATAAATCATGGAATAGACCAATCAACACTGGATGGAGCTCTTTCGTTGGCCTCTAAATTTTTCAAGTTGCCTAGGGAGGAGAAGATGAAGTTGATGTCGAATGACGTGAAGAAGCCAGTTAGGTATGGGACGAGCATTAAGGATGGTGAGGACAATGCCCAGTTTTGGAGGGTGTTTCTCAAACTCTATGCACATCCCTTGAAAAATTGGGTTGAGTTATGGCCTAACAATCCAACAGATTATAGGTACGTTTTTTTTTTTTTTTTAAGGGTATGCTAGATTTTATTATATATAAAAAGAATAAAAAAGAGAGGGGGGGTACAAACAGCAAGCAAAAACATCATCAAACAGGCTATTCATGGACTTGCCGAATCTAGACTCTGTATCGTCTTTGAATTTTGTAGGATTCATATGGACAAAGTATATTCCTATATATTATATATATTACTGAATTTATTATTATTATTATTGAATAAAGCATTGTAATCGACAAACGTACCATATGTAACACACATTAAATTTTTCTAATATTTTTTTTTAGTGTAAGTTGATAAACAAAAATAACCCTATTTATGATGTCATGCCTCATTTTGTCTTGTATAGAAATTCCATTCGGTTTAAACATAGAATCATAATCAATTCGATTTCAACAGTTTTATAAAAATTGCAGATGAGAGCTTTTGAAAAAAATCAATCTGATCCGTACAAGACTTGTATAAATATAAATAAATGAACTCCACAACAAAATTCAAGTTTGGAGTTCAATCTATTAACAAAGAAACAGTGATATGGTTGTCTATTTTTCTCAAATTTAGCAGAGTCTTTGATTAACAAGTTTATGTATTTAAATTGTTGCATGATACAGAGAAAAGTTGGGAAAATATGCTGTGGAAGTGAGGAAACTAGCCATGGAGATCATGGAAGCCATCACCGAGAGCCTTGGCCTAGGTACCAAATACATAAGCAACAAGATGGAGGATGGCATTCAAGCTTTGGCTGTCAACGGCTACCCACCGTGCCCTAATCCGGAGCTAGCACTCGGAATTCCGCCTCATTCGGACTACAGCTGCATAACCATTGTCCTCCAGAGCTCCCCGGGGCTGGAAGTCATGGACCCTAGGGACGGCTCGTGGAGGCTAGTCCCGGAAGCTAAGGGCATACTGCAGGTGCATGTGGGTGACCAAGTTGAAGTGCTAAGCAATGGATTGTACAAAGGTGTGTTTCATAGGGCTACCCTTAACTCCGAAAGGTTCAGAATCTCCATCGCCAGTCTCCATGGCCTGGCCATGGATGAGAAGATAGAGAGCGCCAAAGAACTTGTGGATGAAGAACATCCCAAAGGCTACAAGGGGAGCAGCTTCACAGATTTTCTGAATTTTATCTCCGGAAATGATATTGGAGATGGAAAACACTTCATGAACACTCTAAAGATCAACTAAATTGATGTCTCCACCTCCTTTATTAGTACTATTGCTATGTTGTCGTTTTTTTTTTGGTGTGGATTTGGATCAAATAAATGGGAGTCTAGCTCCTCTGTTTTGTGTTTGCCTCTCCTTTTTTTTTTGGGTGTGTCCTCTTAGTTTTTGTTCTATTTTTGGTATCTTTATATGTTTTGTGTCTTGGATTTATTTCATTTTGTTATGGATATGTCAAAAGATTTTGGGGAGTGTTTTGATATGTAATAGGCCAGTTTTTTCGTAAGTAGGTAAGAACAAAGCCTAAATTTTTAGAATTCGATCATGTCTGCTTTTTAATTTATGAATACTCACATAATTTTAGTTGCATGTGATGACTCGGACTGAGACTGTGCATCATACTCTATATATATATATATATATATATATATATGAAGTGGGAAAGAAATACAATTGGAAACCATGCACAAGCCTAGTCAAAACATAGAAAAAGAGAAACTGATTCTACCCAAATCCAAGCCGTTCTCATCGAATTCGGCTTCCCGAGATTTCTATTCTCTCTCTGTTTAATCTAATATTTTCAAAATCACTGAAATTTTGTTGTAATGATCTTTCTCTTCTAATTATTGGATCTTTACCAAGGAAGAGAGAAAGATGCATAGATCTGCAAGCACGAATCATGATTATTTCAAGAACCATTATTTGTCATCACCCTCGTCCATGGTCTCGCGGGCTCTGCGAGCACTGTCCTTGGAGGCCAACAAACTGCCTTCGTTTGAACCACTCTCAGACGTGGCTAAGAAAGAAAAAGCTCGTCTTAGATTTGCAGAGAATGCTGTTCATCTCATTCCTTTTGTGATCTTTCTATGTGTTTTTACTCTTTGGTTCTTTTCTAATTCAGGTAATTATGTGTTCCTCATCTCTCCTCATTTCATCTCTAGAAATGATATCAAATCATATAAGTTTTGATGAGCAAATAAAAGTTCCATTATATAATATATCGACTGATATGACAATTGTTGAGAGGTTATCTCGATAAAGGTTCAGAAGGAGAGAGACTTTTTCTTATTTTAATACGTACAAGAGTTCTTATAGGAGATTATTGGTTGAAGGCGTACAAAATATCCATCTGTATTTGGAGCATTACTTTTATTAGAAACACTTCCAAGCGATCTTTACAATTTTCACATCACTCAAAATGTTCTTTCTCTATGTAAGTTTCATCATGTGATTCATTGACATTCTTTACAGTTCTCAGCTTGATGGAGATTAATTTTTTTATCAGTAGCCAGAAAAAGTTTTTAACCATCAAGTCGTTTCCCTTTTAGGATTTGGTGAGAATTTGAATCCTTAGCGCCATTCCCAAGCAAATTTATTGGAAAATTGGTTGATTGTGACGTTACCTACGAAGCTCACCACCACCATAGTAAAAAATAAGTTAATTTTTCAAAAATAATACTAACAGTTCGAGTCAAAAGCATAAGCTGATAGGCGAGGCTCATTTCACTTCTCATTCGAATTCGATGGAATAGAAGACTCCCTTTGTAACATGGCTTGTGATGAGACTCCAAAGTTCCTATTATCCCTCTCTACTTGCAAGCACACAAATGCATAAGAAAATAATGTAAAGCATTTGAAGTTTCAAATTTTCAATGCAAAGTGATTGAAGTCTCTGTTTTTTTTATTCAAACAGATGTTGATGTTTCAAAGCAAAGAGATCCAATTGCTTCAAAAAATGAAGGACTGGGACTTGAAGGGGAAACTGATACGGACGGGACTCAATTAGGGCTTTTAGCAGGTACTGGGATGGTGGATTTGAATCTATCAAACCAAGTTCGAGATGACAAAAGTTCACGTTCAGAGATGAAATCTTCATGATGCTCTTTATTTTCTTCTTTTGTTGTTTAGTTCTTTCCATTTTTTTTTTTTGGCTATCATTTTTTGTAATACATAGTATATAGTTTAGAATATCATTTTTAATTTAAGTCTAACCTACCAAGCTTCAACTTGCAAAACCACCAACTACTTATAGCAGCAGAATAGTGTAATTAATACAAGGATCAATGGTTGATATTTATGAATAAGATGCTCTTGACAGGTGTTTGGCAAGTGGCCGCCAAAGAATCTAACATTAACTACTGCAATAATGATTATGCTAATCACAAATAGGGTAGAATTTTAACGCGTATTTTTTCACCAAAATATGGTTTGATAGCTACAAAATAATGTTTAGACAATTGGGGCTCCCTTTAACTACATATGCACAAACATTTACACTTATGCACAAAATTTATTAATATGTACTTACCTAAGTGTAATTTGTTTATAATTTTATATGCAGAACCCGAATTAATGCCCTTTTCAATTTTTTTGTAAGAAGCATTCCAAACTTGACCAAACATAATACTGTTTATAGGAGGAGATTTTTTCCTATATATTCAGGGGCAACATAGGTATATATTAATTTTTTATTTTCTTAAAATTTTTAATTCTCTTATTTTCAATAAGATTTTTTTATTTTATCAAAAACTCACACCTACTTTATCAAGGACCCAAACTCTCGTTTTTCTTACTTTAAAAAGTGAACGAAGTAACGTTAAGCTGTAACCCTTGATCTTATTAATACTTGTTCAACATCAATTTTATTTTGAATTTTATAATTTACTAATTCTCTCGTGTATACCAGTTGACCAACCTTAAATGGTATGAGCATACTCATGTGGCAAAATTGCAAATGCTAAGATAGATATTAAGAAAAATTATGAAAGTTATAGACTAATAATCAAAAGGTTGGGAAGAAATTAAATGTATCATCTATTACCAAGAAAATAAGGAAGATTACACTTAAATGGCATGAGCATACTCAACGTGGATCTATAGATGCACTTGTGAAGAGGGTTAGATAAGAGACAAAAGATCGATCTAAATTAATATAAAATGAAGTAATAAGAGAAAATTTTAGAAAAAATTAAATGTAATAGATTATATATGCCTCATGATAGAATATATTAAAAAAATAATAATAATAATTTAACCAACATTAATATTAAATAAAGACAAAAATGATGATAATGTTCATATCTGTCATACCCATATCTTATATTGGTACGTTTCCTTTCCATGCTTCATATTTATTACTGTATTATTATTTTTTCTTGTGTTTCCTACTTCACAATTTTTTTCCCTTCGATAATTCATAAGTTAGTCTAAGTAATTTTGATGAACACCAGGGGTTATTTTCGTCAAACTACTTTCCCCCTCAGGTGAAACCAGTCAACTCCACCAGTGTTCCTGCCTCGTTCGATATTAAATAATAGTATTTTATATGGATATATAAACTCTCCGAACATTTCGGTTCAATTTATTCCGTATTTCCGTTCAAAAAAACAAAAATCCCCCTTTTCGTCCCGTACCTTTCCGCTGTAAATCTTTAGGCGACGATCCTATTTCCCGGTCGAATTCCGGCCGTTGGAAGGGGAATTCTCTGTCTCCTTCACCGTCGGATCAGCTCGCTTCGGCAACACAGTCATGAATACCGAATAGTAAGTCCGATGAAGCTCTATAAGAAAAATTTAGGGTTTGTCCAATCGAATTATTTTTCTTGTTATATGTTAAATTAGTCAAGTTTCAGGTATAATTTTGATTAGATTTGGGTTAGTTTTGATATAAGCGATGGTAAACGTTATTTATTGAATGGTTTAATTGTAGAATTTTGCTTATTTTGGGTTGGAATTATCGACCTGGTTGGCTTATCCAGATCCTGATGTTCTGGTTCCAGATCCATTGAGTTTTGTTTTCTGAATGATAGCTATGGTTTAGCTTTATTTGTATTTTGTTGAATGCGATCAAATTTATGTTTTTTGTGATTATCAAATTATATAACAATGACTGATATTATAGGATATCCCTTGATTCTTAAAGAAGTGCGCACTGATAGTCTGAGGCTAAACATAAAAACAAGCTTTTTACAACCAGAGCATATTAATTTTCCGTTCATCCAAGTAAAGTGCTTCGGTGTCTTGCAGTATCTGTAAAATTGGATTTTCGGTGGGTTTTGTGATTCCCAAGGGCTCAATTCACTTCTTTTTTTGGCTCTGGTAATGGATTTGGAATATTCATTTTGAATTAAATCTAGTGTAGCCCAAAATTAGTTACCAATACTTTACTATGAGTTTGGGTGCTAGATATTATGTGGTGGGACAAAAGGAGACACCAAGAAAGAGGTTTTTGGAGAGTGATTTCCATCATTTTGAGTTGGTTCACAGACCTTGAATTATGTATGGCAACAATATTATGGCATATTTTGGGTGCACAATGACAGTGGTAAGAGTGGGCGAGGTCCCATTGACCACATTTTGTTATTTATTGCAATATGCCACCATAGAATAGAAGAATTAGAATTGGAATCACCAAGAGTTTAGGTCAAATGGTATTTCCTCTACTTTCCAAGTGGAAGATTGAGGGTTCAAGTATCCTTAAGGGGCAATTGTGGGTGTGGGTGTCTTACTTACCCCAAAATAAATAAATAGAAATGGAATTACAACTTGAGCTTTATATTCCAGGTCAGTAAGATCCGATGTATACTTTTCCATACAACGATTTGTATGAAGTTTGCCTAAAGAAATTTATGCTTCTTAAGAATATCCAACTATTTAAAAATTCCGATATAAAATATATTTGAAATATATTTGGTATGGTTAATTATTTCATCAGCAAAGACCTGGTGCTACAGGCTGTGATATTGGAAATTTAATCTGTAAACATTGACTCTCTTCATTTTTAATGGTGATTTAATTTGGATGAGAGAATATTTGAAGTCTAACCACAATTGTGGGACAATTCCATTGTTCACTCAAAAGGGGCTGTAGATGTGGGAAATCAATTTTGAAATTTGTCACCTTGCATGCTTCATACAAATTTTTGGGGCAGAAACTTAAAACACTTCAATTTGTATGTTGCCTTACCTGATAAATCATAGAAGTTCTCTTTTAACAGCGTAATGCATTTAATGCTAGCTAGCGATCCTGCTCCATTTAAAATTTTGATGGAATATTTGATAGAATACTTTCTGGTCCTGTTCACAAGGTTTGGCAAATGTTATGTTTTATCTGTTTACCTTCAACTCTTTGCTTCAATTCACAAAATATTTTTGGAGAAAAATATCCAATGTTTTGCTCAAAGACAGACCATAAATATTATTTTTCTGAACTGACATTGAAATGCTTAGTTACGTTATGACTATTAATCTTTATATTTTACAACTCAGATTAAAAGCACTAATTGACTCTATATTTCATGTTGTCTTGCAGTGACTACTTATTCAAGCTTTTGCTAATCGGAGATTCTGGGGTTGGCAAATCATGCCTTCTTCTGAGATTTGCTGTAAGCTGTTAGAATGCTACTCTCTCTCTATTTTATTTATTTTTATTGTCTTGCATATTTTTAGGTTATTTGAGTTTGATGTCAAATGGGATACCTTAGTAGGGGCTTGCCTCACAGGGTATGACCGTATGATAGATCTGTAAAACATTCAAAAATTATTTATTCAATATTAGGATGCTCTCTCTCTCTCTCTCTCTCTCTCTCTCTCTCCATTGGGATTTAGACATATGAAAGAGAATTTGAACTCTTTTACAACTATTTGGCCTTATTGTGTTGGGAGTATGTTCTTATATCTTTTGTTTCTTTCCATTTCCTTTGCACTGTTGTTTTAGGTGAAAAAAGAAAAAAGAAAAAGCATAAGTGTATCACATAAACTGTGGAATTTGTTTATCTAGTTTCATTTGTTGTTTTGGGAAGAGAATTAGGCTCATTTGGCGGATACAAACAGAGGTGAAGCAATATGTTAAAGATGGTTGGCTATATTTATTTTTCTACTTCTTTTTATTTATTTGGTAATTATTAGAGGGTTTTTTTTTTTTTTTTTGTCTTGGTAATGTTGTGGAAGTGGTATAGAATTGAAAATGAATAAGCTAGGAATGGTGAAAGCCAAATGAGTATGGGCTCCCAAAAATTGCAACCCAGACTATCTTTTGATGCATAAATGGTGAAGTTTGGATTTGTTTTCTCACCTATACTGGCCTTTCTGTTTTGTATCTTGTCTTGTATGCAATGGGAAAATTTAGAATGGATGAGCACCTATCTTTTTTGGGCCTTCTCCACTTCGTTACATAATGTTTAGGACATGGATCTGTTTAGATAGTCTGAAGTGATTGATCGCCTTTTACTTGAGTGATGATGATGCAATAGATTGAAATTATTGTGTATTTTTTTTTTCTTCCTATTTATAGATTGAAATTATTGTTTATTTATTTGTTATTGAAGCTGAGTTCTTCAAAGGCTATAATTTTCTTCATCTCTTTGATACAGGATGATTCGTATCTGGACAGTTATATTAGCACGATTGGGGTTGATTTCGTAAGCATCTTGTATATTAGTTACAGTAATTGTTTATTTGGCATAATGAATAGTTCTGATTGTATTTTTATTTTTCACTGTGCAGAAAATTCGCACTGTGGAGCAAGAGGGAAAGACCATTAAACTTCAAATTGTAAGGTTTTCTCTTTTAGGTCACTAACCTTGGAATATATTTTCATGATGGGCCAAGGAATACTATAAGTTACTAACTAAAGGTCTAAATTTTTTATTGTCTAGAGGTTTATGTCCTGATAGATAGTTTTCACTTCATTTCTTAATTTTATTAATATGGGCCTGCGCCTACGGGGTGATGTTTGAGTGTTTGGTTCAGTTGTGCACCCACTATTTTTTTGTATTCTTCATTCATCTAAGATGTTTGATGAATGTACGGTCACTACCATCCCTGTCAGTTCAAGGCGTTGCTTTAAACTTTCGATAGGATTTTATATTTGTTTGGAATATCTTTTGCATGCGTCACTTTTATTGATGGGTCTTCATCATGGACACTGGATGATGATCACTATATTATCGTCCTGGGTTAGAAGTAGGTTCCCAAGGCACATCCCTCTAATGTTCTTGATTGTTGTATGCCATATTTTAAGTTATTGTTTCTAGCAATTATGGAAGTAGAGCTTACACTCTCCCTGCCTTTTGATTTTCTGGAACATGCAGTGGGACACCGCGGGGCAAGAACGTTTCAGGACAATAACTAGTAGTTACTACCGTGGGGCACATGGCATTATAGTAAGCTTTTCAAATTTCCAACTTTTTTGTGCATTGTCTTATTTTTATATTTTTGTCATTTCATGCAGAACCATTGAATTTTTCGGGTGTAGTAATTTTTTTTATACTTGTGTTGCTGGCATTTTTTGGCAGATAGTTTACGATGTAACAGACCAAGAGAGCTTCAACAATGTCAAACAATGGCTGAATGAAATTGATCGTTATGCAAGCGAGAATGTGAACAAGCTTTTGGTTGGAAACAAGTGTGACCTCACTGCTAACAAAGTTGTGTCGTATGAAACAGCCAAGGTGAAATCTATATTTCCTTGTTTGTCTTGCATCTCTTGCATTTTCTTGGAGCAAATTAGTGAAAACTAAAATAAGGGATGCGCTTCTTTGCTGTTTGAAGGCATTTGCTGATGAAATTGGCATTCCGTTCTTGGAGACAAGTGCAAAAGATGCTACTAATGTGGAGCAGGCTTTCATGGCCATGACTGCTGACATTAAGAATAGGTACTTTCTTTATATATTTTATTTTGTTTTGTTTTGTATTGTAATAATACGAGAGCAAAGGTGTACTGCTTAAATGCTTTGTCTAGCAAGGTCAAAACAGGGTTACTGTTCATTTATGCTGGTTAAATTGAGTTGGTACCATGTTACTCGGACACAATTTCTATACCGAATCTCCATCCTGGATGATGCGGCGGTGACATTTTTTAAAATTTAAAGATATGTATTTAATCCTTATATTGAAGTGATGAAGAGTCCAATGAGCTACTTTATTCTCTATGAAAATTTTTACAGATTGTATTTCTCTATTCTATAATGATTCTTCTGCATTATTATTATTGATGTTATTCAAGCTGTTTTGGGAATCAGCTGCAACTATTATACTGTTCCATTCTATCTAGAATTATATATTTTATTGAAAATTTCCAACTCTTCTTCAACAATAACTACAAAGCTTTTTGCCAACTGCTTTGGGTCAATTTCATGATTCGTGTTTATCCATTCAGCTCTTTTCAAGGCCATAGCTTTAGCGAATGACAAGTTATTGTATATTTTCTTACTAACTCTACCTATGTTGGTTTTTGTTTTCCCCTTCCCCAGCATTGCCCTCAACGTAGATTATGTTACTGCTTTAATTGTTACACTAAAGTGGTCTTCTGTGCACTTGCCGAATTCATCTTAATCGTTTTCCTCACGTTATCGTCACGCGCGCGCACGCGCACACACATATATACTAGGAAAAATGTATACATATACATACATTTTTCCTCTGGATTTTCTATACCTGCTTAGTTTATTGAGTATTTTTGACGTTCAAATTGCTTCCCTGGATAATTAATTTTTCCGATAACTGCAGGATGGCAAGCCAACCATCTATGAACAACGGAAGGCCACCAACAGTGCAGATACGGGGGCAACCTGTTGGCCAGAAGACTAGCTGCTGCTCCACTTAGTTGGTTCCGAGTGCGGCTTGTTAAGGGGTTTGTAATAGCATTTTAATTTCCATCCTCTTTTAATCAGAGGGTCTACACACACCCCCTAACCCCTTGGAATGTTTATTGTATCAATTGCTTTAAACCCAATCTAAAATTCAATTCTTTTGGTACAAACCATCAGTTGTTACTCTGGTAGTATTTTTGTTATTTCTCTGTTTTCTTACATCGTTTCTTGCCCAGAAGTAGTAAAAGATGATGCTTTATTCGTTTAACAGCTATTGCAAACTAGCTGTTAGATGGTAAAATGTGGAGAAATTTGTCATATTTGATGCTTTTCTTCGGCCACCGACACCGGGAAAAAATTAAATATAAGTGTTTTGATAAGTTAAATTCTCCTTTTTTTCTTCCTTTTTTAATTTTTTATTTTTTTAAATCAATTTGGCACGGAAGTATATTCTTGCCTGTCTACTAAACTCCGGCTAATACCACAAGTTTGTACAGCAGGTTGCCTATATTGCTTCGCATTCATACTGCATGGTAGTAGTGCTGTGAGCTGGTTTGGTCAATTTTTTATATTGAAGATGTCTTCATTGGGAACTTGATTTTTTAAAAAAATAAAATTGGACTTAAAAAATGGACTATTATTCTTGTGGGTTTCTTGCCATTTCTAGGATTTTATTTATTTGTATTTTCATTGGCAAGAAACACCCACTTGACCTTAGACCACACAACTCGTGTTTTTTCAAGAAACTTAATACATGAAAATTTTGGGTTTGGTTACAATTACAATATTTATATATTCGATAAGTACAAAAGCATTATGTTGTAAATTTGTAATATACCATTCTAATTAGGGTAAATTACGCTTTGAGTATGTTACATTTGTCACTGGTGTGTTTTGGGATATTACGATTATTCCGCTCTAATTTGCACTTTTGAAACAATTCTTGACATGGCCTCATTTGAAGATTTAGACGTCGAAAATGTCTTTAAATCTTTTCAGTTTACATAATAATAAGGGCAAAAAGGTAATCTCACGTAACAGACTTTAATGTTAGTCTCTCCGAAGGGTGTAATTGCAATATTTCAAAACACCCGGGAAGTAATTGTAACAAAATCAAACTAAAGGGGAGGTATGTGTAATTAAATGTCCTCTTGTCAGGGGTGATTGTCCATTATCTATAGCTACAATCCTGTTTTTTACAAAGTAAAGGTTAATATTTTTGCTACTTCAGTATTACGTTTCATGTTAGGGCTATACATTAGTAGCAGTTAACAAAAATTACATACATTTCGGCTTCTTTGTTTTGGCGTAAAATTTTTTTCTATTTTTCTTTTCAGATAAAATATATATATTTTTTATTTTTATTTTTCAGTATTGGGCAAAAGTTTAAGTCGATTCTATTGGACGCTATGCATAAAAATATTTGTCCAAAATTGATAAGTAAATTAATTTTATTAAGTTTTAATATATTTTTTCTTCATAAATATTTTATGACAACAAACACCAAAAATTAAAAATAAATATTTTTTGAAAAATATTTTACATTCATCGGAGACACAGAAATTTCGTTTAACATCTATCCATAACAAAAACTCATGGTGATCGTTTCTAGGTGCCATTTCAAACAAGGTTCTAGATGATGCTCTGATTATGTAAGCCAACTTGATGCTCTAGCTGGTTCTAGAGATTGTGATGTGTTATTGTGTTCCATGGCAAACTAGGAATTGTTGTCTTCCACCAAACTAAGCTAAGACAGCAGGATTAGAGATCAGGGCAGCCCATTGTCACGCCCCGCCTATGGAGGTTGTGCCACGCAGGCGACACGCAGACGCTGAGGAGGACGCTGCATGGCAACTGCATGGCAAGTGGAGTTTCTAGAGTCTTCCGGAATAGTCTAGAGTTATGTGGAAGATTCTAGATATGTGTAGAAATGTGTAGAAGTGTGTGGAAGGTTCTAGAGTTCTCCAGAGTTGTGTGGAGTAGTATGGAGAATTCTAGAATGTTGTAGATACTAGTAGATAAGTATGGAAGTGTGAAGAAGGTGGGAGAAGATTCTAAATAATCAATCTCCACCGTTGGTTAGAATGCATCCTAGCCGTCCATTAGGGATGGGGATGCCTATAAATAGAGGTAGGACTTCATTTTGCAGGGAACAAGTCCTAGAGTGAGTCTTGAGAGCCTTGTAGAGAGCTTGAGTGTTAGCCTTGTACAAAGCATTCTTTGAAGTAATAGAAGTGTTCTTTCCTTGCCAACTTAAGTGCCTTAGTGTGTGTGAGTGTGCAAGCCAAGTGAGGAGAGGGCAAGGGCAACTACAACACTAGTAAGCGCACGAGGGGAGTGTGTTGGCTAAGGTGTGCACGGGAGTTAGGCTGACCAAGTACTTGCGAGAGTGAAAGCAACGTCTTGGTGCCGCACGGGAGCAGCTAGAGTGGTGCTGAAACTCTAAGCCCGTGACAGTTGGTATCAGAGCAGGTTCGTCAAGGGAGCTTTGTTGGAGTAGACATGGCTAGCGGAGGAGACCACCAAGTCCACATCTTAGAGCAGAGCTTGGAGGAGAAGCTTGCCACACACTTGGTCTACACGGAGACCAAGTTTAATAGGCTCGAGAGAAGGATGGCGGAGCTCTACGAGCTGATTGATGGCATCGCCAACAAGGTGCAAGAGAAAGAAAGGGACTTGCATGATTTGGTAGACGACTTGCGCGTGGAGATTGCCGAGTGCAAGAAGGAGTTCTCCCAGGCGCGCGAGGTCGTGGTGAAGCCAAGGAAGAAGAAGGCGCCGGAGCCCAAGGAGTACGATGGGGCAAGGAATGCGCGCCAGATTGACAACTTCTTTTGGCACATGGAGCGGTACTTCGAGTGCATGGAGATCGAGGATGATGAGGAGAAGGTGCAGACAGGCACTATGTACCTCACAGACACCGCCGCTCTATGGTGGAGGCAGCGCTTCACTGGTAGAGGCGCAAGAGCAGTTGACACATGGGAGGAGTTCAAGAGGCAGCTCAAGAGGCAGTTCTACCCTGAGTGCGTTGAGGACCTGGCCATGATCAACCTAAGGCGCTTGAAGCAGAAGGGCAGCATAAGGGAGTATGTGAAGGAGTACTCCAACTTGATGCTGGAGATCCCAGAGATGCCGGAGCGGCAACGCGTATGCTTGTTCATTGATGGGTTGCAGTCTTGGGTAGCCACAGAGCTGAGAAGGAGGGAGCCTAGAGACTTGGCATCCGCAATGGCTATAGCGGAGCGCCTTGAAGACTTTAGGCACGATGACAAGAGGGCCACGTCTCCCAGGAGGGACCACGGTAAAGGTGGGGGAGACCGTCGTTTCAAGAAAAGGGGCTCGCCCAAGTCAAGTGATGATGAGCACAGCGATGAGGAGAGACGCCCACGCCATGATAAAGGCAAGGACCATGGAGAGAGGTCTAAGGCTAGTGGCAAAGGGGAGCGCCGCGATAAGGGCAAGTGGGAGCCGAAGTGCTACTTGTGCGAAGGGCCGCACATATTGCGACACTGCCCCAACAAGAAGACCATGAGCGCCCTTGTGAAGGATAAGGGCAAGGGCAGGGTGGACGATGCTGGCAGCGATGAAGATAGGTGCATGGGGGCTATGCAGATGCTGAGTAGCATGGCGCATGACACCAAGAAGAAGGGCAAGGCAAAGAAGGTAGCTGGGGTGCGCTATGTGGATGCGCAGGTTGGTGGCAAAGCCGTGCAAGCGTTGGTAGACACGGGTGCTACACACAACTTCATTACCCCGGAGGAGGCGCAACGACTTGGCATGGAGATGCGCAAGACGGAGGGCTGGATCAAGGCCGTCAACTCCGAGGAGGCAAGCGTGAGTAGAGTGTGCAAGGAGGTGGAGCTATGCATGCAAGGATGGAAGGGCAAGGCTGACTTCCAAGTTGCGGAGATGGACGACCACGACATGGTGCTGGGGCTGGAGTTCATGGACAGGAACAACGCCGCGCCACTACCATGCCTTGGTGCGTTGATGATACTTGGAGGCGAGGAAGGCAAGGCCGCATGTATGGTGCCGCTCGTGGGCAGGAAGGAGAGTCCAGAGGTGGCAGTCAACATGATGGAGCTCGTGAGGACTTCACATCTCCCGAAGGGCGCTCGTACGTTTGGGCCAAGGACATATGCGCAAGTGCTGATGACCTGCGAGAGGCTGGGTCAGTTGAAGAAACCGTGGCGAGGGCGTCACGGAAATGGGTGGGGGAGAATGTCACGCCCCGCCTATGGAGGTTGTGCCACGCAGGCGACATGCAGACGCTGAGGAGGACGCTGCATGGCAACTGCATGGCAAGTGGAGTTTCTAGAGTCTTCCGGAATAGTCTAGAGTTATGTGGAAGATTCTAGATATGTGTAGAAATGTGTAGAAGTGTGTGGAAGGTTCTAGAGTTCTCCAGAGTTGTGTGGAGTAGTATGGAGAATTCTAGAATGTTGTAGATACTAGTAGATAAGTATGGAAGTGTGAAGAAGGTGGGAGAAGATTCTAGATAATCAATCTCCACCGTTGGTTAGAATGCATCCTAGCCGTCCATTAGGGATGGGGATGCCTATAAATAGAGGTAGGACTTCATTTTGCAGGGAACAAGTCCTAGAGTGAGTCTTGAGAGCCTTGTAGAGAGCTTGAGTGTTAGCCTTGTACAAAGCATTCTTTGAAGTAATAGAAGTGTTCTTTCCTTGCCAACTTAAGTGCCTTAGTGTGTGTGAGTGTGCAAGCCAAGTGAGGAGAGGGCAAGGGCAACTACAACACTAGTAAGCGCACGAGGGGAGTGTGTTGGCTAAGGTGTGCACGGGAGTTAGGCTGACCAAGTACTTGCGAGAGTGAAAGCAGCGTCTTGGTGCCGCACGGGAGCAGCTAGAGTGGTGCTGAAACTCTAAGCCCGTGACACCATGCTGACTTTGCAATCTGATTTTGGAATTGATAAAAATTCCGAATCGATATTATTATCGCCTGATGTGTTTATTATTGATTTGAACACTTAAAAAGAACTGATCATCCAATATAACAATTCTCTTGTGATATTATAGTGTGAGAAATATAAGTGAAACTCGTTTGGGTAGGTGAGAGCAAGATACCAATAACAATCATATTAATAATGGCACTTAATATACCTCCCCAACTGCCAACACCCAAATTAAAAGATTAAGTCGGTGAGTTATTTGGGAAGATAAAATAAAGAAAACACACACACACACACACACACGTACAAAGACAAAATATAGGCTTCGAAGACTCGAAGTGGGACTCGTTAATGGTCCTACCTCATGGACCACGACTGCCCTAGATGGACTGGACTGCAATGTGGCCTGCAAATTGTTCCTGCTATCGGTTTAATTTTGGGCCTTTTTGGATACCTAATATTTTTGCTATAATTGTGGGCTTCCTCTGAGGTTGCTTTATGGTCTGGATTAGACCCCTTCATTACCGGGCTTAGGTTGAGCAAAAGCCCGGTGAATTGGGCCAGTCACTTTGCCCTAGAATTTTTTGGAGGCTCATACGAGGTGTGAATATATGTTATTCGTTCCAAGCCATCGGAAAAAACATTACTTGGTCAAAAAGAATACAAAATAAAGAAAAACGAATCCATTCGACACATGAAGTAATTACAACAACAGGGCTTTAATATGCCGTATTTATAATTTTTCCCACATAGAGAGACTTTTCACAAATTTTCTCATAATCTACTGCTGGTCAATACATAAAAATAAAAATAAAAAAGAAAAAAGAAAATGTCAAATTAAAAGACGGTATGTAATTACTTGGTTACATGTAATTTCCAAAGTTAAGAAGCAATTGGATGATAATCAAATTGCTCATAAGGTCAGCTCGAGACCATCGAATTTAGTGGACGAAGTGCCAGTTTCTGTCTGAGATGGTCCACCTGGGAAACGCTGTGCCACCATTTGAGGCTTATAAGGTGCACAATTACCATTGTTTGTAGGGAAATACACATAACCCTGGTACGAAAACTTGTTCGTTGGAACATATGACATGTTTTTTGGGGCTCCCACCTGTATAAACCATGAGAAAATCAGCATATATATATATATATATATATATATAGAGAGAGAGAGAGAGAGAGAGAGAGAGAGAGGAAATAAGACTGGGAATTCAGGTATTTTCTCACCATGTAATCAGTAACTCCATAAGCTGCAGGCATGGGTAAAATTTTGGATGCTTCCATGGGGTTTGCAACCTGAAACTGTGAAGTGCTTTTCAGGTGAGAAAGTTGCTGGAAAGGCACTATATTGTACAACAAACAATTAGTAAGGGTCTGTTTGGTTGGATCCTAAACATACCCACAAAATTTCTTTTTCTAGGAAAAAAGAATGTTCTGTTTTTTACAAAACAGAGGCCATATTAGTATCATAAGTATGTTTTACCTGTTGTGAAATTTGAGGAATTGTAGTAGAGGGCAAAAAAGTGGACCCGGGAGGAGGATAATCCTGTAAAATTTGAAGTGTTAGTTAAACATATAGGATACCTACACATATGTGTGTGTGTGTGTTAGTGTGTGAATGTAGTAACTTAATTTTAAAAAGAGGGGTTAATTAATTACTGGTTCTTTGAAGGGCATATCAAAGAGGCTTAGCCTTCGCTTCTTCCCATCAGTTGCAGAAATTCTCAAAAAGTACTTCTGTGCATGGCTTGCAATCTGAGTTGGGGTCCTGCTTGGTACATAGCTTTTTGAAATCCCTTTCCAATCTCCTTTTCCAAGTCTTTCTAGTCCAAGTAGAAAACTTTGATGCTCCTCTTCTGTCCATGGAAACCCTTTAAAAACACACAAAAACAAAAATTAAATTAAACAAAAAAAAAAAATTACATTAAAAAAATTAAATTAAATGAATGATAATCAATCACCTTTTTTAGTTGAACTTTGATGGGCTGCTTTGACTTTCTGGGAACGAATGAGGCAATCAGAGGAGTACCCTGCTTCGGCTGCACTGTGGTCTGCGTTGCATGTAATCAAATTCCCAGTGCTTTTGGTCTTCCTTATCAACTCATCGTCTTGTTTTGCTGTTGGAAGACTCACACCAAAAAGCTTCACGGAGTAGCCTTTTTCCTGGCATGTTCTTGAATTATGTCCATTGTGACCGCACTGTGAACACCTCCTACCGGACTCCATCATCGTCTCTCTGCTCATCTCTCTCCCCCTCGATCTGTCTCTAGATATATATATATATATATATATATATGTAGATATATGTATGTCTCTGTGTGTGTTTACACACACACTAATTTATGGGGTGGAGAAGAAAGTAATGTAATATCAAGAACCAAAACATGTGTCTGAATGACAATGTGCATGTTTATATATATACTGGAAGAATTTGGATTTTTTGTAATGCCAAAAGTGCCCTTATTGGGTTAACCAGACAAGGATTTGTTCATTTTTGGTAACTACCTAAACGGTTTAGTAATTATTTTAGAAACTTTGTGGATTATTTATAAATCTAAAAAAGATATTATAAGATTTTGGTCTTTTTTTATAGTAAGTATGTTATAACGAAACTTGAACATTAAGTTTTATATTTGGAATTGGACCACCAATTGACCTATAGTCTTTTTTTTTTTTTTCCTTTTTCTTTTTTTTATCAGAGTTCTATATATAAATCATTGATAAGTGGGCTCTCTCTCGGACATTGATTAATCCAGATATTAATCCCAATCTAGCTTTTAGATTCTTTATTAATTGGAGGATTTCCAATTATCTTATGAACCAAATTATTTATATCATCAATCTTTTTTTCTTTTTTATTTCTTTCCTTTCTATGGATATTGTCCAAATAAAGATCATGTATTAATTTATATAGGTTTACAATGTTTAGTCGTATAATCTTTTTCCCCCGACAAATAACTTTCACAATTTGGAAAGCAAGCAACTAGATGGAACAAATAGGAAGTTTGAAATTCATAATTACGTATATTTTATAGCTATTAAAATAAAATAAATTTGTTGATCACCCCCAAAAACTTTCGTTACTTTAAATTTGGCAATCTTTTTTTATTTGGGTCTGAAGAGCCAAGGAGACGGTATAGAGATTTTCTATTTTGTTTCCAATATTAAGATCTAATATTCTACCTATAAACAAAATATAAAGAAATATGAGTTTAGTGATTAGTCATTCCTTCGGTGAAAGGATTGTTGTTACAAGAGTAGACTTGTCTCACATCGGATCTGAATAGGAAATAACATATATATAAATGGGTGGGTATGCAGTACTATTTAATAGTTTGAACTTTTGGATAAATGGGCAAGCACCCACCTGTTACAGTTGGTATCAAAGTCAAACCTAATCATTGATTCGGTGTCATGCCAAGCGCCCAGCTCGGAGGGCGTCCGGGTCTTCACCCCAGGTAGGCAGGATGGCTCGACCACAACGAGGGCGTCGCATGGGTTCAGGTGTGGGAAAATGTTACAAGGGGAGACTTGTCCCACATCGGATCCGGATAGGAAGTGACATGGGTATAAATATGTGAGTATGTAGTACTATCCAACAACTTGAGTTTTTGAGTAAATAGGCAAGCGCCCACCCGAGTGACATGGGTATAAATAGGTGAGTATGCAACATTATCCAATAACTTGAGTTCTTGAGTAAATGGGTAAGCAGCCACCCGTTACAATTGTCCAAAAGAAGGTATAGTTGTAGTGGGTGTGTGATTTTCTTGCCAAGGTTTAAAAAAAATAAAAATTAAAAAATAAAGACAACAACAACAACTACTAGGATGGAGTTTAAAAATAATTAGGTCATATTACATTAAACCCCCCTATATTATTAAAATTTTGTAAAATACCTCCATTACTATTTTTTGGGCAACAAACATCTATTATTTACCAAAAGTTGTGAATTACCCCTAAAATGAATCTTAAAAATTTTGGTGTTAAAGTAGTCAGGTGCGACACATGGGTTAGTTGTATTGACCAAAATATATGTGCATGTCCACTGCACCCTCTAAATTGATTTTACAAATGAGAAGTTGAGGGTATTTGCTGCATAAGTAAGGTTATTTTTGTCAAAATAATCAGTTCACGTGCCCATTCAACACAGGTGACCACTTTAACACCAAAATTTTCAAAATCGTTTGCCAATGAATTAAAAGATTAGGTTAAACATCTAAGATTATAACATAACTTTATAAAATAGAAGATTGAGGGATTTAAATCTATAGGGAGACAAAAATGAGTGCATGTGATATCCCCACATTACATGTGAAAGAAGTTGTTAACGCTCATAAGGGAAATGCCATCTCTTATGTAATTAAATGCGTTTTGAAAACCGTGAGTGCTTGTGTAGCGCAAAGCTGACACGCTAGTGGACGTTAGCTCTTCAAACGCGGTTGTATAAACTGACAAGCTAGCAAATATCAACTCTTAAAATCCTATCTTCCACCTAAGATATTTGCTCTTAAAACCCTATCTTCCATAAACATCAACTCTTAAAACCTAATCTTTCACCTCAGACATCGGCTCTTAAAACCCTATATTCCACCCCTTGGCTCGCCTTCCACATGGATCTCTTAATAACCTTATCTTCAAGCCTACACTAACATTCTCGGGGTTTTTTTCATGACAGACCATGCGACAACTGTTTGCTTCTTTCTCTTCCACATCACAAGATTTCCACCGAAAAATATGCAATATTGTCTTTCGAGTCATTCTTACACATGCTTATAAATATTTCTTGCCTTCAACCTTTCATTTCGCCCTTAGACTTTCGCTTAATAACCCTAGTTTCAAGTCTCTCGTTTCGCCCTTAACCTCTCGCTTAGTAACCTTATTTTTTAGTCCCACTTGACTAAAATTTTCTTCCCCCAACCTTGTTCGAGCTCATCAAAACAAGGGTAAAAAGCAATCGGAAAACGAAGCCCTTCCTTCAAATGATGCAGGCAAAGTCGAATCTCTTTTCATTTTTTTCGACGACTCTTAATATAGGTAAGAATGTAAAAAAGAATTAGTTAATTTAGAATAAAGTGGTTATCTTCCATGAAAATAATTTGAAGGTGAATCTTGTTTTTATATACAATTTATGTATTAGGGCATTAATTTTTTTCCTTTCATATATTAGGGCATTAATAATTCCTCCAAAATTACTTTCAAATACTTGTTGGCAAATAACACCCTTTAATGCTAGAAATGCTATTACTTCTATGTTGGCAATTGAAATAATTTACTTGTCTTCTTCTTCTATTTTTTTTGGTAAGTCACAAAGACATCGATTTACTAACAAAATAAATGGATTTTTTTTTACAGGAATGTTAGTGTCATATGATGCTATTAAGATGACAAAAAAAGCACTCAAGAAGAAATTGCTGCTATTTACGATAATTATGGCGAATCCTACTTCAAAAAACTGATTGGACTCAAGGCACCGATTCGATACTCCCAAATGTAACATTTTTTAAATGATTCTTTCAAGTTCAAAGTACACAAAATTCAATCACCTCATGCCTTATTAGCCTGGTAAGACAAATTTATTCTTGATCTAGCTCTGCTCGAGTTTTATTGAGATGGTGTCTTTAATATTCTACACTATGATTATTATTTTACCACGTCATGAGATTTAATTTTTGCCCTTTTTCCTTTTTCCTTTTTCCTTTTTCTCTCTACGTGATTAAAAAACAACTGAACACTCATTATTTAGTGAAATGGTAAAGGGTTAATTCTGGGGGAAAAAAAAATTGGTAAAGGGTTAGCTAACAAACTTGAGGATGTAAATTTGAGTCCAAAAGCAAATTACGTGTCTAACCCCACACATTGTGCTTAATTATTAAATTATCGGACATACATTATATTTACAAATATGCCTGATAAACTCGTGAAAAATTATTCTATACAACGATATACCATATTCATCACGAACAGCGGTGATAATATTTGACAATACAACACGAGATAAAAAGATTTTGGTTCAGATTGAACTACTAACCAAACGTGTCGTGTTCGTGTTTGACCCTATAAACACGATTACGACATGAATAACCCGATTAACTAAACGTGTCGTGTTCGTGTATAAAATAATTCATTTAGCTAAACGTGTAAAATAAAAATATCTGTCATGTTCATGTTAAAAATGACTTAAACGTGTCTTTTCGTATCATATTAAGTTTTGATCTATTTATTAAATAGATTACGCGTGTCGTGTCGTATTATATATGTAATAATCATATCGTGTTCGTATCATAATCGTATCAACACAAACACGATACGCTAACGCAAATTATCACCCTAGCTAAAAGTTAACCTCCACAGACCCTTTCAATAAAATCACAATGATTACATGCTGGCACACACTTGATTTCCATTTACAAGGACAAATGGATTTATCATTGTTATTCCATAATTGCAATTCATAACAATATATGGGTTGGATTAGTGTAGAATCTCTAGGCATATTATGTGTGTAAATATGTCTAGGGATTCTATACTAATCCAACCCATTTGGGTATTGATTGAAGGGGTCGGTGGAGGTTAACTTTTAGCACATAAGTCCATTTTGTTTGTTGGGGTGTTTCTCGACTTTTATAAGACAATCACACGTGACAACCTTCTCAACTTTTGTGTAAATAAGTCACACGTGCCAAACCAACTTCATGTAGTAGAAGACAAGTTTGTTTTAGGAGCTTTGGCATTTTGTCACCAACCCAAATTGAAACGCTTGCTAAATTTTAGCCCATCTCTCTCTCTCTCTCTCTCTCTCTCTAATGGGCCAAAGACCCAAGTGACTCACCCATACCCTTTTGCATGCTGCAGACACACGCCCTCCACACGTGTAAGCAATGGTCCTCACCTCTTATGTCATCATTTATGCCCTATTTCTTTTTTTTCCCTACACGTGTGGGAGACCATGCAATTACCCCCAAATTTAGGGCATGGGTTGGGATTACATTAGGTGATAAGAGATGCCGTTTGTTTAGAACACCCTAGAATTTAACGTCCGTCAGGGTGGGGAGCAATGCTTCTCTGCAGTCGGAAATTCTTGAAGTCCTTACACTCGGATATAGTTACAAACGTCTTGTATCAAAAAACTTAAAAGAATTAGTATCATTTTAGTTTTCGATTTATTTAGGCTTTTGAGGTCCACTAAATAATTCGACAACTAAAATGAGACTAATTCTTTAACAATAAATTAATCTAAATCATTTTTTTTTAAGTTTAAATTGGTTCAATTAGCCAGTTCTACTGGTGTAATTCAGTTTATATTTTTAAAAAATTGATTTAATTATATTTACTCTTCAAATAAACCAAAATTGTGTGTACTCGTATATGAAACTGTTTCTAACCAAAGTACTAGCCGAGGCAGTTAAAATCCACAAGATGCAATGAAATTAACTCTCTCGGCTCATTGCTTCGGTTAGAAAGATCGGTTTGCATCTAAGCACTGTTCAAAAAAAATTGTTAAACGGAATCCATTGTGGGTTGAGTCTAATCCTTTTAGGTTTACGCAAAATAGAAACTACCCACAAAATTAATGCATTGTTAAGCTTTAAAAAAGTTATAAAATAGAACTTTAAAAAGGTTCAAGTTAAAATCAAAACATGTTATTCCAAATTAATTGGAGGCAACACTGAACGAGTCATCTACACTAACTCATCTAATATAAACAATGTACAGTGAATTAAAGAATTTTAATTAAATGCCATATTAATTAATGTCCTGAAACCAAATTAATTGTCTAAATTCATCCGTCCGAACATTCTTAGCATAAGTTCCGTATGTAATAAGTAACCATTTTTCAAAATGGATAAAAGCTTTCTGACATAGAGTAATTAGGACCTGATCAGAGTATGTGATTGCTCCCTTTTTAACCAGACCACCATAGCTCTGCGCCTTCTTTGTACCCACCAAACGTCCGTCACTGTTAAGATGAAGAAGGACCTCAAAAGTAACTAACCATGGTTAGATTCTAACTCAAGTAGAGTTAGTTCATGAAACTATAAATAAGCATACCCTCCCCATGGCCGTTACACACCATCTTCTCATAGACTGCTCTTTACTGTTTCATAAAATTAATTGATTTTCTCTTTCTTTCTTTCTGCGACTTTCTTCTCTTCACTCTTGATCATCTCAGTCTCAGTCACCTCTCTTTTTCTATAATTTTCAAGCTCACCTCACAAATATATATATATATATATATATATATATATATATATCGGCATGCATGCAATATTAATTAATTAATTAATTAATTAGTGTTGGATACATTTCTATGTTGTTTATTTCCGTATATCTTAAAACATTCCCGCATTCATAATCACTTAAATCTCTATTAAAGTTGCTGTAAATATAAACATTTTTTTCACATAAAAAGCTGAATATTTTTCAATATATTCAAAACCCTAGAAGGCCTGCATTTGCATGCAGATTCTTTCTTAATTATTTTCTGTTGATTGAAGAAATTTTAAATCTTTCCAATCAAAATGTTTAGCTTTTCTAGCCAAGGTGTGTTTGGTGAACTCCCTCTGCAAGGTCCATTCACCGGCATCTTCCCGGCCCAGCTAACGGGTATATTCGACGAATCCGTCTATGAAACGAACGATTTCCGAATGTACTGTTACAAGATCAAGCCCTGCTCCAGAACTCGAAGCCATGACTGGACACTCTGCCCCTTTGCACACAACGGGGAGAAGGCGCGGCGGCGTGATCCACGGAGGTACAACTACGCCGCCATCGCCTGCCCGGACTTCAAGAACGGTGAGTGCATGAAGGGGGACGCGTGTCCATATGCACACGGAGTTTTCGAGTACTGGCTGCACCCGGGGAAGTACCGGACGCGCCTGTGCAATGCTGGCAAGTTCTGCCAACGGAAGGTCTGCTTCTTCGCCCACTCACCGGAGGAGCTCCGGGGTGAGACTAAGTACAAGTCTCACTATGTTGTCCGACCCGTTCCCGTCACAAATTTAATCGGGTTGGAGGGTGGAGAAGGAGCGTCAACTTCGGCTGTGGGGACACCTCCGGCTCCGGTGGCTGACCCTCCAACTGGTGGCAGTGATTGGAGTTGTGAATTCCTGAGCCGCCTGAGGAGTCTGAAAATAAGGGAGGAAGAGGAGGAGAGGCCGAAGGATTCGGGTTGGGACCAGTCGGATTCGGATTATCCGGATATCGATTGGGTTGCGGATCTTGTGGAGTGAGGGCGCCGGGTGTGTGAAGCTTGTGTGCTTTAAACGTGGTTCCGTTTTTTGTATAGATTATTTATGGCTAAGTGTATAGATGAAGAGGTAAGGTCTGGACTCCCAAAGGAGTTACTGAAACAATTTTGTAGGAAGTGTGTGATTCTTATGGTGTGTAGTGTGTGTAAAGATTGAAGATTCATGTGTTGTATAATTGTAATTAAGGTGAGGTGTGTACTGTTCTGCTATATATTGTGTACTAATTCTTTATAAATAAAATGATTTTTGTGTTTAAACTTTTCTATTTTATATTGCTTTATGTGCATGGAAATCAATTAGGCAAGGTCTTGTTGGCAAGTGATAAATTCTTCATAATCCAATTATAGATGAGAAAATTAATGAAGTTAATTATTTTTTTTCCCTGAATAATTAAGTTATTTGAATGGGATAGCTGATTAATTATTGTACATTTAATATAGAATTTGTTTACGAAATTTTGAAGATCCTCCATTCTATTTGAGAAATTTCATTTTAATCATACCAATCCGAGGCTGAAAGGACAGACGTTATTTTGTGTAATTTTATATAATTTATATTAAAAAAAATGGTAGTTATTCTTTATGAAATTAATTGAGCAAGCATTTGAATGATATATATTTGAATCAACTGATCGTATAAATACAATGATTTGAAGCAGTACATGTTCTAAGGCTTGTTCCAAACACAGACGAGGCCATGGAAATTGGTAACGTATTATTTGAAGAGGCTGAGTAGCACAGTAAGATCCTTCATCTGGAAAATCATCTTCATCGCCAAAATTTCCTGCAAACACGTCATTGTTCATTGCATATTTTCAGTTACACATATATAATATAAAACATTAATTGTGCTACCATGAATCAAATTGGATTACAGTAATTTGAGTTTGACGCGGATTTGAATTTCGCTGCATCATTTTCATCACCATTGCAGAATCTTAGAAAGAGAGAAGATTACAAATAAAGTGTATTGTCTGAATATCATTACTCTTTTCCTATTACACCAAATAATGACGATTCTCAAATATATATGTACGGAGAATTTTTTTTTACAAACTGATCGCTGTTCATGCCATATCACCAACCATATATACGTTATATCAACCATAATTGATGAGATGCCATGAACAGGATCGGATTGTATAGTTTTGCTTTTGGGGATGAGAGTCAAAGAGATGGATCATATGTATGCGTTTGCTGAAAGGTCAATTTATAGGCATCTCTGATCACTATATACACAGAGAGATGAATTGCATTTCTTTTGGCATGGCAATTAGTTCATGATCGATCTTTATTTATGATATATATTTGATTCGGTTGACGTTATAGGTAATAACTTTATTTTCTGATCCTGGAGGCATGATTTGCCTGCAGGAAGAGTTGATTAGATAAGTATATTTAATATCATTAGTTTGTATACATATATGTCAGGTGCGTATGGCTGAGGGTTTAGGCTAATTGGTACTGATAGTGAAAATATCAAATTCATATTTAACAAATATTTATTATTAAAACATAAATCTTTAATAAATATGTAATATTAAAATTTAGAATTTCCAAGTATAAGGTAATAGTACAATTATAATGACAAAGTAATTACACCGCTTATAAATAGAACTACTATGATATGGTGGGAATATTTCATGATTAATTTAGTCCAAAATTTATACACCCTATATAAATCTTAATTTTTTATTTAGTTCATCACAATTTTTATATATATATAAAAATATTAGTAATAAATGTAACACAATAAACAATCATTATTTTAGACTTATATATATAAACATAGTTACATATATTTGTTTGTTTACACATACTTTGTCCTTACTCTAAAATCTTATTTTTTAAGAGTTAGAGTAACAATACTTTGTAGGAGGGGCTGCAAATGAACTAAGAGTAGTTAAGCTTAAATTTGTTCCACCCGTTTCTTCGTGGGTTTGGTTTGGAATGTGACAAATTCAAAAATTTGAGTTCGGACTTCAATAGCTTGTTTAATAACAAAATTTATTCGAGTTCGATTTGAATTCGTGTTAAAAATTGTTTTAACTTGTTCATAAACTTACACAAATCTATATTCATGAACCTGTTTATGAATTTAAATTCATGAACCTATACAAGTCTAGATTTATAAAAGTGTTCATGAGTCTAAGACAAACCATGTATGAGTTTATATTCACAAATATGTACAATATACGAACCTTCACGATCTTATGTTTATGAGTTTACACGCTAGTCTGATGGGTTTTTTCTTTTTCTTTTTCTTTTTTCTATGACGTTCTGTTCTTATATTGTTTGTGTTCTGTTTGATAAAATGTTCAACTAAAGTTACGGATGCGAGGGTGTTGTACTTTTGAATTGGACGGCTAATTGGAGCTTTGCTTGAATCTGATTACTTCAATCTAAACTCGTGGAAACTTTGTCTGGTCTGTAAGTTCTTATATATTTAATTAATTGCTATATTTGAGAGCACAAAATGAGTGTAGCTTTAGATTGAATTTGTAAATTTCAACTAATTAATGCTCCCAAACTCAACATATATGTATTTTATGTTTTTATGGAATTCTTGAAATCTGTTTTTACATGTGTCAATGACAGTCTCATCCAAGCAAAACTGATACATGGACTAAAGTTGCCATCTTATAAGTTGCAGATTATCTTTAGTGAATCATAGTGTTACACTACATGTGATAATTTGCTACTTGCTCATGTGGTAAAATGGGTCATGACTTACCAATTCGTTTATATTCGTCCATTTTAAAATGAATATAAGTGAATTATTTTAAAATATGGATCAAAATAAGTGACTCATAATTAACCAATTTTTATAAAGGGTTGAATATGGGCCACCCATTTTGATCCATATTTCACCTATTATATAAGAGACTCAATTTCACAATTTCTATTTGATTCAAATTCACCTCTTTTCTTCTAAAATTCTCTCTTTAAAATTCTTTTTGCATTATGAACTCCTCGTGTATGTAATACTACAGTTCAAAAAAAACCTATGTTTATATCTGTATTTCAACGTAGGACAACCTGATTTATTCATTTAATTATTTATTCTATAAAAAGCTTAACAAATGACTTCATAATATATATATATATAATATTTTACATTCATGCATGTCAAGTCACAAAATAAAATAATGTAAGTTTAAAGAATTTTCAAAATAAATTAGAAAATTTACAAATATTCATTCATATTCTTAGAAGCTGTTATCCATTAAAAATAAAAAATAAACTATAATAATGAGATTATTTAAAATAATAATATTTTTTTCTTAAAACGAATTAGCGGGTCATGACGGGTTGACCCGATCTATTTTTACCTAATTTTTATTTGACCGATTAAATATGAGTCACAACTCATATTCGATCCGTCTATATTTGATGTTGCTCAAATTCAACCCAAACCAACCATTTATCACTTTTGAAGGCAAAAAGGTCTTCCCAAATTCGTAGCGGTTAAAGTAGACTTTGAGCTCGGCTGAGTTAAAGTATGAAATTTAAAGATTGCACAATTACTATTTTGTAATTAATTAAGTTATAGCAGACACTAATAAGATGCAATTATTTTAGACTAAAAATAGAAATTAAATATTATGAACTCAAAGCTGAGTGCAATTCAGTCAGGCTCGGAGCCTCCACGGAGGCTGGAATCTCTAACCGGGGGGCCTTGTTGGTGCTCGGTTACATTTAACTTTTTTTCCGGGATGCTGGCAAAGGGGACTGACGATGAAATTATGATCAGAGACAATCCTCAAACCCATGTCCAACTGTAGAATCTATATTTTGTGATCATGTTTTACAATTTTGGAAGGAAAGCTTAAGAAAGAGATCCAAAAGGACAGGTGAAAAGACTAGCTTCATTTCTTGGAGAGCCCTTTTGGAAGTTGACAAAGTGCTGTGGAGGTGTAGCTAGCTTGGAGAGGCTTAAGAACTTGGTTTAACACTTCTTTTCGCCGGAGAGGAAGACCGCCTTGATCAAATAACCGGCAAGAAGGTAGAGGGGCTCGGCCTTGATATTGAGGTATGAAGTTTAGAGCTTTATAACAGTAGTGATGTTGAGATCAAATATCAACTCTAATATTGTTGCTGCTCCCAATAGAAAATATTTGAATAAATGATGTTGAGATCGACCATGGTCTTTAATTATGATATTGCCAATCTAGCACATTACATATATACTATTACTATTACATATATACCTTCAATCTTTAAAGGTTGATTTTATTAGGGACGGAAAATTTTTACAGTCCCTAAAAATCATTTGTGACACAACTATTAGGGACGGTCAGATTTGATTATTAGGGACGATCTTAGGGTTTTTAGGGACAAATTTGGCCGTCACTAAAAACCTAATTTCTTGTAGTGTTAAATGAAGGATTTGCTTCTTCCGCTACAGTGCTTTTTATCCCAAATAAAACCGAAGCAACAAAAAACACCAAAATGGTGTTTCATATTTTGGGCCCAAATTTGAAAATGTTTTGCTACTGTTTCAAACACAACAAGCCCAACCAAACATATTTTGGGCTTCAAAGGAGATACTGTAGCAGGCCTAAAACAAAACAAAACACTTGTCAAACAGCCCGTAAAAGTTACGGATACAAGGGTATTGTACTTCTGAATTGGGCGGCTAATTGGAGCTTTGCTTGAATCTGATTACTTCAATCTAAACTCGTGGAAACTTTGTCTGGTCTATAATGTTACGTTTAGTGTACAGGAATGGAATGAAATGCAAGTGGGAATGGAATGGAATGAGAATGCGAATGGAATGGAATAGTCATTCTCATTCTATTGTTTGGTTGTAAATATGAAATGTGTAGGAATGGAATGATAATAACCATTCTAGTGTTTGGTTGGACCAATTTAAAATTTAGAATGAAATAAATTTCTAATTGAATTCTCCAAAATATCCCTCTTAGTAACAAATAAATTAAATTAAATTAAATTAACAAAATAATATTCTTTAATAATTTTTTAAAAATAAATGGTAGCAGTGGCGGTGGTGGATGGTGGAAAGCAGTAGTAGTGTAGGTGGTGGTGTTGGAAGACGACGGTGGTGGCAATGGTGAAAATTGGTGGTAGCAGTGGTGGTGGAAGCTGGCAGTGGTGTTGGTGGAAGGCGGTGGCAGTAGTATGGTGGTTGTGGTGGAAGGAGATAGTGGTGTGACTATAGTGGTGGTGGAATGTGGTGGTGAAAAGTGGTGGTGGTGGTGATGGAAGGTGGTGGTAGTGGTGGAAGGTGGTGGTGGCGGTAGTGGAAGGTGGTGGCGGCGGTGGAAAGTGGTGGGCAATGGCGAAATGTGGTGGCGGTGGCGGAAGGTGGTGGTGGTGGCAATGGTGAAAGGTGGTGGTGGCGGTGGTGGAAAGCGGTGGTGGAAGGTGGTGGTAGCGGTGGTGATGGAAGGAGGTAGAAAGCGATGGTGGTGGTGGAAGGTGATGGCGGCGGCGTTGGTGGTTGTTAAAGACGGCGGTGGCAGTGAAAAGTGGTGGTGGCGGTGGTGGAAGGCGGCGATGGTGTAGGGTTGTGGCTGTGGCGGTGGTGAAAGGTGGTGGTGGTAATGAAAGGCGGTAGCAGTGGTGGTAGTGGAAGGTGGTAGCAGTGGTGAAAGGTGATGGCGGCGACTGTGGTGGTGGAAGGTGGTGAAAGGCAATGACAGTGGTGGTGGTAGCGGTGGTGAAAGACGGCGGTGGTGGTTGCGGCAAACGATGGCGGTAGCGGTGGTGAAAGGTGGTGGTGGTGGAAAGTGGTGGGCGATGGTAAAAGTCGGTGGTGGTGGTAAAAGGCGGAAGTGGTGGTGGTGGAAGATAATGGTGGTTTTTAGACTTGGAATATGAGGGTGTTTTGGGAAGTCAATTTTTTAAAATAAATTACTTGACAATAGAATGACCATTCTATAGGCTTAGTTGTGGAATAGATTTTCATTCTCAAGAATGAATTTTTATTCCAATGGAATGGCCATTTCCACTTTAAGTTGCATACCAAATAAATGAATAGTTAAAATAAGCATTCCATTCCATTTCATTCCTACACACCAAATGATGCATAAGTTCTTCAATATTAATTGATTGCTATGTTTTAGAGCACAAAATGAGTGTAGCTTTAGATTGGATTTGTAAATTTCAACTAATTAATACTCCCAAACTCAACGCATATGTATTTTATGTTTTTATGAAATTCTTGAAATATGATTTTACATGTGTCAATGACAGTCTCGTCTAAGCAAAACTGATACATGGACTAAAATTGTCATCTTATAAGTTGCAGATTATCTTTAGTGAATCGTAGTGTTAAACTACATGTGATAACTTGCTATTTAGTCGTGGTAAAATGGGTCATGACTTACTAATTTGTCTATATTCGCCTATTATAAAATGAATATAGGTGAATTATTTTAAAATATGAGTCAAAATAGGTGACTCATATTTAACCAATTTTTATAGAGGGTTGAATATGGATCACCCATTTTGACCCATATTTTACCTATTATATAAGAGACTCAATTTCACAATCTCTATTTGACTCAAATTACTGTAATCCAATTTCTTTTGTATGTACTACTACGGCTCAAAAGAAACTTATGTTTACATCTATATTTCAAAGTATCTGATTTATTCATTTAATTATTTATTCTATAAAAAGCTTAACAAATGATTTCATAATATATATATATATATATATATATATATATAATATTAATATAATATAATATCTTACATTCATGCACGTCAAGTCACAAAATAAAATAATATAAATTTAATGAATTTTCAAAATAAATTAGAAAATTTACAAATATTCATTCATATTCTCGAAGCTTTTATCCATAAAAATAAAAATAAAAACAAAACAAAACAAAACTATAATAATGAGATTATTCAAAATAATAATATTTTTTTTCTAAAACGAATTAGCGGGTCATGACGGGTTGACTCGGCCCATTTTCACCTAATCTTTATTTAATCATTTCAAGTGGATTGAATATAAGTCACAATCCATATTTGACCGGTTCATATTTAATCTTGCTCAAATCCAACCGAACCGACCATTTGTCACCCTGGGTATTTTGAAGGAAAAAAGGTCTCCCCAAATGTATAGCGGTTAAAGTAGACTTTGAGCTCGGCTGAATTAAAGTATGAAATTTAAAGATTGCACAATTACTATTTTGTAATTAATTAAGTTATAGTAGAAACTAGTAAGATGCAATTATTTTAGACTAAAAGTATAAATTAAATATTATGAACTCAAAGCTGAGTGCAATTCAGTCAGGCTCGGAGCCTCCACGGAGGCTAGAATCTCTAACCGGGGGGCCTGGTTGGTGCTCGGTTACATTAACTTATTTTCCGGATGCTGGCAAAGGGGACTGACGATGAAATTATGATCAGAGACAATCCTCAAACCCATGTCCAACTGTAGAATCTATATTTTGTGATCATGTTTTACAATTTTGGAAGGAAAGCTTAAGAAAGAGATCCAAAAGGACAGGTGAAAAGACTAGCTTCATTTCTTGGAGAGCCCTTTTGGAAGTTGACAAAGTGCTGTGGAGGTGTAGCTAGCTTGGAGAGGCTTAAGAACTTGGTTTAACACTTCGTTTCGCCGGAGAGGAAGACCGCCTTGATCAAATAACCGGCAAGAAGGTAGAGGGGCCCGGCCTTGATATTGAGGTATGAAGTTTAGAGCTTTATAACAGTAGTGATGTTGAGATCAAATATCAACTCTAATATTGTTGCTGCTCCCAATAGAAAATATATATTTGAATAAATAATGTTGAGATCGACCATGGTCTTTAATTATGATATTGCCAATCTAGCACATTACATATATACTATTACAATTACTAGCTCTTTGTAGTTGCGGAAATGCCTAGTATTTTCAAATTGTAATAATGTGTACTTAGTAACAGCTAAGGTTCCATATCAAATTAATAAGAATATATGTACATTTAACACTAAAACACAAGTTTTAAATTTCATTAAGATATTTGATGCACTCTGATCGACTTCTCAAAATTACATGGTAATGCACACATGTCGTGTTTTACCCACCACTACCACTATCCTTCCAAAGCTTCTACTTTACATTAGTAACAACTCAGTTTTTATTAAAGAGACTTAGATCACATTACAAATTAAAGAGACTGGGATGATCACATTACAAATTATTACGCGCGAACAAATACATACAAGACCCCCAAACAACCCCCAAATTAAGCGCATACAGCTACAACAACAAAAACAAAAAATAATAATAATTAAAAAACTAAAAATGGCAGATCAAGAAACCCCAAAACTACACCAGCTACAGAACCTCCATCTGATTTCCACCTCAACTAAATCACCAACCCTACAACACACAACACGCACAGAGAACCTAAGAAGCCTGAGAGCCCGTCACCTGCTGCTGACCGAACTGCTCAGCCCTATCCTTCATCTCCCGAGCCTTAATCGCCAGCTTCATACGCGCTTGGTCCAACTGCTGCGCACCCGGTGGCTGCCTCCCCGTCACGTACCTGTAGATCCATGACAACACCGTCACCGCCGCCACACCGAATCCTCCCGACGCCAAGAACCCGGCCAGCAGAAGGAACACCGTTATGGCCGCAGGGACCACAACCGGACTGAATATCACCAGCAGAGGGGTGGCTAATGTGAGTGCGATTACGGTTCCGGCGAGGGTCAGTCCGGAGAGGAGAAGGAGAGACCCACCCGCGGTTACTACCGTGGCCGCCTTCACCACCTGGTAGGACCGGGGGTGTTGTTGCTCCAGCTGCTGACGATGCTGCTCCATTGATTCCTAATCCAACGGTCTGGATTGAATTGAATTGAATCACCTGATCAGATGTATACGCAATATTGTATATATGTATATATTAATTAGAATAAAGATCAGAATGGCGTTTTTGAGGATGAAGTGGCAGGGGGATGAGGGTGTTTATAGCAATGTATAGAAGAAAGGAAGATGAGGTGGCGGTGGCACCTGTTAAGAGGGAGTGGCACGTGTTGTCTAGCTGGTCATGCAGGGGTTGCATGCAAGGGATGAGCTTGGTTTTGAGACACATTAACTTTTTTTCTTTCACAATTTTAAGTCTTGTATTGAATCGGGTGTACTAAATCGATGGCAACATTACAAAGTAACACCACCTGCAACAATCAAATAATAATGTAACGTTATACCAATATTAAATTAAGAAGAGTTGGTAAGGCAATTATATAGAGTGTCATATGTTTCAGATTCGAGTCTATCCATTTTCATTATATTCTCTGACTGAAATTGGTGTTGAGGTGTAAGGTTGTCGACAGTATTTTCAGGTTTGTAATCTATAGTGGGTCCCGAAGGGGCCCTACTTAAGGGGTTCCTTGTGCCAATAAATAAATAAATTAAATTAAATTAAGAATTTTACAGATTTATATTTATTCCATTAATGGATTTGACTTTGTTACATTAACTATTTAAAATTATTACATAGTTATTTAAAATCATAGGGCAGACAAAAGATAAGTGAGAGTATCTGATTCATCGTTTTGGTGTGTTTTTAAGTTTTAAAAGTACGGAATTTTATCACTGTACTTTCCTAGGCATGTCCAAACCAGAAACAAATGGTTCGAACAAGTTCATGTGGCATTTGTTTATTAGTTTCTATTGTTCAGCCCAGTCTAGGTTTAACACCAAATGATGCATGGCCCAACCCAGAATATTAAAACCCAGGTTGGGCCTAAGGCCCTGGACTTGTGAACCTTTTTACTGGCTTGGTTGGAATAGCACATAACTACAATTATACAAGCTTGCTTTGGATTCGTGCCACGTCAATAGGTAAAACAGTACGCATTTTCAATCTCTCTGTGTTTTGTTTGTTTTGGCTAAGAGTATATTTTCACTGAGTGAGTCAAAGTCAAACACAATTTTCCAGCTAATCCCATCAATAATATGTACAAATTTTGCACGACTTTCATGTTTAAAATAAATGTTGTGATGGGTTGAAATGCCCACCGACAATACAATCAATATATATTATCTTCACAAATCACTATATCTGTTGAATTTACCAAGATGGCATATTATTAATCTGGTTAAACAAATTCGTGTTGAATTCATTGCCACACAACATCCATTTTAAACAAGTTAATCAACATAATTCTGGTACGACTTAATTCTTTTATATAATTTGATAAACTCCTTCATAACACAAACCCATTTAAGACCCATGTCTATATTTGCGCTTTCTAATAACTCTCAAATTTCACTTAACTCTCTCAAAAAGTAAATGACATAAACTTATATATCTAAGAACACTCAAATCAAACAATTGTTTTCGTTTGTCAATCTATATAACTGTAATGGGTGAACACTTGTCTATTTATTTAAAAATTTAAGTTATTGGGTAATGTTGTATACCCATTCATTTATACCCAATCATTCTACCATCCAGATCCAATGTATGACAAATATCCCCTTCTAACATTCTCCTCCACCCGAACTCGCAACTCCCTCGTTGCGGTCAGGCTATGTTATAAGGGAAGACTTGTCCCACATCGGATTTAGATGAAAAAAGGTATGTGTATAAATGAGTGCGTACGCAATACTACCCAATAACTTAAGTTTTTGGGTAAATGGGCAAACGCCCAGCCGTTTTAATTGCTATCAAAATCATACCCAATTCTTAATCCGGTGTCCCGCTAAGCGTCCGAGTAATATATAATTTCATTTACTCCAAAAATTAAGTGGCGAAATAGTCCTTTCATATACATCGGATCCCATTTTTATTTATTAGAATAGCTCTTCCAATAAGTCTAAGTTGTGGAAAAGACTTTTTTGTAACATCCTAGCATCTAAATTTATAAACAAATATTTTTCTTCTGTTTTTTTTCACATCTTCGTGTGGACCACAAATAATGCATGAAATGAACCAGAATTTGCATGAATTATGGGTGTTTCATGTGTGATAGAATTGACTTATGAAAATTATATGTGGAAAGTGTACTGAAAATTTGATTACTCCTTTTTCACATTTTCCTTTTTTCGCTTTTGTAGTTAATGTTGGGAAGACTTAGATATTGACTCTCATAATGTAAAAGGAACATTTAGTTGAAAGGTGGTTCAATTATTTTTTGCTTTTTATGTGTGAACTATATAATTAAAAGTTTATTATTCCTTTCATATGTACGTTTTGACTTCTTTTTTTTTAATTCATTTACACTTGTTTTCAAAAAGTCATTGCGTGATAAATATTCAAGACTTGACCAATACACATATTCAATCAATTACTGGTTTGTTGTGTTTAAAATATATTTGAAAAATAAGATTTGAAAGGTGAACTCTTTTTAACCATTTTTAATCTATAATTTCAAACGTAGATGTTAAAGGGGGTTGAATAAGTGAAAAACAACACATTAAAATTAAGAAAAAATTACAATCACAGCAACATGATGTAACCATCCATCAATCTATGAGGTCAACCTAATTGTAAATTAATTAGTGGTCGTTTTCACAGTGGACTAACATATTAACAACAGATACTCCATGGATACACAAAGTAAAAGGTAAAAGAGATACCAAGTTATCTAAGACCCTCAGTAATTACTTCGGTTAATCGGTATTGTTTGGTGGCTTCCCACGTGTCATTCCGTGATTGGGACATGTAATTGCGTATAATTGGTTCTTTTGTTGTTCGGGTGGATTTCTCTGACTGGTGGGGTATTTTTGGTCCCACAATGTTTTTCTCTATTCGAGGTTTGTAAAATGTAAGAACAAAGTTGGACTTCATAATTGAGGTTGACGATGTCAATTGTTGGTCGGTGTAAGAAAGGTTATTTGTATCCTCTCACAATGAAAAAGTAATTGAATATAAATAGATAAATATACAACACTAACAAACATTTTGAGTTTTAAATAAATAATTAAATGTCCATCCGTTACGATTAGTATTAAAATTATATCCAATCATTGATTCGGTATCACGCCAAGAGCCTGACACAAAGGGCATCTTGGTTTTTTAGCCCCGATAGACAGGGTGACCCGAGTTATAACGAGGGGCATTGCGAGTTTGGGTGAGAGAGAATGTAACAACACTCATTTGTCCCACATCAGATCTGAATGGGAAAATGATCGAATATAAATGGATGAGTATGCAGCATTACCCAACAATTTAAGTTTTTGAATAAATAGAAAAACATCTACCCGTTACAATTGGACATTAAGTTAATTTGAGTACGTTTTTTACTCGTTTTCAAATGTTCAGTGAACATGATTGATTGATGAATAGGAGAATATGCATATTCTGTTCCACTAATGTTTTTACTTCGTGTGTGTGTTTTTTTTTTTTTTAGTTGTGTATTGAAGCGAAGTAAAAATATAAAGCATATTTAACAACATTTGTTATTATTTGAATAGTACCAATTCTACCGAAGCGCTTCCAATATTAAAGCCAAGATCAGAAGTGTTAAATTCTATTATATATAATTCTAAGATTTACCGTAACCATCTTCACCTATCTACTTACCATAAGTAGATATAGAATTATATACAATATAATTTAAATGAAACATAAAAATAATATTTTTGTTTACTTTTGTATGGTAGCAAATTTTTAACTAGCTATTAAATTTTTTAAATTTGCAACATTTTTTATCAAATATGTTTTTATATTTTTGCTTTAAAAAATTTTGCAACAAATTTACATAACTAAATAAGTTTTGAAATAATATTAAGCACACTATAAAGTATAAACACTATTTTTACTTCCAGTCAAAAACAAACCTATACCTAGATGATTTCATCCAAGATGCAATAGGCGCCATTAAAGTTTATAGTGGGTGAAAGGATGAGAATCATTAGGTAGTTTTAAGTCCACGTTGAAGTAAAGTCAAATATATAAATATATACATTTCCGAAGAAAAATTATTAAGAGCCCCAAAATCGAACTCTTCCCTTGTAAGTATGTGGTTCGAATGGATTTCAGCTCATCATTCGGTTAGACAATACATGAATATGGAGCGGTGAATAGGAATCCCCTCATCACCGTTTTATCACCGCGTGACATAATGTTTATTTTTAAATTTATATATATATATATATATATATATATATATATGGAAAAAAATATCACATACCCACTGTACTATCTCATTTTCGTTCAAAAAAAATTCACTAAAATTTAAAAGTTCCCTAAACTAAAGAAATATTATCAAGTTACCACACGCCTATGACCGATCAGTTCATTAGATAAAATTAATTTTATAATTTAATTTTAAATTAAAAATTAATATTTATTATTATGAAATTACAAAAATACCCATCTTATTCTTCCTATTCTCTCTCTGGAACAGCTGGCTCACTCTCCTCCCACTCTCTCACTCCTCTTCTGCTTATTGATTCATGGTGCGGGCGGCGAAACTGGCCACCAAGACTAAAGCCGCCGACACCGTCAGTCTCAATCAATTTTCTGTCTATCAAGCTATCATCAACTGCTAGAACATGGAACTGTGCATCACTGGCAACATAGCCCATTGAAAATAATAATGAATCAACCAAACACGACCCAACAGAGAACGAACAATAGGAGACTTGGAATGAGGGGTTGTGGATGATTTTGGAGAGTTTATATGATGACCCATTAGGACATAATTGCCAATATATATATATATATATATGAGATATGGTTGATTGTATGGAAAACAAGATCAGGCCAGATATGAATCAGAATCTCCAGGATCTTCTAGGTTGATCTTCAAATCGGAGAAGAAGCAATGAAGCTTCTTTTTTTAGTATTTTTTGTTTTAAATTTTATATAACTATAGGACTTTCCAAAAATATTTTATTGGCTCTTTATCTAAAGGTGGAGCCAATAAAAATTAATGTTACAAATCTATATATATAAGGAAACTGCTAGTACAAACGGCGCCACTTTGTTAATAATGAAAGGGTAAATTTGTCATTTTAAAAATAATTTTTAAGTTTTAATTTAATATTAAATAATAAAGTTAAATTTATCATTTCACAATTACGAGTTTAGAAGTAAAATGATGAGTTTTGTCATTTAAGAGAGTGTTAAATTTTAGTGGGATTTTTTTAAACAAAAAAGATAGTATAAGAGTTTATGTGATTCCCCCCCCCCTCTACCCCAACACACACACACATATTGTCTGATTTTTTTACTCTTATATTTCAATATTAAAATATTGATGATGCATCATTGATCAAACCTGAATATGATTATAATCCACATTCTTTTTTAATACTAAGTTGGAATTACTTCATTGTCCCCAGCATTTTCACTCTCCCTCCCCAATCACAAAATTGACAACCAAACACCCCCCCCCTTAACCACGTGAGAAAGCAAATAGGAGGTTTGTATGCTTTTTCGGATTAATCATTAAATAAACATATATAATGTTTTTAGGTATAAATTATTTTATTATCAAATATGATATATTATTTTATTATTAGACTAAGCTAATCACCAGTCACCAATTAGTAATTAAACATTATCCTTTGAATAATTAGTGGCCGTTTTCACAATTAACATATCACATTATGGTATTGTTTCATTTCATAGTTACCAAACAACACCCTTCACATAAAGCAAGCCCTTTTTTACAATACAGTCGAACACAAACTATCATCCTACTAGCTAACCAGTAATTGCTCGCCAACTGGCAATTCTCTTATTTGACAGCCAATTTGAAACACACTCGATTCGTCCTTCATTTCAAATTCGGCTTGTTCATCCACTTCTCCATTCTTTATCCGCTTCTGCGAGCCACTGTCCGAAGACGGCGACGAAGTCGGCTCTGCTAACCTCCGTTTAGCCGTGACTCTAACCGGATCAGGCTCGTTCGAGCCGACTCGGTGTGGAAAATTCAGCAAAGCACGCGAGCCACGCATCCTAAAAGCCGCTTTATCATAAGCCAGCGCGGCTTCCTCCGCCGTCTCGTACGTCCCGAGCCAAACCCTAGCGCCGTTCTTCGCCGGGTCCCTTATCTCCGCCGCGAACTTCCCCCACGGCCTTTGCCTCACCCCCCTGAAATTCCTCCTCTTGGGCGGCGCCACCACGGGAGCCTCCAATTCAGGCGTAGGCGTAGCCGTACTCGGAGTCGTAGGCAGCTCCGCGGACTCATCTTCCGGCTCAGGCTTAACGCCCGTCGCCATTAAATTAAACGGCGTCCATCCATCACTGACGGCGTCACGTAAAAGGCCGTATATAACCATGTCTTCCGAGTCGTCGACTTTTAACGGTAAGTCTCCCCAAGTATCTGTTGACAAGCATTGGATGAGACTACTGAAGCTCGAGCTCCGGTGATACACCGGCAATTCCCCGAAATTTGTCGCCGGAAAACTGCCATGTTGGTACTGGTACATGGTAGTGTAATAAATTGGGACTTGAAGAAATGGGGTTTTCGAAATTTTGGAGTGAGAAGTTTGAAGAAGTGATGAGAGAGAGTTAAGAGGAATTAATTGTTTCAGGTGAGAAGGAATTGGAGGGGTTTTTATAGTAAATAGGTGTGAATAGATTCATGCACTTTGGGTCAGTATTGTAATTTTGTTATTGTTTGGTAATAATAGTGTTAAGGGGTTTCCTTGAAAGTTCATGAGGGCAAGTGGGCAAGCAGGAGACCTGTATTTCCATCACGTGCCCAAAAAAGTAACTCGCAAAAATATCATTTTTTTTACTTTATTAATGCGCAATGCCCACGAGACGCACACTCACATGAGTCCTATATTATTAATTAATTAATAAATAACACAAGAATGTTATCCTACTAATAATAATAAATAATTAAGAATTGAGCTAAATCATGATCGAAGATGGAGATAAGTGCAAAAATAAAAATACTTTTTAACTATATTACGAGATTAAAATCAATAGATTTCAAATTTTAAAGGAAAGAAGGGTTGTTGCTTGAAAGTAAACTGCTTGCTTCAATTTACGTCAAAGCCATTGACTCATTTTATTCATTTATGCAATAATTTTTGTTGCCGATGGGGCAACATCGTGAGAGAAGAGCGGAAAATGATATTGTCGTGGGACTATTTAGACAATGGTGTATTTAGGAATGGTCAATGGGATTAATATTAGGGATTTAAGGTATGTTAAGCTTGAGTCTGTTTGGTTGGACTTTTATTTTAAAGCTCATATGAGGAGAATAATATTGAATTTTTTAATTAATTTTAGAAGGAACGAAGGTAATAATATTTTATTAATATATAAAGAGAATATATATATATATATTTATTTATTTATTTTCCCATGACGATTTAATGTATTTTTTTCTTAATAACTAATAACGTGAAATATTTTCGTAATGTGTGATATGAACCGAAATATGATATTAATTACGCACTATGTTTGCATTTAATCACTCTAGATATACGATTATAAAATTTTACATTTGTCTTTGTGCATCATAACATAATTAAATTTCGATTTGTTTTGGATTTTTAAATGAAAATAATTAAAAACGTTTCCATTGAAAATTGCACATATGACAGCCATCTTTGTGCATCATAATTATTAAATTGAGGTTTGTGTTGGAGTTTTTTTTTTCCTTCTTATATTTAAAAGAAATAATAAAAAAAAACGTTTCAATTGGAAGATGCACAAATGACAACAACCCTACGAGTATTATAATTGGAATGACAAAGCATACACAAAAGCAGTTTCGGTGAGAAGCATCCTTTTGTGGTGATATTATTATAATAATGTCGGAGCTGGATTAATGATGATGATGCTTTGCCGTCCGTTTCAAGCATCCCTCCATATCTATCCATTTTTCTAATCAAAGAGAAGCTTTGCTACCTAGTAGTGCTTAGCAACTAGCAAGGGGCATCAACCGATGTGCTCACACAGCACACTCTGTGTACTGTGTGTCTGTGTGTTTTGCTTGAAAGGGGGGTTAGAGCACGGATAGTGGTGACTTGGTGGAGGCCAATGTGAGTTGCATTATTATATTGGTTTCCTCCACAAAGACTATTGTATTGTGTTTACAGTACTAAATCCATGACGTAATAATAATAATAAATAGTTTAAATTTGAATATAAAATTTAAACTAATTTCCTTCCATTTCAATTTTATATCTTTAAACTTAATTTTAAGAAAATCGATCTAGCTAAAAGCCTCTTTTTTAATTCCTTCTTTTTTTAGTGCATAAATATTGAGCAATCAAATACTTTGAAAAATGATATTTTAAAAGTTAAATTATACTGACCTCTTTTGAAATTTGGGCAAATTACACACGAGTAGATCATTCAATGTTTATTGTTTTGACTTCCTTCAAACTACTTCCACAAGGTCAAAAAGTGATTTTGAGTGTGAAAAATTAATAATACCCTTATATTATAATAGTAGTAATATATTATATTGCATTTTATACAAGGTGGGCCAAAATTGTCATTTCATAAAATTAGATCAACATATCTGTCAAATATATAAATATATATATGGTCAGCAATCAACAGGTCAACATGTAAAATTGACATTTTGTAAAATTAGGTCAACATGGTTGTCAAAAAAATAAAAATAAGTTGCTAACACGTGGGCGACTGAATCGCATGTAGCACCGCTCTTTTAATTATGCTTAATTAATGCATTACAAATATGTGAAAAGAATATGATTTTTTGTTTAATTTTACACAAATATTAATTATACATCATTTACCAAAAATTTATTAATTTTACATCATCAACATAACAAACTGCACTATTTTGTGTTTAATTTTACAGAAATATTAACTTTGCACCATTTACCAAAAAAATTATTAATTTTACATTATCAACATAACAAACGACACTATATTGAGGCAAAAGGCAATATCTATTCAAAGCGCAGCAAATTTTCAAACACGAGCTTTGAAGTTTTCTCAATCTCATTCTGCAGAAATATTATGACTCAAGTTCTTGGCTTATATACACGCACTCCACTTGGATATTTTAAATATCTATATCTATATATATATATATATATATATATATATATATATATCGATAGATAGATATACGCATAATAGATATAGCTTCTCTGCAATCAATTAAAGCCACTTTGTCGACGAGGCAATAGATTTCTACATCAGAGCCCCTCTATAATTTATAAAAACTGACCAAAAGCCTTCGATAAATTTCAATTTTAGTGAGAAAAGGGACACAATTGTCAACCAACATCGTCGGTAGATTTAGTAAAAAAAATTCAAGTCACACACTCTCTAGTTGCTTATATTTTTCGAATAAATAGTGTTCAAATTATACAACATGTAGTGTAATTATTATAATTGTGAAACACATGCTTAATTAAATGCATATAATACAAGTAAAATCATTTACAATAATTCTCTCTTATAAATTTTCTTCATGTGCTATAGTATTCCGACAGGACTAGCTTCCAGACACTACTTGCTCCTTGCTAATCGAGAATATGACCTATCTTCCGACACTACTTACCCCTTATTAATGGAGAAATTGACCTATCTTTCGACATTATCCGCACAAAATGACTACTATTACCATTCATAGTTTAATCACGACACTAACCAACATCCGTGTAAGTTATTAAGCCTAATCATTCAAATATGATTGTTAAATTAAGAAGCTTATCCTTCTATGAAGTGACTGTCCATTTTGAAAGCCAATTTGACTGAAATTTCACTTTCATACTTTTCAATGCCCAAAAAAACATATCTAAATTACAATCACTTACATACTTTTCAATGCCCAAAAAAAATATCTAAATTACAATCACTTGCATACTTTTCAATGCCCAAAAAAACATATCTAAATTACAAATCCGTCCACACACTGCTCCAAGTATTGAAAAATCTTGAGATATTAACTCCATCATTATCATCATCGATCTAATCCAAATAGTGAAAAATTTAATTAAATATCTACAGATATAATAAATTAATTAAATATCTGCAGATAAAATTAGTCCTAACAGATTAGTTCTGAAGCAAAATCAAAATCCAGGTACATAAAAAGTTAGGTGGTCTGATTCATCCCCTAATGAAAAGAAAAGGCAGCAAAATTAAAATTTAGAAAAATTAATGAGAAGCCATCAGCATGGAAAGGCATGCAATTAAGAGACAAGTTGATGAGTGTGACATTTGCAAGTTGCTACTTACAGTTGCCTCAAAGTCCATTTATACAGGTTGGTACGTCTTTATTTATTTTCAATTTGTAGAAAGCTAAGTTTCTGTTTCAACCTTCAACCACCTAATTTTTTTGTCATTTTTTGTAAGAATATATATTGAATTTTGCTTGAAAAAATTCAAAATCAATAAAAAGTTAGATTACCCAGGTAGGCAACGCCCTATATAGGAATAATAGGATAGCAGCCCTAAGTTAGAAAATACAAATAACATATTTGTTTGTGAGTGTTCAATACAAATAACATTTTTTTTTATTTTTTTCATATTTGTTTGTGTTCATATATATATATATATATATATTTGTTCATATATATATTTTTTTTGTGTGTTCACACAAACATATATATATATTTTTTTGTGTTCATATTTTTTTTTTCTTTTTTCATGTGTGTTCATTTTTGTTTGTTTGTTTGTGTTTGTTTGTATGTGTTCATATTTTTTTTCATTTTTGTTTGTGTGTTCATATTTTTTGTGTGTTCATATTTGTTTTCTTTTTTCATATTTGTTTGTGTTCATATTTTGTGTTTGTCATATGAACACACAAACATATTTTGTGTTCCTATTTTTTTTTTTTTTTTTTTTTTTTTTTTTTTGTGTGTGTTCATATGAACACACAAACACGTATATATATATATATTTTTGGTATTTTCTTTCTTCTTTTTTCATATGCGTTCATTTTTTTTTTTTTTTTTTTTGTGTGTGTTCATATTTTTTTTCTTTTTTCATATTTGTTTGTGTGTGTTCAAATTTTTTTTTTATTTTTTTTTATTTTTTTATCAACAGACCAATGACCTAACGGTACCAAGTTCTTATTTCTCAAAGAAAGGTCAGGAATTCGAACCTTAGTGGAGGCATGTGTGTGTGAGTACTAACTAAGAAAAAAAATAAATAAATAACACGTGTGTGTTCAATTTTAAGTTGACATTTTTTTTTCTTTTTTCATAAATGAGACGTGTGTGTTCAATTTTAAGTTTTGTAATACAAGAATACAAATAACATCATTATCGATAGGATTTTTATTATATAATTTTTAATATTGAGTTTGTATAATAAGATGTGTGTTCTTTATTTCTTTTTCTTTTTCTTTTTCTTTTATTATATGTAGAAGATAAAAATATGAAATTAATTGCTGATGGAAGTGCCCTTGCTGGAGCTTTGGTGGAGGATAAGGACCATGGGCCATGTCCATATCCCCATATCCAGAGAGTACAAAATTTCACGGATCATACACCATCATTTTGTGGGCACCCATCATCCCCCAATTAAGAAAAATTATCACATGATCTAAAAAAATAATGAACGAGTAAAAAAAATAAATAAATAAAATTAACAAATTAATTTATGTATCAAGTATCAACTAATTATTGTTGGTTATTATATAATAATTTCTCCTAATAATTACCACACTCCCTCCTTTCCCTCACTCTCTCTCTCTCTGGATCTCTCTCTCTCTCTCTCTCTCACACACACACACACTTGAGATATGAATTTGAACTCTCTCAAAATATCCCAAGCCATAATACTACCGTCTCTTTCTTGGTTTGTTATTTTGGTGATTTATTATTGATGGAATTTTAGAATATTCCAGTTACAAATTGTGAAAGTGCCTTGTATTAAACTTTGAAAACCATATGAATTAAAGGAGGTCTATCACATTAGGGGTCTCACAAATTTTTACATGATTTAAAAATGGACTACTTGATCAATACACTTAAATTTTAAAGTGAAATTCAATAGGTAGAATTGAAATGTATGGATGAAGTATATGAAAATTAAAAGAAACTCAACAATATCATAATTTTTGAAATATTCTTTTGTTCTATCAAAATGTATAAGATGTTATTATATGATGCGCAATTTTTTGTGATACGCATCTTAAATATATATATATATATATATTAAATTTTAGTATTACTCTTTATTATGCCAGTATCAACATTACACTAATTATTGGTCTATCTTTGTCTTAGTGAAGTTGGGTCTGAACTCTCAAATCATAGATCAAGGTTTTAAAACTTGTAGAGAGAAAATAGAAAGGAAAAAGAACGCTGACCTCCTCATTATTTGTCAAATTACATTTATCTCCTTTGAGATTTCATGTGTAAATAATACATACCCCTTTTTCGTTAATGGTCAATGAAAAAAAATATTGATGTCTATAATTTTTTAGCCTTTTAAATTCCAATTCAATCATTAAGAAACATGTTTATTGCAAAAGGGATAATCGCCCAAGGTGAAAGGACAGTATTGGAGAAAGTCCTATTTTCTACTAATGTTATTTGTACCCAAAAAGTTCTGTGCCTCTGATCCATCTTTATAAACATTTTTAATCATCACACCAAACAACACCTAATAATGGATTATAGGGACACGACGGTGTTTGCAAAAATTTAAAAAATTTAATTTTAAGGTTTTATTTTCGAATCACACTATTAATATAAATGATATATATATTATAGGACGGATACACGTAATAATACTATTTTAAAGTCAAACCCCAAAAAAAAAAAAAAAAAACCACACAACACGGGTACAATGTTAATACCATGAGAGATGGTTAATTGAATTACTACGTAGTAGAATCAGCATGCTTACATCATAATTGAGTTGCTTGTTTGGTTGAATGCATACGATGTTGAAATTGAACAAGTTGCAGCAAAAATGTCTGTCATTTAACCATCTTGGGTCCCACGCATTTTCCGCACACGTCACACACAACTTGCATTGCATGTCGACCGTTTATTCATTCGTTTCATTAAAACGCAAAGGCCTGGTGTCTCATTTTCTGTTAGCTGTTATTGTGGCTCTGTTAGCACACGGTTTGGCATTTTGTTTAATGATCTTATCCACTACCATTTATTTCTTCTTACACTGAAGGAGTTTAAACTGTTTAGTGATGTACACTGCTTTATTATATTTTATTTTATTTTTATATTTAGTAATTAATTTATTCTTTGCTATTAGTTTCTTTTACAGTTATAAAGTTTTATTTATTATAAAAACATGAACCAAGATAACTGAAATATTTATTCACTTTATTAATATAAAATTAAATTTCTCTACATTTTTTTTTTTTTTTTTTTTTTTTTTTTTTGGGTGAGATTCAAGATAACTCCCGATTTCTGGGAACGTCTAATTATCCATGGCCCTAACCTTTCAAACAATCTTTAACCACAAGATAACATCAAAATTTGAGTGCCCCACTCAACTAGGTGAGCATAATGTAATAGAATCCGCTATTGACTTTGTACATTATTAGACAACAATGTTTTTACCTTCCAAAAAAAGAAAGAAAAAAAAAAGATAGACAAGTCAGTGGACATGTGCAACACAATTATATGGTTATTGACATGAACTATTATTGTTAAGATTATTGCAACCATAAATTGGAAGGATAGATTGTTTAAAAGTCAAGTAGGACAAAAGCCACTGAAAGTGATCTTACCTGGCAAAGATATATGGAATCTCCAAACACAACTAACATAGCTTCAACACTAAACTCACGGTGTCAATTATGTTAATCTAAGAATTTGCAATGCGACCCTATTAATGACAAAAGGATAAGGTGAGAGTGTGCGAGTCTGCTCCTTTGTTCCAGCTACAAAACTCATATCATATGTATACATATTTTCATACATACATACATACATACACACACATATATACGAGTATATATATACTAACTAGTATAGTCCCCAAACTCAATTCCGTGCGCATCCACACTACTCCCATTTCAACTCTCTCCTCTCCCTCTTTCTCTCTCTATAATATATATATATATATATATATATATATAAATGATGACGACACCAGATGAGTCCTCAGCTTTAGAACTCATACGCCGACACCTTCTAGGAGACTTCAACTCCACAGAATCATTCATCAACAGCCTCCCTCTTTGCACCTCCTCCTCCTACTTCAAACCCGTTAACTCCTCCGAAAAATCGGGCCCTTCGCCCTCCGAGTCCGATTCCAACTCCAACGTTTCTGACCCGAAACACACTGGATCATACAATTCAGACAACGAGATGGCAACATCAGATTTCACGGAAACCGAAACGACGCCCCGAACCATCGACTTAACTACGCCGAAACCCGAACCTTTCATTTCGGATCAAAGCACGAACTTCGATGTCCGCAAATTCTCGCTGTTACAGACGTCTCCGCCGGAACAGGGTAAACCCGATTCGCAATACGACGGGTCGAGCCGGGTATCGTCGGAATCGGCCGCACCGATGATGAGGCAGTACAGAGGAGTTCGGAGGCGGCCGTGGGGGAAATTTGCGGCGGAGATCCGAGATCCGAACCGGAAGGGCTCTCGGGTCTGGCTAGGGACGTTCGACACAGATGTTGATGCAGCGAGAGCGTACGACTGTGCGGCGTTCAAGATGAGGGGAAGCAAAGCGATACTGAACTTTCCGCTGGACGCCGGGGAGTCTGACCCACCGGTGAACACTGGCCGGAAGAAGCGGAGAGTAGACATCGGAGTAACCTGAATCGTGGGTGATGGTGACGGCGTACTTAACGTCACCTACACCGTCGCCGCTATCTTTGATCTAGGCAGGTGTTAAATGATTGGCAGTTAAATATGGATACTATTGCTTGCACTACTACCAGGGGCCCAAATTAAGGGAAGTATAATCCGAAATATTTAGGGTGAATATTTATTAGTGTGTAAAGTTTTCGATATTTATTTGTACCGGGAAAAAATGTTTTCGGTATATATATATTATCAAGCCTGTTGTATTGTACATAAAAACAATATTGTGACTTTTGAGTTCAATGAAGTTGCTTAATTGCTTTTATTAATGAATCTAACTTTTAAAATAAAATAAATAAATAAAATGGGCATAGGCAATCACCCAATGTCACCTGTGTTAGTGTGGTTGAATTTATACAAAATCCAAGTCATCCAAATTGAGCAAATGGCCCCTCACGATATTTTACATGCAAACTTGTTTGATAGCTTTCAACACAATGATAGCGTCATAGACTTGATTGTTATCTAATCATACCTAAATTAGAGTATTCAGTTTCGAACTTAAATTAGAATATTCAGTTTCGAATCTTTGCATCTCCTACCTATGTAACATCTTTAACTATATATTAATTAATTTTTATTTTTGTGGCTGACAATATTGTATTGTGAGTGTGCATAAAATTGTTCCAACTTTTTTAGACAAAAATAAATAAATAAACAAACTATATAATAATTAATTTTTATTTTTGTGGCTGACAATATTGTATTGTGAGTGTGCATAAAATTGTACCAAAAATAAATAAATAAACAAACTATATATTAATTAATTTTCATTTTTGTGGCTGACAATATTGTATTGTGAGTGCATAAAATTGTTCCAACTTTTTTAGACAAAAATAAATAAATAAACAAATGATATACAGCACGGAGCAGATAAGATAAACATAATATAATGTTACAGCTCAGCAGACTTGCAAAGATATATATAGTTGTAGTTAGAAGCATGGTCCCACCTCATTGAGCTGCCACGAATAAATTTGTGGCCCACACTGTCACAGGAACATTGTAAAAGGTTGTATCTGGCCATCATACACACATAGATGTCGATCCCCAAAAGAGACAGGAGACATGTTTCTCCAGTTGCATGGGGGACCTTAATTGAACCCACTTGCTAAAAACATCATCTCAATATCTTCAACTCTACGTACAACATTTCATAGTAAGCTACAGCTGCTACTGAAAGAAATATGAGGCAAGTTGATGAGGAAACCACAAATCATCGGATTCTCTCTCATACATATACATATACATATAAGTGCTTACATGTATACATATATAATCCCCATGTGTCTTAAGAATTTCTGGTCATTCACCATATATGGTGCCAATTCTCTCAGTATATACCATGAATGATCATGCATATACAGGCAAGATGCGTGTGGCTCATTAGGTTTGCTACAAATTGCTAACGGTAACTTCTAAACTGCTCTGCTTTCCTAGTCAAACACCATACAGCATTTCAATAGGAAAACAACACTTGATCTATTTTATACAACAATAGGGAATTTTGGATTTTTTTCACGGTAACGTTTTCCTTCTACAAGCAACTGAAATATTACGGAAGAAAATACCGAATCAGCACATTGAATTTGAAATTGGAAAAAATTCAATACAAAATTTGAACTAAATTTTCTCCAATCCCAAATCCAAAAAACCAATTTGGTGCTGCTAAGCATAAGGGCATATTAGAATGCATTACATGTATTGATAGATAGTGTGTGCTCATTTACATTACAACATCTAATGAATAAATAATATTCCTATAGTTGTTTTTTAACTATAGGATTTCAAGGCATTAAGCAACATTGACAGACCTGTCAGCTTTCAAACTGCACCTAACTCCTACAATTTAATGCTCCACAAAATGAAGATTAAGGTCCCGGCACGCGATGTGGCACCAATCACCATCCAAAGTTGATAAGATTCTAAACAATAAAATGATCAATCATATGTTGTATAACATCTGCACCATCTGAATGCATGTAGCTGTATTTGACCTATAAAGATGTTAAGCTGGAGTTCAGATCTCCTCTATCCAATTAAAAAACGAAAATGTAAAAGGACAAAAAATATATATATAGAGAATATCAACATGCTGTATGAAAGCTACATGCAGAATACTGCCAAAAAGCAGGTGTTTATTTCTGAACCAAATATGGGAGATAAACTTTTGTATTAATGACTTTCTAAAAAAAAAATGCCTTCATGCTAAAATCATGGAAGAATAAGTTTAAGCATTGTTTGGTATCAAGGACAATTGTGAAACAGTTTTAGGAACTCATAATGCATTCTGTTGGGAGCAAAAAATTAATGCTTTGTTGTTATTAGATGACAAATGGAATCAGCAGCTTGGTGTTTTGTCTTTTCCATTTTCATTTCTTCTAATTCTGGGATGCTGCTTTTCAGAGAAAATATGCAGGTAGTGCAGGTCCTTTTCATCACATAATATGCAACAATCTAATAATATTGCTAATCAACATCAATACACGTTACATACAATGGCATCCATCTTGCTAGCTATTCCAAGATATCAATATTGGTTTAAAAACACGTGGGAGTCTCAAAATACATAATGAACTTTGAAGGAGGTTTCATATTCCCAAAAATATCTAAATATTTGCAAGATCATGTATTCATGTGATTTGCTCACTAACATCTACGGAGTATTTCTTTTAAATTATCTATGTACCAGCAAAAATTCCCAAATGTTAAAAACACAGATCATGCAGCAATTTCATTAAAATAAATAAATAAGATTCAATATGCTCAAACAAGCATAGAGTTGATTAGATTTAAAAAAAATACTATATAATTACAATTTTCTAAAAGCAGTATTAAACTCCAAATTGACTTGATTGTTAAACAGGGAAAATTGCCAGAAGCCAAGGATTTCAGTTTCCATAACAACCAATAAGTAAACCATGCAATTTTCTTTGCCTACCATTTGACCCAAAAAAGAAGTAGGCAAACCTATTAGACAACCAATTACCCAAAACATTAAGCTGTTTAGGAATTACCCTAACAATATACATAAAGCTCTTTGCATCCTTTACATGCAAACTACACGTAGCATGTGAAAAGTCAGCCAGACAAACTGAATAAAGTGCGAATAAACAGCGAATGAAAAACATATGCAAATGAAGAAACTTGAATGCATTTGTTAGCTTAGGATTTTGGAAAATAGTTGTTTAACATTATACCAAAGCCCCCTTCTCTCTGCCTATATATACTCTATCCTTACTGTCTGTCTGTCTCCCCACGTGTGCCACATGTGCGAGGGGTGTGAAAGCTTGATATATACTATTAGACCCATTCCTTAACAGCTTGAACTTTTGGACTGAACGGTTGTCTAACTTGGTAAAGAACGTGAAAGTTTGATATACATTGATGGGCCTATTTCTTTAACAGCTTACTCTTCTTAATTTGATTGTCTTACATCGTATACTTTGTTTCTATGGAAAACATTTACTCGGCAAATTCGTAATAGGACCAACTACAAACAGCAACAAATGGAAAATTCCCTTCTGGAGGGGCAGTGAGAGATAGCTATTAGAGAGGTTGATCAGGGAGGGTGCAGTGTCCACAGGGGATCCCTCTAGTGAAAGAGAAATTACACATATACAAAAGAAGCAACCAAAATCCAGGTAGAGATACACCTGTGGTGCAATCATTGCAGAACCAATGCATTCTCACACGAAGGAAAACAATGGTAAATATATTCTCACAAAAATTTGAGAGAAAATTACATCAAATCAGTGAAAGCGAGACATGACTTGAGAAGATGACCAATTAATGAAAATTCTTCACTGCATTATATTCTGCTAAAAATGATTTCCGCTACAACTACAACAAAGGAACCTTTTAAATATATACATAAACTTTGTTTCCAGGAACATGAACAGCAAGATAACAGGCATGGTATGCAAACAGATATATATATATATATATATATATATATATATATATATATATATATGCATGTGTGTGTGTGTTTTCTAGTACAGAGGCAGAGAGAGAGAGCTACCTGAATAACACTGTGAGCAGCAAACTTCAGTATGCTACTGTGAAAGCTAACATCTATTTTTTCCCATGAGACACGAGATAGGCCAGTCACCAGTTCCTCTGAATTACAAGTCCAAACAACAATTTCTTAACAATGAGAAACCCATAAAGAGAAGGAAAAAATAAAGCAGTATTTAATTATAATTTCAAGTTTGTATGGTAATTATCCAAGTTGATCTCATCAAAAACAGTCGATAAGGATCCATTAGCAGAGGGAATAAAAGCTTGAGCTGACGATTTGGTGACAACAAATACCCTAATTTTGACCATCCTGAAACACATTAGTAACACCTGAGAGATGGTTACTCTTTTCTCCCTCGTTTTCCATAGTAATAATTTAGGATCAAACATAGCAGATTTTATAATAAAAAAACCACCCAAAAAATTCAGGTACCGTGAAATAGAATATGTGAAGTTCTTGGCCTACATGATAAACAAAATGTCAATTTTTCATCCTTCATATTGCACTGAAAATTAGGAGTTATTGTGGCATTTAATTTCATTAAATTGAAAAATAGAGTGCAGTCATAAATCTGTCTTAGAATATATATATTTGCAAATTTTGACATTTTACACTGGATCATGTTATATGGAACTATCTGAACATGAAAAAGGTGATGCCAAATGTAAACATATGGGGAATACCAGGACCCAAGAATTCCTTCGCCATACGTATGAAGCTAGCCTTTTCTTCTATTGTCAAAGGGAACAAGAAATCCCCCAGATTCTAACATAATCTCAGAAGTTAAATGGTTTTTTGGCTGTTGCATAATTCAGATAACATATTCTATTACAGAACCTCTCCGCCTTTTCTTTTATTTTCAAAGGGGACAAGAAAACCCCCAGATTCTAACATTTTTTCACAAGTTAAATGGTTTTCCGGATGTTGCATAATCCAGATCATGTATTCTATTACAGAACCTCTCCCCCCACTCAAAACAGGTAAGGGTTGGGATAGAAAGCATCCTTCTCTGAAGCTGACCCTGTCACGGTGGGCAGTGTTACCTGTTGGGAAATTATCATATGGCACCATAAAAATGGTTTAGCATGCACAAGAGTAGTTATCGGCCGAAAATTAATTTTCAGAACTTTTAAACTAAGTAATGAGGCATTCAATGTTGGACGGCTGGTTCAAATGTAAGTTGCTCTGTTTGTTGATGAGGCAATAGAGGACCCAGGCATTAGCAATCCCCTAATGGCAGTAATAACAAGCAAAAACAAACTTAGGTTACCAGCACAGTTATTCTTCTGAAGCATAAATTAAAGTTGCTAACCTTCTAGCTGGTCTGAATCATCATTTTCCAATAAAATTGGCTCATGCTGCTCAGGATCATACGCCTTGCAGTGCTCTTGATATACAATATGCGGATATTTTTCATTTAGAGAATCTTCCCACTAAAAAAATATATATATTTTTTGATCATTAAATTGCAACCAGACTTAAAGCACAGCCACATTATGCAAGCTGAAGATAGTACCTTTGGCAGTTCATTATTGCGTCTTATTGATGATGTCCTCCAGCCCACGATATCTAAAGAGTGATTTATAATGGAAAACAAGTTATATTTTAATTGTCATAAGTTTAGATAAAATAACAGCTGCACCAGTTCTCCTTGTGCTTAGTTGGCTTTGGATCTGTGTTTCTAAAGCACAGTCCAAGAAATGGTGAGGGAACAGATAGACATATAGATAGATACACACACATGTATAGAGGGAGAGAGAGGATGGAAAAAAATATAAAACAAGAACTGCAGCAACAATGTAAATTGGATACGGTCATAGCCTACATTTGAATATAACACTCGGCGCTTAAATGATCGTAATGCAGACCTGCACCAATGAGTTGGGGATTGTATTAGCAACTAGATATTAGATATACTAATGAAAATATCTAAAGAAACCCAGGATCTATGGGCTTAGTGACATACATGAAATAGTATTCACTGTGATCTTCCACCATGCGTCTGAGCAATGGAGGTTTTCCTTCATCTTCATCAGTAAGAAAAAGGTGCCGGCCTGTTCTCCTAAATATCCAATGAATAACTAGACCAGCAGCTTTCTCTAAGGCATTTAAGCCAAAAAGAAATGGTACCTGCAAATGAACCTAAGACTAACTAATACAACTCAATGTAACATGGTGCATGCCAATCAAAATAAAAAAGTACCCTATCCGTATAAGAGGAATCACTTCTGGTAAAGGAAAAGAGATCATTTCATGTCAGTATATGTGTTCATGGGTCTTGCGTGGTGCAAATGGGGTGGCTCATTTGGTGGGGAAGAAGGCTCTGGAAGGACGCATTTGCTTTGACTTTTCCTGTTCTTTTCCTTCTTGGATGCTTGATGTAGCTTCTGCAAATTTGTTTCCTTGGTTGTGTGATGGGTTGTGTTTTGCCAGATTAAAAATAATAATAATAATAAAATCCTCAGTTATTAAACACAAACTTGGAAGGAGGGATGGATAGATCTCCTTTGCAAAAATGCTTCAATTTTATTTTTAATCAACTACCACAACCACATAAATCGTTGAGTGGTTACAAAATGTCTACGAATCTTCTTTGATCTTCATCAAACTCATGGGACGCAACCGAATAGAAAATTACAACTCTATTAAAAGTTTTTTGACACTGAAATCGCCAAATATGACACTAAATACTAATACATTGTAATTCTAAAATGTTCTCCATTAATTCATTAACAATAAATATCAGGCAGATCACATGCATCCTGTGATCCAACTCCCTAGACATCCTGATCACCTTATCAGCCAACAGAAAGTCAACAAATTTTAATCTGACCTGATAATGATATCATCTACTTCCCAACCACGACTAACTAAATACACCGTCCTGCAATGAGAACAGTACCTTTCTTTTCCTAAATCACAAACAGTTATTAATATTTCACATTATCAACTTCATCAATTTATAAGATACGAGAAGTTCAATCTTCAATATAATTTGAAATTCTTGATGGGTGTGGAAGGAATAAAAGGAAATACCTGCTTATTACCCCTCGAACCAAGATGAGGTGTAGCAACAGTAATGAAGTTCATTGCTTCCAAACCACCAATTGTTCCTTTTGATTCCTCTTCACAGGCATTAACCAATAAATCCTTTGGATTTTCCATTCTAGGAGGTCTGCACAATCTCCCAATGGCATATCTTGCCACTAATCCTCCAACAGAATGTGCAACAAAAGAAATCTTACGTACACTTGGCTTCCGTTTAATAACTTCAAGGACCTGTCGTCATATTATGTTAATTCCAAATTGCAAATAGATGCATCTTGTTCAGAAAATTCAAGCATATTTATAACTCAATGTCAAGAGATAAGGTTGAACCATGATGCAAAATGAATAGCAAAAAGGAGAAAACAACCTCCTCCGCCAATCGCTCACCCATTACATCCACACCATCTAATGTCCGCTTAGCAACATTTCGCTCACTACCTGCAATACAAGTCAACGAACATGAGTGAGATGATGCAAAAAAATCATTCATCCCAATCGAGATGCTTGCATCCTTTTCAACTAGTAGCATCAAATTAGAAATATTTTCAAATTGACCACTTGTATTAAAACATTTCAGGATATAAAGATTGCTGAAGGACATATGAGAGGAAAAGCCTTTGAAGATTTGATCAAATAAATAAATTTCTATGTTAAAAAAAATCAATTAAATTGAAAGCACCCCTTTTTGTTAGGGAAGATTAAGAAATAATTACAACAGTGATCATAGAAGTTATTTAACTTTAGGATGATATGATAGTGCAGGCACTATTACAATGCATGCATGACCTTCACTATGGCAGACTTGATTCACACCAGGAAGAGAGAGAGAGAGAGGGAGAGAGATGGTTGGTTTTTGCACATGATTCAGCAGGGATGATTTGACAACATGCCTTCACACAATTTTACTGAAAAAAATTAACACTATTTTCCTCTTCCAGGTTAAATGACAGAAATTAATTACTCTTAATACTCTCACATCTAAAATGATGCTGCCTTTGCAAAGAATCAACAGTTTAAAGATAACAATCAAAATATAGTGGAATAATTTGATCCAAGTTAAGATAAAAAAAAAAAAAAAAGTGAAAATTACACACAAAAAAAAAAAGTAGAACATGGAAATCAGTACAATGCAGTGGCCTAATAGAAAATATAAACTAGGACAAAGAACAATAAATAATCCTGTAATCAAATGCTTCGAATAAGCAATCAAATAATGCAAAGACGGAAATAAGAGAAAAAGAAAGAACAATCGTAATAGGGAAGACCACATTGTGAAAACATCTTGCACAAAGAGATGCTTCTTACGATGAACAATTACTTTATCAGGGAGCATTTTGACAAATTGCTCAGCTCCAAACTTCCAATCTGTGTCACTGCAACAATGGTACCGTGCAATTAAAAAAATATACGACAGGAAGAATATTTCCAATAGAAATGGAGGAAAACAAATACAGCAGAAGCATTTCAGTCCCTGAAAACATTATGTCTTGCAGGAAGATATTCAAATGCCTATATATTTCCTTTGAAGCTCATGACAAGGAAAATTACCATAGCAAATTTTTATGCTTTAGCCAAAAAGTTAGTTGCGCGCCACCCTTTTATTTTATTTTTTTTCTTATATCGTGAAAATTTTATCACAATATAAACTCAAAACCAAGACTCAAAACTGTAATTTCAAGAAAACACTATTTCTACTAATGAAAGACGATTTGGGTGTGTGTGACTATCAACTAGCAAAAAAAAAATCTGTGCCTATCAGTAAATTAGAATTGTTTTCTTTATACTCTCCATTCATGATATTGGAACCATTGCAAAGAACACACAAACACATCCTTAGAGCATTGAACAAGCTCGGAAGCTCCTGAATGTATGGTCAGGAAGATAAAATTTGTCACTTTCTGAAATATTTGTAATTCATAGGAAGCAAAAATTCATCAATAAACGAGTAATAAATAAAGTTCCCATGATGGTACACTCTACAATATCAATAAAACCCAAAATACCAAGTATTTATCCCTAAAAATGAAAACATTAGAACAAATGTCCTAAACTTCCCAACATGACACACTTTCTAAGATATCAATGCAATTTAAAGAAAATAAAATGAAATTACACCCTGTAAGGATAAGCTAAAGCTAAATCATTTAATTTGGCCCGAACTCCACTGTAAGTTCTGAGAAATATAAAACAAAAAGGTTATGTAAATATAAAAGTTCATCAATTGGCATTCATAAATTCAACTTATCCAATTCAAAAAATTATAGCAAAATTCATCAAATCAAAGATTCATAAAAAGAATTTCACAATAAAATAACATATATATATATATATATATATATATATATATATATTACCTTCCAAGTATTCCATGGACCATGACAACTAGATGATCAGCTGAAGAAGCATTAGATTCTTCACAGCTCCACACATCTTCACCTCCATTAACCGATTCCGAAGAACACACGCCGTTCTCCATTTTAGCGTTTTCCATCAACCGTAGTTCGCTCTGCATTGGCACGCAACAACTGAGAATTGAAAAAGAATTACAAACGAAGCAATCGAGCAATGAAAGATTGTATCGATCGTCTGTTCTCCAAAAATAGAAGAGTAGAGAGAGAATTTTAGGAACCAAAAACGATTCTGAGAATCGCTTGTGACGGATTGAGAGAGCCGAGAATGAAGGTGTACCAATTCAGAAAAAAGGGAGTAAATTATAGTGGCTAATACTCTATCCGTTTTAGTTATTTATTATGTAGTCAAATACGAGTAATTCAATAAATAAGTTTCTGCCAATAAATAAATAAGTTTCTGTCAAAAAATAATAAATAAATAAGTTTGAAAATTTGTACATTTAAGGGGTTTGAACGCCAAGTCCGTGACAACTAGTTCAGTGAAACTCTAGAGTGAACTTTTTAATGAAATATAGACTAAATATTTTTAAGTGAATCTCTCATGAGTAGAGCTAACCACTTAATTAAAAAATATATATTAAATAATTTAATTGAATTTTCTCATATTTATATTATTATTATAAGTAAAAGGGGTGTCAAGAATTTCAAATCATCATTAAAAAATAATAATAATAAAATAAGTTATCAATTAAAAATTACAAATTACACTAAAAACTCTTTAAAACTAAAACAAGATACCAATTAAAATAAAGTCGGTATACTCAAAATTCAAGGCTAAAACAATTAAAACAAGTTGCCAATTAAAATAAAATAGGTAATTATTTAATAAAATAATTTACCAAATAATAAAACTAGTTATCAATTAAAATAAAATAGGTAATTGTTAAATTGAAAATTAATCTTTACCTTAATGTAAACTAGATTATAGTATTAACAAACAAATTTTAAAAAATAAAATAAAATAAAATAAGTTACCAATTAAAATAAATCATATTATACTCCAAATTTTTCAAAACTAAAACAAGTTACCAATTAAATATAACATTATATGTAAAAATGTGTTTCAAAAAAAAATATATAGATTAAAACTTAATAATTTTAATTGTATATAGAAATGATAATACAGGTATTGTAGATTATAAAATAATACATGTTTGGTAAAAATTCTTCTAAGAAATTGGTTTTTTTTTACTATACATGTCAATTTTCTCTTTGTAATTGATGTTTTATTTTTTTTAGAAGCATCATGAAATTATTTTAATTTTTATTGTATGTTTTATGTTTGGTTGGTGACAACAATGCTTGATCTTGTAAATTTAATTTGCATTGTGATTTTTTTTTTCAAAAGTATTATAAAAGTATTTTATTTATTTTTTATTCTATATTTTACCTCTACTACATCTGCTCTTTTTCTCTTCGTAATTGGTGTTCATATTTTTCTATCTGAAGGCGGTTGCCTCCTCATTGGTAAGTTCATTAGGATTATGTTTTTCTTCTTTTGTTTTTATTTTTATTTTATCGGAAGCACCATGAAAGTATTTTGTTTTTTATTCTTTGTTTAATGTCCGGTTGATATTGGAAATTTAGTTTGCATTGTGATTTATTTTTTCAGAAGTATCACGAAAGTATTTTATATTGTTACGTAACTTGAAATTTTTAATTGATCTTATTTTCGAATCATTTTCCAAGTTTTGCTTATAGAGTTGCTATTGTTTTACTTATAGGGTTTGTAGCTGAAGAAAAATAAAGAGAAAGAAGAATCACAAGAGAGAAGAATAAAAAATTATACGTGCAAAGTTAGGATTTTTAATTAGGTTTATTCCATACAAAGTTGGGATTTAAAACAAATAAATAAAAAATTAGTATGTTACATTTTATTTGTTATGATTTTTTTCAAATCATTTTCTCTGTTTTCAATTTTTTTAATAATTGATTAGAAACTTGACATAAATTAAAAAAATTCAGTAAATTGATTCTTTTCTTTAAAATTTTAATTTATTAGCAACTTAATAAATTTAGTTTATATTCTACAAGTACAATTAATTTTGTCCACCCATATAAAAGCTATTTTATTTATGCTTAATTATTGTTTAGTTTATTTTTTACATATAAAAGCTATATTATTTCTGTTTGATTATTATTTAGTTTAGTTTTGGATCACAGCTAATTTTTTATGTATAAAAGGTACATTATTTCGATTGATTATTATTTATTTCAGTTTTGGATCACAATTATTTTATTATTAATTGTACTTGATTTTTGTTTATAAAATTTATTAATAAAATAAATAATAAAACTGAACTCTTATAAATATATATTTATAATGACTTTATAAATATTAAATATCAACTATTTAAGACAAATTGCTAATTAGTTATTTATAAAAGAATTTTTTTATTATAAATTAACTTTTAAGTTTTGACCAAGTGTCTTTTACTAGTTTTAAAAAATTTACAAAAATTCAGCTATTAAATATCCAAAGTATGGCTGTGATCATGAAACCAATTTTGAAATATAAAACTAACCATTCAATAAATTATAATATACGTTATTGTTTTAAAAAATTTACAAACTTGATGGCAATTTATTTTGAAATTTAAATTGTTAGATTGTTTTATTTACTCATCTTTATAAGTCTGGGGCAAAAAAAAAAAAAAATCAACAAAAACCTTAGACAAAAATTTTGTGTGAGATATTTAAATAAAAAATTTAGTACAACACGAGTGTTGTCTCACATGTAAGGTACAAGTGTGTGTGACATTTAACTGTTTACAAACATTACACATACATCTAATCAAACATTACAAGTATATGACTTTGCATAATGTACAAACATTCACACATTTTACGGATTGTCCAATTCAATTTAACAAAGGAACACGAATTTTACGTGACATATAACATATTATACACAGAAGAACGGATTATATATACATACACAATCACCCGCGAGTTTTATTTGACGCTGTACACGTGTGAACAGAAAGAACGGATTGTACGAAGATTTATATGCATCAGCAGGTAATAGTAGCATTATTGCTAATTTCATTGACGTGATGTTTCACCTATGGTTCGGGTTGTGACAAAAGACTTTAAGATGGAAAATTTGATGGCCTTACACGTGGTTTTGTGATAATGACAATGATTGAGAGCACGGCTTCTGGCATAGCATAGACTTTTGGATTTTGACTGTTAGTTAAAAATGTTTCTGGAAACTAGAATAAATTTAACAAATGAGGTGTGATTGATTTTTGTTTTTCCATTGAGTCCTGTTATTTAAGTCCGATAAATAAAAATTTATTATTTTATTGAGTCTGTATGATTATTTACGTGTCAAATAAATGGGACTCATATTAAAATACAAAGTAACTAATTATTTAAAAAGTAGTTGTTTGTTTTTTTAAATTTTATTTTAATCTAGTATTTTTATTGTCCATTAAAATTTTAATCAGAATGTATATCAAATTATCACATTGAATCTATGTACGAACTCTTGAAATACGTAATTAACTATTTAGAAAGTGATTATCTTTTTTTTAGATTTTATCTTAATTTAATATCTTTGTTTACAATTAAAATTTCAATACAGGGTATCTGACTCCCAAAAGAAAAAAATAAGGAGAGAAATTTTATAAAAAATTTACTATAATAATAAATAAAAAACTAATGATCTATCTCATTATCAGAAACAAAAATAAGGAGAGAAATTTTTTAAAAAAAATTGCAAAGTATTGAAAAATTAAAAAATATATATATTATAATTTTTGTTATAGATTTTGTATAAATCAAATTTTTATATTTGAGTATCAGAAAACTTGATGTGAAAATGAAAAGGAAAAAAAAATGATACAATCATAAATAAAAAACTAAAAAGATAAGGACCACGAAAAACTGAAAAATAAGAAGAAAAAAAAAAAAAGGATGTATTTTAAAATAAACAAGAATAATAATGATGTCTATTTGAGTTAAAGTTTAAAATAACACCATCATATTTTATCTTTGTAAAGTCGTCAATAATATCATTTTCCTTTTACACTGACAAGATATTTAGAATAATGCGGCACATGCAATTGCCATTTAAAATTTTAAATTGCTCTGCCATGATCACCCTCGAGTGTAGCATAATTATGCGTGTAAGTAATTTACAATATGGTATAACTATAATCACTTACACATGTGATTAATCATGATTATCCCATATAAAATTTGAACTTTTATTTACAAGTTTCCCAAGAGAGTTAGAAGAACACCCCTTTTAGAGTTCTTATTTTTAGTTAAAACTTGAAAGAAGTTGGATTTCCAGTTGAACCTTCCATCTGCTACTTTGAATTTGATAAATCAAAAAACGAAAAAGATGTGGTCTTCATGCCAACTGATTAAATAATCTTTGATAAAGTTATAAAAAGAGCAACTACATCATAAATTTTCAATGCAACAATTTGTTTTTAACGTGAATGACCACCTTAATTTTAAGATGGAACCATACGAGGTATTGTAAGTTAATAGTACTTCTTCACTTTTCAAACAAGAAGGTTAAGGATTTAAATCACCAAATAAAAAAAGGGTTAAGTGTAAAAAAAACCTTTTAAATTATTGCCCATTTGCAAATAACCCACCTGAGGTCCTGAACTAAAAATCACCCATTGAATTACTGATTTGTTGCAATTAAGGACAAATCTATTACAAAAGACTATTTTACCCTTTCTCATTAAAATTTTCACTTCTTATTAAATTAGTTTGATTATCTTTTCTTTTATGTAAATATTAATTATACTATTTACCTTAATTTTATTTTTAGTATCAATTTATCATAAAAATGGAAAAAAAATATAAATAGATTTGTAATTACCATTTTCTAAATTGATTAACTCATTATTTATAATAAAATGTATCATAACCAATTTAAACATTTTTATGGTTAAAAAAAATCATCTTTTTCATACAATTTATTAATGAAAAATTTAAAAAATACTTTTGAAAAAAAAACCTTCTTTTCATGTAATATATTCAATAAAAATTTAAAAATTAATTAACTTTAAAAAAATTTCTACTAAATTTTTTTTATTTAAATAATTAATTAAACAAGTTAAAGGTAAATTTATGCAAATTTAATGAAAAATTCTCATCAAATTAGTATAAATTTTTTCATAATTTATTTAAATAAGAAAAATATATTAAATGGAATTCAATATAAAGGGGCATTATGGTCATTTAATGAAATATAACATAGTCTTTGGGGTATGTTGCAACAAAATGAGATAGTTTAGGGGGTTTTATGCACAAAATATAGTTCAAGGGGATTATTTACAAATTCAAACATAGTTTAAGGAGGTTTTTTTGCAATTTACCCTAAAAAAAATTAATGTGCAAGTGTGTTTCTTTTCAATAAAAAAAAAAAAAAGATGGAGCCAGTTGTACTGTATATCCATCTCTCTTTACACATACATACGGGGTTGGGTGACAAGCTTCAAAAGTAGGGCACATAGAGCTGTCTGAAAAAGAGAGAATCACGTTTGTTGATTTTGGACCCAAAAGTTTATCATGGCTGCTAGACATCAGTCATTTACAGGTTTCCAACCACTTGAAAGCTATTGCTGGTCACTTGTCCACAACATATCACACACTTTCAAAGCATCCAAACACTAAATTGTAAATTCCCTCGAATAATGAAACTTTAGGGATAAGATTAAGATCAGGCCACAAAAAAACAAAACACATGTTTCCGCATGTCTGGGTCCCTAAAATTGCAATGCTATTGGCAAAACAACTTGGGTAAAATATACCTTGAATCTCCCTTTGATTTTTGAAATTAGTAACAAAGAAAAAAATAACGAGCTCTCATTTTCTTCTAATGTTAGATATTAAAAATTAAAGGTAGATGCAAATAAAAAGGAACTGATGCTAAAATTAAAAATTCTACCTTACTGTGCTCATGTATATAAGAAAAATTAATTCTTTTGCACTCTTCTCTCTCTACCAAATTCGTAAATAAACAAAGCCTGAGTGAGTAGATTAAGTATTAGTCTATATTGTCCACATTTTGCACAAGTTATAGCCATTACATCACATATTCTCTTTGGTAAATTGCCAAATCCACCTCCAGGTGGGTCAACAACAACCTGTGTATGAAGAAGATCATTCAAGGTTTTACAGTTCTATCTTTAATATGCAGGTGTCATTGCTTAGTATAAAAAGTTAGAGAGCAACGAGTGTGAAGACATGACTTGTCTAGATCATACAAAAGCTACATAACTGGTTAATCTATTGGCAAGGGATGCTAAAACTATAACTATCACTAGATTCTCAGCAAAAAATACATACTACAGCTCAAAACACACGGGAGAGAGGAGTGGGGGAGTCACTTTGCAGTTGATCAAAAGATTTCCAAAACAAAGTTCCATCCTAGCAAACTAAGTATCCTGGAATTAATTTACACACCTCAATCATCCGAGCTATAATCGCTAGATTCTGCCAGTATGGGCATAGCGGCACAACAGAATGACTCCTTATCTTTGAGGAGAAGACAGCTACCGTCTGAATTCCATTTCATATCTGTAATGGTAAACTGTGGTAATGGAACACTCACACAGTAGGCACCTGAAGGAGTCCACATGTACAAGTGTGAGCTCCCAGTGCAGAAAACTAAGCGTGTACACGTAGGGTCCCAAGCTGCTGCCCGGATAGGATCTTTCTGCACTAAGATGGCAGCAACTTCAAGATGATGTATGTCCCATACCCAGAGAACGGTTGGCATGCTATCGTTGCGAGTACATATATACTGACTGTCATTGCTCCATGACATGAGACCTGAAATTAGGGTTAATTTGGAGAATTCAGTTCTATTTGGTTAGTGAGATAACCCACTGGAACATTCATTGGTTTCCTGAAAATCTGAGAATTTATTTACAAATAATAATTTATAAATCAAAATATATTTTCAGTGTAAAGGTCACTTCCAAGGTATTAACAAACCAACCTGAATTCAATTGAACTGCAGCTACATTTCTATTTAAAAAATTATCTTAGATCCTAAAAGATTTGAAATTGCTTCCCAGGATATGTCTTGACTTGATAAAAAAACTAAAACTAAAACTATAAAGTAAACAGAAAAGGTGTCTGCAAAACCATTATCAACTTCATATATTTTTCTGACATTTTTATGTTGACCAAATATATATATATATATATAAAATATATATCAGATGGTTGTGTTGTCTGTTTATAACATCTTCTCCTGTATTTCTCTTCCTTGATGCAAAGTATGAACAATCTATACACCTTGTATCAGAAAGAAAACAATACAAATGAAGGGCAAGCAGAGTTGTACCAATTCCTTGTTTAGGGTTTGGTTTGTCTGCAGGAGGCTTCTGGAAAGGCAACGTAATAGGCACTTCCATGACGTCATACCTAACTTGGATTTGTCCTTCAGGAGAATTTTCTGGTTGGGAAAAAAAGAGGACCAAATTAAGCAATTAAAAGATTCGAACCTGCTTATTGAATGGTAAGAAATTATTCTCCAAGTCAAATGATGCTTGATGGTATACCAACAAACTTCCAAATACTCAGGCAACATTAGTTCTACTTAACTGACAACAATTAAACCAAATAAGAAAAAAATATCATGCACAATTTAGGCAACGAAACAATTAAACCAAGTTCAAAGAAATTCAACCAACTCTTAAAAGGAATTATCATCCATTGACCTCAACTTGAAAGTACTTCAGATATAGCTAGAAGGTAATGCAAATATGTAATTAGTACTTAGAAAAAGTTCCAACCAAAAAATCTACATCTTTTTGAATTTTTACATCTATGACGAATAAATCACCCAAAACTAGGGTTGTGTGTCGAAGTGTTATGAGATGTTCACTTACAACCACGGAAGTTGACAGAGATGGAATTCAAGTGAAGAATACGGCACAAATCTCTCTACACTCAAACACATACATAGGGCAAAATCAAAGTTTTTTGAAACTAAATTTTATTAAAAAACAAAATCCATCAATCGATAGGTCAAATGAACAAGGGATCTCCAGTAACCCTCGATTGATTGGTGGGTCAAATGAGATTTCACATTTATGGGAACTCTCTCAAATCAGAAGTCTAAAAAGATTTTACATACCATACTACATAGGTCCAATAATATGAAATTATAGTCAGTCTACAGCATCACTCACAATGCTTTTAGATTCAATTTATATTTTTAGAGAGATGAAACTTTGACAATCAATCAAGGATTCTTCATAGACTACCATGTTACATGTGGTTGAAAAAATCAAATTAAGGAGCATAATTAAAATTATCTGAGCATCAATCGGTGGTTTGCAAAGAACAAGTTGAACATACGTTGCTAGTTGTGGAGATCTAAAGTCAAGCAGATTGTGTGAGGAGCGGGTCTGATTAGCGGCTGAAGGATCAGGGCTGATCTTGCATAAGTCTGAGACAGAAGGGACTACTGACTAGATGATTCTAGGGTGGAATCTAGTAACTTAGTTGTAACAATTTTCTCATAATGGTTTTTTATTTGTATGGACAAAGTCCTGTAGTTTTTCCAATTCTAGTGTTTTGCCATGTAGAAAATATTGTGACTCTGCTTTATTTTATTTATTGCTTTACGTGTTTTTGTGATTGCAATTGAGACTCATAATCAACTAATTAATTGAATTTTAAATAAGGATCAACAGTAATTCAAAAAGTCAGTCAGTAGAAAATGAATATCCCATAAGACTTACTCACCCCCCCGCTAGGTGTACTTCATATGTGCACTCTAATATAATCAAAGCCTTGAGTACTGATCCAATACTTCAGAAATACAACTGTTTGATACCAGTAAGCATGATCAAAAATGCAATAGCGTATCTTTAGATAAAAATTGCAATAGCATGTCTAAAGATGCAACAAGACATGCCTCAATGAGTAGCTTCTTGAGCCTATGGGTTTATAGTTGATAGTTTGAACTGATGTCATAACTGCAGGATGTACAGCCATTAAATTAAGAAATTTAAGTTTTATTCTACTTTGTTCGGGAGTGCTGTGTGCCAAAAAACAAAGTAGTTTGCTGAAAGCCCCAACTCATTTTTCCAATAAGTATCTGCTAACAAGCCAATGTACAAAATAGAAGGTTTCCCTCAGGGACTGAAAAGTCGGTTAATGAGATTAAAGCAATGTAACAAACATGAAAAGCAAAATCATATGAGTAAACCCCATTAAGAAGAGGAAAACGGAAAAATGATTAGTTCAAGCATACAAAATTGGAATCCTCAAGCAGAAAATATGAAATTCTATATATTGAAAACAGACAGAATATGTAACTATCGATAACATGAAAATTGAAAAACTATAATGCTTACCAGAACTGCCTTGTATAAAATCATTACTTAGAGACAATTCAGACATGTCAAGTTGCAATGGCTCGTCAACCTCCTGAAATTCAATAAACTTTATGTAAAAATAGTTTCAACAAGATATAAAGATCATTCAGTTCGCTTAACATATACAAAGTCAAGTACCTTGAATACGGCAGCACAACAAGGAGAGCGAACAGTAGATAGGTGCGTGAATTCAGCAAATAATTTCCAAGTCAAGGGATTCAAAACTCGCAACATCTGGTCATAACTCCCCACCGCTAGAAACTGGCCACAAGGAGACCATGAAACACTTTTGACACCCAGTCCACTTTCATATGCTTGATACTTGAATAGACACCTCCCATCTGGAGAGTAAATCAGAACCTTCAAAAAAAGATATAACATTGTGTATCAGACAATAATTTTTGCGACTAAGAGCATGCTAAAATACAGCATTGATATGCGTAATTTACCAAAAAATAGAAACAAGGTGGTGTTCGGATGGCACAAGGATGCAGCATGGGATCTAGGAAGATATGAAAAAAATGGTCTATCAGAGATGGATAGCATTCACCAAGTTCTTCTTTGGTTTATGAGGGGTAAATGCAGGGGCATAATGTCAATGACCCTCCATCAAATGAGTGTAACCATTCAACTTCATACAAGCTTGGCCTTATTATTCTACATTTAGGCAATAAAATTGTTCAGTCCCTATAATTTTCTAAGAAATCTCACCTTTGGTCACAGAATAAATGACCACCACTCCATAGCCAAACAAATAAATGACAGGTTTTTAAATAAAGACAGAATGGATATCTCTGATATGCATACTTATTGAATTATACGTCAAAACTGGCGTAACACTGGGACTATATACAACCAGTTTCACTAGCTAAACAAATTTGATGTGCCAAGACACAAAACACTGAACCAAAGACTAGGCTGAAATTTCTATATACTACGGCATAGCTATTCCAACCAACCTCACTGGAGAATAATCAAACCCTATTGTGTGAAGAAAGGAAAGGATATAAATTGATGCTGGAATGGTTAATATCAAGTGATGAGAAGCATGAAAATGAATACCTTATACTCAAGAGGTGAATCCCAAATCACTATGGCACTATCATCTGGTGACCATGCAACGTCAGCCAAATCCAATGTGTCAACGGCAAAAACACCCATTATCTCCCATGTGTGACAAGAGATGAGGTTAATATAGTCCTTGCAATCACGCCTCGTGCAGATTGCAGCAAATTTTCCATCTTGAGTGAATGAGACACCCTTGGAACCATGTTTTGGCCATTGCACATGTATACATGCTGTGTTCAGCAATGACCAAACTGTTAACCGCAATTGAAAGTCTGACGTGGTAAGTATGTGGCGACTGTCAGGGCTCCACCTAGCATAAGCAATACCAGCAGTACCTTCATCTATCTTGCAAGTCCATTCAGGCTGTGTCAATGACCAGGCCTGTATCATTGGTCTCTTGTAAAGACCACAAAGTATGTATTCAGAATCTAGAGCCCATTCAATATAGCTTATCTTATCCAAGCATGAGAACAGTTGCAAAACCTGTACAAAATATTAAAACAGAAGTTCAGTATCTAGAGTGATGAAATTTGCACCTGTGATAATACTATGGCTAGAGGGAAGTTGATACATGGTATCAATGAACATAAAGCACCTGGCAAACTGATGGTCGGAACTGTGTAGGGATGGTATTGTCCAGATCTTCTAAGTATTTAAGAGTCTCTCCATAAATTATAGAATTCTACATAAATATCACTTGTCTTCCCTAGGACCTTTGCTTGTTGAAATTTTGCTTCATCTGAGTCAGTGAGTGAGAAAGTAGATCCTAAAGTGGATCTAATATGATTAAGTGGCTTTATTAGTATATGAATTATTTAGGAGAACTATTTTATACTTGAACACCTCAATTTTTTAAGCTGACAGCCAAGGGAAGTTCACAACTTGTTCTGAAAACTGAAAAACAAAAGCATACATCTGATGTCCAGATAGGTTGGTGGCATGTGTGGACCTGTTTTGATACAGTGATTACTCTATTGGGTGATATTTAGTTCCATTAGCAGCTTCTCAAAGTTGTTCGGTGATACTAATTGGTAGTTTACTTCTGCTTGCATTGCAAGTTGTTTGAATGATTGTGTTCAACAAGCTCTCCAAAACTAGGTCGGGTGAGTTAGGGTTTCTAGGCTATGTGGAAACCTAATGTGCAAATGTTCCAAATTTCAAAATCCAAACCAGCACCACCACACTACGACGACTTTAAACCTTAAAAGACCGACCATCTGGTCTTCCGCTTAGTTACATCCCAGGTTTTTAATTATAGTTCCAAGTAAAACTCAAATTTTGTAGAATTCTATTGTGCAGGTGTTATAATGACTTCAGCATTTAAAAAGACCAAGAATCTGTTCGTTTGCTTGGTCACATCCCAGATTTATCATAATGCTTCCTAGTCAATTACAAATTTTCATCGAGACAATTGGGCAGCAACCAATCTCTTGCACATTACAACTCAGAAAATCTTTATTTTACAAAGTGTTCTTCTCCATTAGTGTGTTCGTGTATGTGTAACATTGATTGTTAGGAAATTGAATACAAAGCTTTATTTCTCTACCTCTCAGTTTTTTTCTATATCAAGCTTACACCGTGCACCAAATAAAATGCAAATCAAAATTAGATTTGAAGAGCTAAAGAAACCGAATGAGCACCTTGAGTGACAGAACATCCCGAATCACGAGGCGATAATCGACGGCGACGGCAAGAAATCGAGCATTCGGCGAGAAACAACAAGGACCAGTCTGTTTATTAGCTTCGGTAAACTCCATCACAGACCCAAAATTTAAGTGTCAAGAAACAAGACGTGAGCTTGTGGAAAACGCCATTGAATCAAGACGGTGAACAGCCATCAAAACTGGACTTACGTGTATACATTTGCGATGTTAGGGCATGTAAGACCTAGGTTGAATCAGCTGATCCAAGATCTGCAGATAATTTGAGGAATGAGACAGACATTCTTGGATCTGTGGTGAATATGAACTGTTCAGTAAAAAGCGAATGTTTAAATTTTGAACTAACATTGAAGATGGTGAAAAAATGAAAAGGAAAGAGTAAAAAGAAAAAACACTCCAAGCAGCGAGTAAAGTTCAAGCAAACATAGAAAGAAACAAATGTCAATCGCGGTTTGCCGCCTGGGACCTGTTGACCCCAGTCTAACCTTTTATTATTATTATTATTTTTTGGTTGCCCACGCTTCTTAAGGTATGTCATAATCCACATGCCCTATATAATGTAGTAATAGATAAATAAATAAATAAATTAGTTTTTTTTTTTTTTATTTTTTTTTTAAAGCTGTTATTAGTGCTCCAAAATCATCCTCAAGCTCCACTCTTATACATGTATAAATAAAATGACAAAAATAACCTTTTACTACCTCCAACAATGTCTTCTTCTCCTTATATTATGGACTTTTTACAATATCTAAATGCTTCCTTTTTTACACCAATAGAGCCATCAAAGACCATGTATATTATTAGTATTAATACCAAAAAATGTTTAAAAAATCTCCGAATTGCTCATCTTTTTTGAACTTCAAATTCACCTGACTTCTAATTCCTTCTCTACAATATTACATAAATAAATAAAAAAAAACGAAAATAAAATTAAACAAATAAAGTTCGATCTAGGCAAATACTAGTAAAAATTTTAAAATTATGTTTTCAACTAGAAGAACAAGCGTTGAGTTGTCATAGAGAGCAAGAGTGGATTTTCTATTGCAATTTTGCGACAATGACTATATGCTTATTGAGTTTATATGAACAAAAGCATAATTGGATTTTTTAAAAATAATAATAATTAAAAAAGGTAACAGCAAAACTATTAAAATTTTGGGATTTATCGTCTTTTGTTTTTTTAACTTTGGATTAGTCTTCTATTACTATTGAAACTGAACGTTGAAGCTCCAAAGTTTTCTAGAATTATTGAGTTTGACTTCTAATTAATCTGTTTCGTATAATATATGAAATTGTGTATATATGTTATATAATGTACCACAATTACATACAATATATACTTATATATATATTTGGTTGAAGCTCCAAAATTTTCAACAATTATTGAAGTTTAACTTCTAATTGATCTCTTCCTTTTCATATTCGATACGTTATATATGTATATATATATATATATATATATATATATATATATTATTTGGAATCCAAAGAGAATCGAGAAAGTAATTGGATAGCTCGGGTTATTTTTGCCATTTTATATATGAATATACAGAAGTCATATATAAAAGGACCGTCAAAGTATTACTGAGTATTTTAGAGCGTGAATAATAGCTTTTTGGTTTGTCTTTTTTTAATTCTCAGTCTCTAAAATGTGAATGTAAGAACCTTATGTTTAAATTAATTTTTTTTTAGTAATTATATACATATTGTTATTTGAATTACGAACTTTGCCAGAACAAATACTAGTAGCTATGGCTCCTGGTTGTTTAGCGCCAAAAAAAAACAAATTCTAAGGTTGCAATGAGTTGGCAAAATCCATATTTAATGAGTCCAATTATTTATTTTTAAAATGTGCAATCATTGCTTTAAAAACAATATTACGTTGCACCCAATTTTTAAATATAAAATATCATTTTTTAAATGCATTATACTTTTAAAATAAGGATGCCTTGGATAAATTTTAGAGTGCCAGGTTTTGACTCTCTATATCTATTAATCCAACTTTTAACATTTCTTACTTTGAAGAAAAAAAAAAAAAAAAAAAAAACTAAACATGTTACAATCAATTGACTTTAAAAAAAAAAATCCAATTAATTCAAACAAAAAAATCCAATTAATTGAAAATAAGTTATTTTATTTCAATGTTAATGATATGAAAAGAGTCAATAATGAGTTCATAAGCTGAAACAACAAAATAGCTTCCAGTTTAGATAATGTTTGCCACTTTTAGTTCATTACATAGCAATTATTTTATTATATTTAATTTTTTAAAATTTATTACGAGTCTCTTATATTTCACAAAATAATTATTAAATGACCTAAGATCATATATTATAACTAATTAAAATTTCTCAAGCAAATAAATGTGACAAATTTATTTATTTATTCATGAGTCTATATGGTAGGTGATACTATTAAGAGCCTCTTACTTATTTTATCATTAAAAAAGGTGTTGATACTTATTTATCCTTCATGTATTGATTAGCAACTATTTTGTCTATCACTTTAATTCACCTCAACATTTTTAATTCCAATTGAGAGTTTTTTGAGTTTTGTTTCTCAGAACAATAAGCATTGAAAAATAAACCGGAGGTGCAGGAAGCTGGAGTAGAAATTTCGACTTGTCCGGATGAAGATGCTTTGAGATTTTTACATTTGGAATGAATAAACAATGATACATATACTGAACCAATTGTAAAGATAAAAAAAAAAAAAAAAAAAGATTTTTTTTAGCCATTCTTTTTAAAACTGCATCACCTTTGGTTATTTTCTTTAAAAATGGAGAAGTGGATTTATTCACAAAGGCAACAATCATCATCAATGGCTTCACGGTGTGTTTTTTTTTTTTTTCAACAGAAGTTTATTGTCATCTATACATTTTTTCTATTTATATAGGTAATTTATTTACATTTTATATGACTTACAAATAAAGGACCAAATTTTCATCCAAATTCATTTTAAGTTGCATTTGCAATGAAAATATTTAATAGGAAATACGTTATTTCTGAACACTGACCATTTGGAATAAAGGAATTTAGAAATTGAAATTGAACTTGATTCATTTTAATCATATTTTGGACATAAATCATAAAATGATTAAATTTGTAAAAGATAAATTTTATTTTCTGTTATTTATTTATTTATTATTTTTTAATTATGACAAATTAGAAGAAATAATTTCAACAATTTTAAAAGTTACAAACCATAAAGTATCTTTAAATCTCACAATTTCTTACTCACACAACACAATCTTAAAAACTAATTTAAAAGAAAAAAAAAACTATTACTATTTATTTTGTTTATTCATTTATTTTTGGATTTAAGTAATAGAAACCCTGAAGTCGGTTCAACGCAAAACCCTAGTCGTTAAAAAAAAGCGGTTCCTTCCAAACAAAATGGCGCTGCTATTTCATTCAGTGTGGCAGCCAATACACTCCGTTCGTCGCCTTGGAGGTTTAGGGTTTTAACGGACAAATTTCTCTCTCCCTCCACAAAAGCTCCCTTCAGCCTTCACACACCTGCACGTTCGTCGCCTTGGAGGTTTAGGGCTTTAACGGGCAATTTACTTCTCTCCACAGAATCTCTCTTCAGTCTTCACCCATCCGAGAGACTGCAATGGCGACCTCAATAGCCTCGCAGTTGCAGGCAATCAAGTCTGTAATACAAGCGGATTCGGAGCCACTCAAGCGACCCTTCACTCGTCCTTCAATCCTATACGACCCTAAACAAGCCGCCGATATCGAAATTGACGCTATTCTCCATGACGCACTTTCAGGTACACTCAATCTCACAACATTCTACCCGTTTGGCTCCCAAGAAAAGGATAGAAAATCATGGTTTTGCAATCCGAGTACAATTTTTGTTACACTTTTCTTTTTTGTTCCTTGTGGTTTTGGTTTTCAGGGTTGGAGGTTCTTATAGGGATGGACGGAAGATATAGAAATTATAAGGACGATTTGTTTAGTCACAAGAGCAGAGAACTGGATAGAGAGTTGATGGGCATAGAGGAAAATAACCGAATTAATGTGTCAATCAGTTCATACTTGCGATTATTATCGGGGCATTTTCAAGTGCCTTCTGCACTGAAGACGCTTGAGTACTTGATACGTAGATACAAGTAAACATCAGTTTTTACTATTTTTTGTCTAATTGCCCATCTCTTACAGACATATCTAAATATTTAAATATGTGAAATATGCATGTTGGTACATTTGTGTATGTATATTCTTGTAATTCTATTGGCTCATCTAATTTTTATTTGTGCTGTTATAGGATCCATGTGTACAATATGGAGGAACTAATTCTATGTGTTTTGCCTTACCATGACACCCATATTTTTGTTCAAATTGTGCAGTTACTTGACATAGGGTAAGAACAAGTGTTTCTTTGTGTAAGTTGTTTGTATCAGTATATTGATTCAGCGAGGGTTGTGCATTCTGACTACTAATTTTTAATTTTTATTTGTTGGCAACCGTGTGTTTGTGCTTGTGCTTAGAAATAATAAGTGGAAATTTCTTGACGGTGTTAAATTATCTGGTGCACCTCCACCTAGGAAGGTTATAGTACAACAATGCATCTGTGATTTGGGGATTTTGGAGGTTTTATGCAACTATGTAAGTTCTTGTTCCACATCTGATTAGTCTATTAATTAACGTTTTTCTGTAGATGCTTACACTTGAGTGTTTTCTCTAGGCATTGCCTACAAAAAAGTTTAAGCCTTCGAGGGCTGTGATCAACTTCTGCACAGCAGTTGTTGTTGAGGTTTTGGGTTCTCTTACAACTGTTAACAGTGATGTTGTGAAAAGAATACTTCCATATATTGCTTCTGGACTGCATCCTGGTGCCAAGAGAGGTTTGGATCACAAGGTGAGGTTTGAAAACTTACCGGACAACAGAGAGTTTGGTTGCTCCTATTTGTATTTTGTTTTTCTTCCTTTGATATTTTCACTGCCCTCTCGAGGTTTATGATTTGGTGACATGTTTCCCCTTCCATTAACGGCCAGCTCTGGTCAATATAATTTTTGTTTATGTTAGCAAATGGAAAACTTAAAACACCAACTTTTCCAAGTTGCCCTTAGAACGAGTGTAAAGACTGGATGTTTATGAAGTTAAATAGTAAACTTACATCTTCCTTTAATGCCATTTAACGTCAAGGTCTAATAGAGAAAGTCGATATAAATTTAAAAGCATAGGGATGGTCATTGTATTTTTTTTGCTCAACTAGAACGGCGGTCACTGTAATTTTCCCTAGTAAATTCTGTTTTCTTAATTTTCCAACATCACAATAAATGTAACACGTTACATGGTTGTTCCTTGAATATTGGTAGGCTAGATCTATTGCTCAGGCAAATCCTTTAGTGACAGTCTTTTGGAAATTGTTTATTATTATTATTATTATTATTATTCCAATCAAGATGAAAAGTAGCTACTCATCTGAAAAGAGGAGAGAGAGCCTCAGCAAATAATTGGACACACTTTTCATTTTTCTTAACTCAGGGGCGCAGAGTCATGGGATGTCTCTCTTTTTGAATCTCCTACTAACTGTGGCTGGGGATATTTGTCCAAGGTTTGATCTCGGAATTCATGTCTTTATACACAATCCCTTCAAGAAAGTACTCGCGAATACTTCCGTAGAGCACAAAATTACCCACAAAATTTCATTAGAGTGAAACAAGTTTTCCCATATAAAAAAGCAGTATAAGGTGCCAAACTAAATTGGTCAAGCGGTGTGTTGTGATGTATTCTAGAAATGAATGATCCACTTTCCAAATCTTTAGTAGTGACTCTATAATTACTTGAAGAAAAGGTCATCATACTTGGTGTTGCCAAAGGCATGCCTTGGCTCACACCTAGACTCTAGGCTCATATAGGCACAACACTTGCGCCTGTTGTGTGCCTTTGACAACTTTCTTTAATGGCAATTTAATTTTTTGGGCGCGCGCCTTGCCTTGTGCCTAGGCTCGAAAAGACCTCTAACACCGTAGTGCGCCTTGGGCCTTTGATAACACTGATCATACTAAAAACACGTGTGGCCTGCTGAGCCACATTGAAGGTTTTTCTGAATTCTAAATCATTATATTTTATTTTGCAAGGGAAGTAGAGTTTTTAGCCCATGTATAGCGTTGTAAAATTGATTGATAAAGTTGATACTTGAATAAGTCATGTGTACTTGTCAATTTGATCCTACAACAGAAGTAGAAACGAAGCAAATTTTAGGGGGCTTTTAACAATACTAATAAAAAGAGTGGATGGTGCATTTTTGGTGGTAACTGTAACATTTGAGCTTTAGCTATTAGCCTATTACATAATCCATTTCCAACAATACAAATATTGTGGAACTAATATAAGTCTGTGAAGACACCATACACTAGCTAGAATTGAGGTACAATGACTTTGAATTGGAGGGGAAGATAATTCTTTTTGTTCGATATTGTCAAATGCAAGAAAAGAGGCATATTATACTTGCCTTTGAATTGATTGTTGACTGGAATCTTCTCTGTGTGTGTACAGGCTGGTGTTTTGATGATTGTTGGTTTACTAGCGAATAAGGCGACGTTGTCTTCTAAACTTATCAAAAGCTTTATTCAGTCAATTGCCGAAGTAGCTCGAGACGATGCGAAAGAATCGACTGACTTGCAATGTTTTCATATGGTATTTATGGCCTTGGTCAACCTTGTTCAGGTATTTCCATGTTCTTTAAGTATCAATTTATTTAATAATCTCTCTCTCCCTCTCTCTCTCTCTCTATATATATATATACACACACACTATTTTCCCTTAGTCATCAGATAATGTTTCTCAACTTTCTTTTTTAAACTTGATGGTGTTGTATAAATCATGCCTTTTTCCTGCTTTCCAATTATACACCCTTCAATATGCATATAAAATAATTCACTTGATCTTAGGCTAAATTTCTTTGTAACCTATATTTTGAAGCTTATGTTTGACGCAATAATTATTACTCTTATGCAACTTAATCTTCTTTAGGAATCTGTGTGCCGTTAAAACCTTTGTTGGATCACTTGTTATGTTTGTGCATGTCATGCAAGCCAAATACTATCATCTCAACAAAGCATTTTATAAATTGTTTGGGTGATTTATATGGAAGCTTTCTCAGCCGATGTTAATTTTTGTCTTCTATTTCCTGTAGCATTACCGTTTGTGGAACTTGTTAATGTTTGTCATTTGTCATATATATACATATTGAATGGTAAAATTATCCACTAAAGGCAATGAGCAGCAAAAATCAATGTGCATGAGATGTATGCAAAGTGAAGTGAATAAAGATGAGAAAACTTGAAAAATACTAATAAGCCTAGGAATGGCTCAAAAATGATAAATACATTGGGTGAGTCGAGAAAGTTCTTCTACGGTTCAGTGTCTTCATCCCCTCAAATAATCACACGTTTCTCTCTTTTAGAAGCACCGTCACTTATTTAACAGTCTTTTCAGTTGTTTTACACCCAACACCGGGTAGGGATGAAATTTTATCATATCATAATTTTCACTAACACCGTTGTCTACCTAAAGAGCTGACTTGAGTTGCATTTTAGAATGACAAGCCGCCTTCAATGGGGAATTTAGGAATTCCCCATTCACACTTTTATAATAACTAACCTTAGAATTCCCTTCTCCTTGCAATGTTGACACTTCCACCTTGAATCTTTTTTTTTTTTTTTTTTAATTTTTTTAATTTTCAATTTTCCTAAAGAGTTTCCATGCAAAAAAAAAAAAAGGAAAAAAAAAAAAAAGTGGTTGCTATGTATATAAGTATCTGTTCTTCTTTAGCTTGTTGCTTTAAAAAATGACCCTAGCTTGAAGATACCATTTTTTTTTAAAGAGCTGTAATTGTATTATATTGGTATTAGCTAGTGAAACCTCTCAGATCTTTGCAAATTCAAATCTATTACTTTCTAAATGTATCCTTAAATTGGAAAACTCGTATTCTAATTGTTAACTACCATCTACTCCAAAACCTTAAGCTGTTGGAGAGGGTGCAACTTTAATATTTTTATCCCTTCAACACGCCCCTCACGCGTGGCCTTCTTTTTTGGTCCAACACGTGTTTTTCAATTTTCAATTAGGGTGATGGTGAGGTTTGAACCCGAGACCTTTGGTTCTGATACCATGTGTGCAACTTTAATGTTTATATCCTTCAACACTAATTTTACCTACAAAAAATAAATGTTTTTAATTTTGACCATGTATGCGATACTACTTAGGTGCTCCATTTTAATGCAGTGTTTTTGGTGTATTATCATAAAATAGTTGTTAAGGAAATTGTAGCAAGGGTTTTGAATATTTGGACTCTATTGTTGTCTATCAGTTTTTCCCTCCTTTAGCCTTTGATTTATTTTGTTATTTTCACTCTCACTTTTGTTCGGATTGAATCTTGCTAGTTGCAATCTGTTGAAATACTTCCCATGAAGGCTGTGGATATCCTTAAGCAAATTAGGTAGTCCTTTGCACACTTGCAGTTTGTGTTTGTGAAATTTACTTCCAATATTATTTTGAATAGGTTTTCTTATACTCTATATTTCAATTCTATGTTGAAGGGACCTTTCGGGGGCTCTTACTGGACTGACCAAGGAGTTCAATATTGACAAATTCTTGGTGGTGTTTTTGGAATCCCTTCTTGAGTATAGGTTTGTAACATTGTTCTTTTTAGTTCCATTTTAGGGTCTTATTATTTTAACTCCTCCTATTGTTAAATTTATTTTTGTATATGTTTGCAGTATTTCTGACGATACATGCCTTCCTACTCTGATATCAATTATAGAGACAGTTCCTTTGAGGGGCTTCATTCATCGTGTAGTCTCTAAGCTCCTTCATTCTTGCATGAAGCTATCTCAGAGAAAGAACGACCCATTATCATCTGAATCAAGTTTAGTCAGTTCAGGTGTTGGAAATTTTACCATTTGCTTTTTTGGCTTTTACAGATATGGAGGCTGTCTTGTCTGATATTTCTTTTTTACTGTTATCTTTGGTTTTTGACCCTTGTTTTATCAATCTATAATTTTTTTCTCTACTGAATGATGCTAATACTATTAATAGGAAGCTGGGCCACACAAATTTTGGTTTCTATAAATAAGAAATATCCATCTGAATTACGTGGGGCAATTCACAGTTTCCTGGAGGTTTGTGGGCTAATTTCTCTCTTGCTCTCTCTATCTGTGTGTGTCTGTTTGTTTCTCTCTATTGCTCTCACTATCCCTTCTCTTACTTCCAAATTTAGTAGTATGTTCTCAATCATCTTGTGTTCCTTCCTTTTAGGATCCTAAACTTGAATCCAAGGAAGGGGGTTTGGTATATGAGATCCTGTCCAGGATGTTAGATGGGAATTCGAATTTGTCACATGAGATCCCTTATTCAAAAATTTGGTTTGCGCTGGAACATCCGAAGGTATTTGTCTGTTGGCTCACTGATGGATTCGATCTCGTCACATAAATAGACACACACAAACAACTACTTTTTGTTGATCAAATTTATTCTTACTTCTTGTCGTATACCACGCTTACCATGTTTTAGGCTTATTATGTTTTTTTTTAATTTTTTTTATTTTATAATTTTAATATGTGGCCCAGGCCGAGGTTCGACGCACTACACTTGTTGGTTTGGATGCATATGGTATTCTGAAAGAGAAGACCAAGACTGCTCATTCACAGGTGACAACTTCAGCAGTTCGCTTCACTGTGTTCAGTTGATTATTTAATGGTTAATGCTTCTACTTATAAAAAGGAAATGTTTCATTCCTCACTCATTTGTTTGTTTGTCTTTCTTTTTTTCCTTGAAAATTGTCTGTTCCTTTTTGGTTGCTATAAACCCGTTCCTCATCTACTTGAGGACAATTTTTTGGTGCTATCTCTTAAAGAAAGAACCTTAGATATACATATACATGCACATGCCCATAGCATTTACAACAGAATACAACAGTAGCAATGTGGACGGTTTAGAAATCCTAAACCTTTCAAGACGTAATCCAAGACTCATATAGCAAAAAACACTTATTGAACACCACTCAAATCTTAATAACCTGAAGAGAGAATACATTGCCAAAAACAAGAGCCTGAACTCCGAAGATGATGCATGCCTAGATAGAAATTGTAACAACTCACCAGCTGGATGAACTTTGGCTAGAGACTTCATGCGTGCAGAAGCAGCAAGGGTAATCCACCTCTTTCAACTGATACTAGGATGCTGGAGTTCTTTTACAACAATTTCATTTAGACATACAGTAACGGTCATAGAGTGCTGGAATGATGCCTGCTTACAAGACCATCTCTGGTGAGATGAGAAAACAAAGAGGAAGCATTGATTATGAGTAATTATGCATAAAATGATGTTTTATACTCCGTTTGGTTGGAGGGATGGAAAAATGGATGCAAGGGAGGGGTAGGGATGGTAGAGGCACCCCTAGGGAAGGGAAGGTGTCTCCCTCACTTTTTGTTTGGTTGAATGGAAGGGTGGGGCGACACCTATTTTTGTTTGGTTGGAAGGAAGGAAAGTTTTTCTATATATTTTTTAACAATATACCCTCGTTATGTAGAGTAGAGTTTAACAAGTGATTTTGTAAATAATTGAAGGTTCAAATTTGTTTTACATATTTGTAGGGTAGTTTTTTTTCTTTACCTCCTCTCTTCCGCCCGATTTTGGACGGATAAAAAAACATGGGATAGGAGGGATGCTTCATCTTTCCTTGCTTCCTCCCTCTCTTCCCTTCCTTCCAGCCAAACATGGGGTGCTTCTTCTACGTCTCCTGTCTTCCATCCTTCCTTAATCCTTCCTTCCAACCAAACATAGCATTAGAGTCCATTCAACTGCAAGATATAGCCAGCTTGTGTATTGGTGCCATACGCTGTCAATTTCTACAGAATTAAATGCTCTGAGTGGAAACTCTGTCTGTTAAATTTTACAAGTTACTATCCCCAATTGGCCAGAGATGAATATGCAAATGTTACTCAGCAACAAAATTAATGAAAACCGGGAAAATAAATTGGATGTCCTGCTCATGAAGGGTTATCACCTAATCCCTTTCCACACCTGGAGCTCTTAGTGGCAAGTAATAAATCAAAATTCTGTTAAAGATTTGTTTTGCATCACTTAATTTTTGGGGTTCTGTTCTCTAGTCTTATGCTATAATAAGGATGTTAAGTTACACTGTTTTGTTTGGTCCCAAAATCATCATCAAAGTTCTGTTTTCAAGTACCAATATCTGTGTCTGATGCCTTTTAATTGCACTAATCATTGACTTAAGATCTTCCACTGGCAATTTACTGGATGTGCCAACTTGATTCAATTTTGTTTTCCAGTCACTTTATTGCCATGAAAATTCTCCTGCCATATTCACTTCTAGAGAGCCATTTCCTGTGTGAAATCAATGGCCGTGCCGTTTTGTATTGTTTAAACCCATATTTTTTGTTCTTGAAATTCTAGCTTACTGGTGTAATTATCTTTGGCTTGTTACTGCTTGCTTGTGTCCATTTCTCAAATTTCAGTTGCTAAGTACCAGTCATTGGTGACAGATCACCACTTAGATTTGGCTTAGCATAGATGCTGATATCTTCATAAATCAATGGTTATCAATCCCACCTACAACTCATTGGTATTGAGAACCCAAATCTTATTGACCTGTTGCTTCATTTTCTACCCGATGAGCAATTATGCTGTAGATCACTGTTCATTGGAAAATTATTTTCTAAGTGAAAAACTTAGCTGGCTTATCAACGCGAAAGCAAACTGGCCAATGGATATTGATGAATTGACATCTTGTGGGACCCACATGAGGTCTGTTGGTCAATTTTCATTTGCATTGTTTAGTCCGGCCTACTTTGTGTTTGTTTGACTAGCGTTACTCTTGTCCAATATTGTTTGAACTATTTCTTATGTGGATCTTCCATTACCCATTACTACAGATTCATTAGTTGTGCATACCATAGGTGTCACTAATGCTACTCTGCTTGAACACGGAGCTAGAGAAGGATTAATGGGACTTTTATGGGATTCGTGCTACACTTGCATGTAACCTCCCCCTTCCCCTATCTCCTCTCTTCTTTTATCAATTAGTGTAGGATGTTGAGCTTTCTTTTTTCTTGGATTACAGGATGCTCTTCTTTGATTTATTATTGTCTAGTGATTTTTGGATAGATTATAGTTTTTTTCTAGATACCTAATCTTTACATGGGTGCATCCTCGTAGGCGCTTTCTAGTTAAACTTTTAGTCTAAAATAATTCAGCACCGAAACTCTTAACTATTACCCTAATTAAGTAGATATGTTCTTACATTTATGTTTGTTCCGTGATCTTTTACACATTTTTAACTGCCTTGCTGCATGGGCATAAAGGTATGTAGATAGATTTTTGTAATGGCTTTCCTTAGTTAGAGGTTGATTAAGGGGAGAACTTCAGTTTCAGTGAATAGTAGGCCAAGCATGTCACATACAGGCAAATCTTCCTTTGTTCTGTTTTACTCATAATATCCCCATTTATTTGTACTTCTTTGTGATCTTTTATCGAAACAAGGGTTCCAAGATCAGTGCTGGTTTTCAGATTGTTAATTTTAAAATTCAGAATTTACTTGATTTACGTTGACCTGACCATCTTAAGGTATTTGTATCCTTGATTTTTGATGTTGTTTCCTCTCTTCCAGAGGGTAGAAACTATTCGAGATGCAATATTACGCCGGTTTCGCGATGATGATCTAAGTGTGGTTCAAGCAGCTCTGACTGTGGGTAGTTTGTCTGAAATTTTAAGTCCTGGATGTCTACTTGACGCACTTCAGAATGTGCTTCAACGATGCTTAGGCATTTTAATGTTGAGTGAGTTGATTATAATGCTTTCATTCCTCTTCTTAACTGTTTTTCTTTACATTTCTATATTGCACTTCACGATTATGTTCTAAATTCATGTTGATATTATATGGTTCATTGTGAATAAATGCCATCTTCATTGTAGAAAACGAAGTTAGGAAAAAAAAAGTAGAATAAATTTTCATACTCTTAAGGCTTATGTTGTACTCATTGGTACATCAATAATCAAATTTCCAATTCAGATGTCCTTTAAACTGATGTGATGACTGCATTACGGCTGATAGCTACTTTCGGTGTCATTTCTGCTTGCTAGTAAATCTGCCACTTGCCATGCATTGCAGTTGAACCATGATCATTTTTTCAGTTGGTTAAAATTATCAATTTATCTGAAGGGTCTTTCAATCACTTATTTCTGTTTGGCTTTCATGACTATGCTAAGTACAAGTTGCAAAGAATTCACTAATTGAATGAATAGGTGGTGGTATTAGAAGAAGATAGATAACTATGTAAATTCCAAAGCCTAAGGTTATCTGTCCTAAAAATCAATTCCAAAGCCACCGGTTGGCCAAACAACTATAGATTGGGGCTTTTCTCAATCAGTAGTTGTGGGATAATAACATTCACCAGACATGACAACTTCAATGAAGAAGACGATTGATATTGTTTTTTGAAAATACAGCTCCAATTGTATAGCATTTTCCCTCCAATTGTAATTACATGGTGGAGATGGTTGATTTTTTGGACTCTCGGAGTGTTAAGAGGCCCTTCTTGGCCTCGTGTAGCTTCTGAGGGATGCGTTCCCCTTTTGAACGCCTTTTTAATACAACCTGATAAAAAAAAATAAAAAAAAAAAAGTCAATTCCAATGCCGCCGGTTGGCCAAAAAAATAAAATAGATGTAAGACACCTTTGAAGGCGCATTCACTTTGCCAATTGTTTTCCAAAGAGCCTGCATGGCATTCTATAATAAGATCTTATGCCGAACTGGCCACTTCTGCAAAATTTCTTTGAAGGCAACTTCATTTGTAGTTGCACAGGTTCAGCCAACCTGGATGTTGGGTGCGATGAGTTTGGTACGGCATAATCCCTGATTTCATTCACTTAAAGTGGTTGTTTTCAAATTTGGACCTACATTCTCATGCTTGGTGGCCTCAGCGTTTATCATCACATCAATAATTAGCCCTTAATTCTTTGCTTATTAATTCCATAACATTAAAGTAATGCGTAACCTGCATGCAATCTTACTTTAAATTTTCTAGATAAAATAATGGAAGAATTGGAAGTTCAGACTTTAGAATAAAATATTAGTTGCTTAATTAGAGAAATTTAACACAACAGTTGGCTAGCATCAGATTAAGTCTTCTTATAATGAGGGAAAATAATCAGGAATGCTGCTTCATTGGGTTGGCATCGTAAAAAATAAGGGTTTTAACTTTCTTTATCAGGATACTCTTAAAAGTTAGGAAATAGTGGGTTTATATGGAGCTCTCTTTCAATCTGCACTTGCATTGCAGGTAGTCCAGCTAGCACATCTCTTGCTGCTGATGTTGCAGTGTCGTGCTTGGATCTTGCAATTTCAGACTTCCAAAATCAGGATGAATTTGTGCAGAAACTTTCTACATTGATGTTTCCCATACTCTTGATTCGACCAAAGGTTTCCTTTGTTCTCAACTTGCGATTTTTTTATTTTATTTTTTTCTATCTAGAATATAGGGATACATCAATTCACTCTTTCAGTGTTTATTGTTAGCATGTCCATTCATTTTTTTTATACCAAATGCAGACTTTGAAGTTGAATTTGAAGGCATTGTATCTGGCCAAGGAAGTAAAGTGGCCTTTCTACAGGAATCTTGTCATTGCCTCTGGCCTAAAGGAGGTGATAATTATTGTAGAGCTTCTTAATGCAGCAGTAATCTTGATCTTTCCATGTAATTTATGTGCATAGGGGTATGAGATGCAGTTACAGTAATGCGTGATTGGGTCGGAAATTTATGGCCCTGTGAGGTCTCCCCGGGGTTTTTGAGAGGTGTCGAAGGTGTAAATAATCAGAAGTCCAAATGATTTTGTTCTGGATGTTGATGTCATTGATTTTTTCTCTTGCTGATCTTGTTGGGTTTCAGATTTCTAATGTTGTGTCTTCTGTTAGAACGTCTCATTCCAGAAGTAACATTGGTCATTATGGTTTGCTTATATTCTTCAGTATCTTGTCTTCTTGTTATTAGATCAGTTAATTGCTTCTTCCTTTGAGAGCCAAGTCTTATTTAAATTAAATTCAGTCTATAATATCATGACATCCTATGAGTTGGATTTTGATGGGCTTTTTTATATAATTGGGATTCGAGCCCTCTATTTTATCAGTGAGAAACAGTATTCCTAGCAAGTTTGGAACTTGTCAACCATGTTTAGGCTGTCACTTTGAATTTATAATTTCATAAACTTCTTTTTCCTAGTGGTGTCTCTGAAGCTAGCCAGAGTTTACTTAGGTGGAGGTAAAAATAGTACAATAGGAGGGCGATCTGTTGTTGTGGACATGTATGTTGGCATGTTCTTGGCGCAGCCTTTTCCCAAAAAAAAAAATGAAACCTACACTTTGGCGCAACAGAAGAGGAGAGAGGAGGAAGAGGATTTTATTTATTTATTTATTTACTATGGAGGACATAGCTATGTCACTCATTGACAGTGATTACCAGTTCTTTTTCTCTACGTGTATCCTCACCTGCTGTGACCACCTCCGCTTCTCTTTATTCTACTATTTTGGGATTGTCAGCCACACCATCCGTTTGAGACCTACAAGATCACTCCCAAGTGAGAGGGAGCGAAAATGGGAGTACCCAGCTGTCTCCTCATTGACCATGACTACCTCCACTCCTCTTCTATTTCTCTCGGCTTGTCAGTCATATTGTCCATGTGAGCCCTACAAGAGCTCTCCCAACTATTTCCTGTCCCTTTCTTCTACTTCTTCTTTGGGCTTTGTCAGCTACATTCTCCTGTGAGTGGAGGTCTTAGCTTGTCCTATTCTTTTTGTTGTAATTTGTAATTCAACCCAATATTGTATTATGTTCGACAAACTGTCTTTTTAAATATAAAAGCTTCATAAAACCTCTCACCTTTGACACTTATTGCGAATCTTTTCCATCAAATAACATGCACATATGGACAAATCTTACATGTTCCTAGTAGAGAAGGTAAGGATCATTATAATAAAACATGATTATTTGATACTAAAAGTCATTTATATGTATAACTGGCCGTGTTTCCTTTTTTGATGTTTAGGCTTGGTGTAGGATTCCTCGTGTCTGTATCAACATTTGACACCCGTGTATTTTTTAGGGTTGGTGTAGAACTTCTAACATGCTGCATGCTAATAAAAAAATAAAAATAGAATGAAAGTCTTTGATACTCGACAAATCTTAAATGTTCCTAGAGTAGAGAAGGTAAGGATCATTATAATAAAACATGATTATTTAATACAAAAAGTCATCTATATGTGTAACTGGCCATGTTTACTTTTTTGATGTTTAGGCTTGGTGTAGGATTCCTTGTGTCTGTATCAACATTTGACACCCGTGTATTTTTTAGGGTTGGTGTAGAACTTCTAACATGCTGCATGCTAATAAAAAAAATAAAAATAGGATGGAAGTCTTTGATACTCCTGAGGTGGTGTCATAATGAGGATTCATGTACTTTCCTTTTTGAGCACCAGGCTAATAATTGTTCTATTATTTTATATCGTATAACCAAATCTTTACCTCTTGTTTTATTTCTTGATTATTATTTCACAAACATGTATTTGAGTTTGGGGCAGCAGAAGTTGGTACTTAGCTAGGCCCTATCAGCACCTTTGATTAATGGGAACCAGTACTAGTAGGTGGTCTTTCTCTTCATGCATAACTATAACAATAAGTTAGGGTGTTTAGTATTATAAGCATTTAGTGTTAGCTCCCATGCCACGATTTTCTAAACCTGGTCTCTGACACTTGTATAGCCTAAACCTTCTCTAACTATAAGTAAATGAAGGCCTTGTTTTAGCTTCTTTTAATTCTGAAGAATAAAAATAAGATCAATGGTTTCAAGTAAAAACCTTTTTTTTTTTTTTTTTTTCCAACACTGCATGGATATGCGCCAAATGCTTGATTTGCCTCAGATGGCCACAAAATTGTTCACATATCAGTAGGATATGACTAAGTCACCCGCGATAAAAGAAAAATCTGCCTATAAATTTTTGCTTTATTGGTCACCTATGAGATTTCAGAAATGAATAATCATTTTGTAGAGGTATGTATAATTTGTTGGTGCTGGATAACTTTGGGATTTTCTTGCTTGCTCCTTGCATTTCTGATTTAATAGTTATTAATTTGTTTCTAATAATAATGAAATCATTGATCATGTTTATTTAAATTTTGTTCATTCTTCTACAAATTAATTTTGAAATTGTTGGAAATTATGCAGAAATGGGAACATGGACACATTACTTCAATAAATATGGACACAATTAGTCGGTTGGCAGAAACATTCTTGATGTGCCCTGAAGAATACATGCCTTGGCTTGTTGAATGCTGTGAATTTCTGGAGCTGTCAAAGACATTATTCTTCTTGGTCTTGTTGCAGTCTTTCATGGCGCCCAAGATTGGTAGACTGCTCCATCTTCATTTCTTAATCTGTACTGCTGTTTTGCCTGCAGTGTCCTCATGTTTATCAATTTATTTAATTATCTGCTTGTAGGGCATGAAATGACGAGATTTTATTTTTATTTTTATTTTTATTTTTAAATTTGGAATCCTGTCCCATATTTTAATGTCAGGATCTATATCTGAATTCAAATTTGACTCGGATCCTATGGGCATAATCCATTTAATCCATGTATAAAGTGGGCTTGGTTTGTAGTGATCCTCAGGTTAACCCGATCCGTTTTATCCCTAAACATATTGAGATCCAAGTACAAGGAGATCCATATTCTGTCCATTTTAAAATTAAAATCGAAACCAATAAAATGGATTTTAGTTCGATTAGATTTTGGGGGAGAGAAAACCAATTTCATGCCTGTTGGTGGTGCTTCTCTGCTTCCATTGCTTATTCTACCTTCACTGTAGTTATTTAATGGCCAATTGATCAGTAAATGATCCTTGAAGAAGTTTTACTTTGTGGGGACCAGTTGTGGTTGGTGGCCTTACTTAACTGTAGACTTTTGGAGAACTTAAGAAGTCATGGTCCCACACACACATATATTAAATGATTCTGGAATCTTTGTTGCAATATATGCATATAAAATAGGAACTATGTAGACATGGAAAAATATGTGCGCTGCCATGTTGTCGCATGAGGTTGGAGAGACCATGTCTTCAGGGATTGCTGTTTGAGAAATTTTGAAGGACAAAACTAGGAATCATTATGTTTTATTGTGGGATATTAAAAAAAATGCAATATATAATCTTATCTCTATTTTGAAGGATATCGCACAGGTTGGTGATTGAGTTTGTTTGTGGCAAGTTAGTGTTAATGTTAATTATTCTGTGCCTTGGAGGTTGAAATTCAACTTGCACCTTTGACTTTTCTAATCATCCTTGTGGATTATGTATTAGCCTTTTTATACAATCTCAGTCTGCCTGCTTAAATGAGTGGTTGAAATGTTATGTTCTATGTTGGTTACCAAATGCATGACATTGTTGAGATATGCTTAATTGAGGCAGGCTTGGACTGTAATGAATAATTTGCTTGTGTGAAGAAAAACTGGATTTTTTAGTCTGGGGCTTGTTAAGAGAGATCACTAAGAATATGCATTTTGAGGGACTGTGGCATGTGGTGTTGCAGTCTTGGATATGCCACAATATTTTTGCAGATGTTACAGGTGGTCACCCAAGCATTTCATTTTTTGTTGGGAAATTGCCCTGAAGCATCTATTCTATGGTGCATGAGTGGTGTCTGCAGAAACGAGCCAATTTCCTTTAGTTGTTTTCATGATGAATGTTGATGGATGTGGATATAAGCTCATGTTCTTTATACTAAATGTTTTAAGCAATTTACTTGGGTTGTTCATGCTACTACCTTTGCAAAAGACATTTTTCTTTTGTTGATGCGTTAGAGTATCCTTTTGTGATGTTGTTTTGTATAATTACTGGCATTGCCTTCGCCTTTTTGCCTTTTGAATGGATTAAAAAATTTCCCATATTTTACCTTTTATTTTTTTATTTTTTGCACGACAGACAGTGGTCGGTTCTACGCGTTATATGAAGCCTGCTTTCCAGTTCTGAAAATGGAGTGGAAAGTTTTGAAGTCTGAGGGTATTGGTGCATCGTTGGAAGAGGTATAGGAATAATTATCTTAGTTTATTTATTATTGTAGTACTATAATACTTGATTTATAGTTCCTTACTTTGGTTGTTGACTTCAAATTTTTCCCTTAATATTGGACTCTGCTATGTAATTACAGGCCAACACAAGAGTGCTGGATAGGGATTGCAAAACTTTTTTAAATCAGCTGGTCGGTACCAATTGCAAAGAATTGAATGCTGATATTCTGATTTGCTTATTTTGGAGATTACTTGAGGCATTTGTTTCAGCAGCGTCTCCAGATGATTCGTTGGTTCGTGATGCGTGTTTCTTTATTTTATCTACATCATTTGTCAGCAATACCTGTTTTATTGTCTCACTTATCTCTTCTTTATTTCTTGGTGGCTGAATTTAGTTATAATTGTCAATGCTGAATGTGAACTTATACTTGTTGCAGGGTCACAATGGGAAGTGGGCATGTACACTTCACGATCTGTTCATGTTCTTTGCAGCATCTCAGTCCAAGCATGTTTTCAAAAAGCATCTTCATTGTCTTGTAGGGACGTGCAAGACCTCTCTTGTCCAGTTTTTGTCCAAGTTTTTTACTGAAGAAGGTTTGATTTTGGCTTTTTCTTTTTTCTCCATCTATTTTGTTTGCAAACCTTATATGTTAATTTTCATGTGTTTAGTTGTTTATTACACTTGGCTGCTTTGGTTTGATTGGATGTAAGGACAGGATGAGCTATACATTATATATTCTTTGTTTGAATGCACTAGAAGTCTGGGATAAAGGTGTGCAAATAGGGAATCAGGAGGATGTCAATAATTGTTTTGAAGTTTGGAGTGCCTTAAAATTGCTGAAAGATGAACTTTTGTCCACCCTAATCTGATTCCCATCAGATTTTGGTTTTAAATTGGAATAGATATTGATTCAGATCATGGTCTTGAAAGTTGTTCCTGTACAAAAGTTGGAATGATAATAGCCCGGGGTATGGATATCTGAACATATATATTCGCTGAACCAAATTCAACTTTGTTTAGAAAACATTTAGGTGCTGATAAAATTGAAATTAAGTACTGATAATTTTATGAGCTGAATTTTAAGTGCTAATTATAAATAAAGATTTTTTTATAGTACTTTTTTGAATTTTAAGTGGTCAGTGAAAAGTGATGTCTTTTATCACTTTTTTTTTACCCTATATTAAGAACACTTGTTCGTTTAAGCTGTATCCTTATTGCATTATCGAATGCACTTAATTAAATAAGTGCTGAATGTATTCAGAATTAAGTGCTAAATAGGGTTGTCAAACATCTTTGTGTTTCTTGCATATGCTTCTTACTTAGCCGGCACCTTTCATGTTGGTTTCAATATTATGCATTTTGGTGTCTCAATGTTTGATGCTTTCCATTTTGCAGGTGTTTCTGTTACAGTCCAAGTTGAGAGTCTTTATTGCTTTGCGTTTCTTTGTTCTCAGTCTGAGGAGAGCCTATTTTTCAAACTGCTTGTCGAATTCCCTTCAATTCTTGTTCCTCTGTCTAGCGATGACCAGGTTTCTGAACTTATTCTTGACTCCACTTGTGCTATTTGAAGTCTTAGTAAGAATTTTACATTAAAGAAGTACATTATTTCATGTCCCCTTTGGCTATGAAAGCTAATATAGTACATTCATCTTTTTGCCGCGAATCTATTTTCCTTTAGTTAAATTACTATGAATTAGTACTTATTGTCTTATTTCTTCAGGATATAAGGACTGCTGCCATGAACTGCATTGAAGGACTCTGCACACTGTGGCCTCGTGTTAATGTTCCTAGATGGAAAAATGGTAGCACCCTTCTGTTAGAACAACTCTTTCAGTGCTATCTATTCTTTCTGAGTTGCCTTAATTGTTGGCATTCTCTAATCTAGAAATTTGGCAGGAAGCAATGCGATATGGAGTCATTTTCTTGGGGAAATTTTGGGCTTAATTGTTCAGCAAAAAAGGCTTATTCTATCAGACAGAAATGGTCTTTCCTCATTTTTAACATCTTTGCTCAGCTCCTCGTATCATTCCATTTTAGTTCCAGAGACTATCGTACAGAGGTTTTCTTCTTATTTTATTGCTAGTTTTCATTATAATCACGTGCATGATCATGATCATCATTTTGTCATCTTCACTTCCTTCACCAAGACTATAGTGCATTATATGTCACGGATGTTTGTGGTATAAAATGGGATGCTTCCCTCTTTTCTAGCTATGCAATATTTTCTGTTACGTGTCTTTCCGACTTGATTATTATAACGGTTTGTAACATTGAAATCTGTGTTCTCTCCACCATCCCCCAGAGAGGAAAAAAATAAAGAAAGAAAGGAAAAGGTGTAGAATTATTGTTCATCATATTAATTTCTATCAAAAAACAAGTTTCATTAAGAGAGTGGAATACAGTGAGATGAGATTCTTAGATAATCTGACGGGTCATTTCTAATATGCCCGAGTTTAGTTTATGTACCTTGTTGCGAGCTCTTAATGTGGCGACTTTGTGGGCGGGTGCGGGGTACTGGCATGCTACGGGTGCACGATCCCACATCGCCTAGGTGTGGAAAGCGAAAGTGCTATATATGTAGGATTGGTAATCTCCAAATGGTATGAAGCCGTTTGGGGTAAAATCGAAGAACAAAACTGTGCGGGCTCGAGCCTAAAGTGGACAATATCATACCATGTGGAGTGGACCATTACAAACGGTATCAGAGTTTGACCTAGATGGAAGTGTGCCAATGAGGACGTCGGGCCTCTTAGGGACGTGGTGGATTGTGGAGACCTTATGGGCAGGTGCGAGGCACTAGTAGGCTATTGTTACAAGTGGCCATTTGTACCACATCGGATCCGGATGAGAAAGTGATTGGGTATAAATGGGTGAGTATGTAGCACTACCCAACAACTTGAGCTTTTGAGTAAATGGGCAAGCGCCCACCTGTTATAGTTGGTATCAGAGTCAAACCCAATCCTTGATCCAATGTCACGCCAAATGCTCAGTCCGGAAAGCGTCCGGGTGAGCCACCCCAGGTAGGCAAGGTGGCCCGACCACAACGAGGGCGTTGCGAGTTCAGGTGGGGGAGAATGTTACAAGGGGCTATTTGTCCCACAATGGATCCGGATGGGAAAGCGATTGGGTATAAATGGGTAGGTATGCAGCACTACCCAACAACTTGAGCTATTAGGTAAATGGGTAAGCACCTGCCTGTTACAGCTACCATGTTGGCAAGCTATGGGTGCACAATCGTCAATCTCATATCACCTGGGTACAGAAAGGGAAGTGCTATATATGTAGGATTGGTAATCTCCAAATGGTGTGAGGCCTTTTGGGATAAAACCCAAGAACAAAACCGTACGGGCTCGGGCCAAAGCGGACAATATCATACCCTGTGGTGTAGTGGGCCATTGCACTTATGGTTATGGAGGCTTTGTGGCTGCTTTGATTCCATCTCGTCCAATCAATGCATGCTTGTCTGGTTTTTCAAACATTAATGTCCCACAGTAATTTTAGAATTTACTAATATCTAATTTTTATGCATATTATTGAGCTAAAAAGTATTCTATTTTGCATGGCTTTTCAGGTTTGATCAATATACAAAAGATGAAATACTGGATTATATTCTAGTCTCTGCACTAAAACTTTCTAATTATGCAAAGGTAAATGCTCCATTAATCAGTTTTCTTGTTCATCGCTTGCAAGTTATGTATAGATGAGCCTGGTTTTGGAGATTAATTATTTGCAAAGTATTTTCTTTATTTCTGTAATGTATGTCAGCATCGTAATTGTTTTGGAGAAAGGAGTAATGAGATTGAGGTTTTTGGCAGCTAAGAATTCTATTTTTGCTCAAAGGAGTAGGGAATAGAATTTTCCGTGTTAAAGATGTTGAGTGTTTGCTGTCTGACCTATTGACAAAACGCTGTCAATATCTTATTGGGGTTGATAAATCCTGCCATAAATTGTCAAAGACTGACATTGAAATCCTATGCCTTTTACTGGAGGTAAATTGAAGTATTCTTTATATATATATATATTATTGCCTTAAATACGTTTACTGTCTTGTGCTTCTTTAAATTGTATTGAGAATTCCATCTCCCATGTGTACTAGAGCTGTGCTGTGCAGTCATCATCATTCAATGGACATGCTTTTGATGATCATTTATTGAAGGCCTTGCAGGTAAGTTGATATCTGAAACTTCTCTTTTTTATTTGGCGTTTGTTTATTTATTTATTGATATTTGAATAAGCATGCTGTTTTTCCAGTTAGATGGTATGTCCTCTGAAGAGCCTGCCGCTGTACAGCCTTGTATAACTGTGCTAAGAACTCTCAGCAATTCCCTTTATGGAGGTTTGAAGACTGAGACACAGGTAACTTTTATCCATTTACCAGAAACTTGCCCAGATTTTATTTATCAATGATTAGTTCTGCAGCCTAAATTTTAGTAGGTAACTGATGGATGGAGCTAGGGTATAGTGTGTGTGTGTGTGTGTTTTTTTTTTTTTTTTTGCGCGTGCGCCCGCGGGGGGGGGGGGGGGGGGGGGGTTGGTTGGTTGGTTCAGAAAAATTGAATATATGTAGGTATGTATGAACAAACTTTCTGATGACTCCTTTGTCATCTTCTACTCTCATGTCCAGTCCTTTATTTAAACCTTTCTACAGCTATTGTATTATTTTTGTTTTTTCATGGTCAAGCTTTTGTAAGTCATATAAATCTTTAATTTGATTTTTCTTTGCAATATTCTTTTTTCGTTCTAATTTTTATCCAAATGTAAAAGATTATTTATTCACATGTTGTCCAGTGTTGAACATGTGATCGAAATAAAGAAATTTATTATTAATTTGTTTTTATTGAATATAATTCCTTTTAATGCTTAGCAAAATAAGTAGATGCACACAAATATATTTTTGGATTCATGAAATTAACATAGCAGGCTGACTTGGTAAGAATAGTAAAAGCTCATTCTGTGAAGCATAAGAATGTGGATGGATCTGCACGTGAATAGCCACCTTATATGCAATAAGAATTAGTGCTTTACCCGTCCACTCCTCCATACCGCATAAGCAGAAACGATACTTGCTAATGGTCTCTCTCTCTCTCTCTCTCTATATATATATATATATATATATATATAGATATAAATCTTTTCGATTCGAGAAAAAAAATATTAGGTTTTGGCACATGGAATTTGAAGTCCATGTGCGAGTGAAGATTAGTAAGACTATATTTTATTACCTTAGCTATGCATAAACCTTTTTGTTAATCTATCACATAAATGGATTAATACACTCTGAACATTTCTCACTAGTCAAACTTGGAGGTCAAGGGAGAAATAAATATTTTATAGTTTTGAAGGTCCAATCCAATTAGCTTATTAAAGCATCTCTAGATTCTCTACCCTAATCTTCAATTCGTGGCACATTAAACACACAGTTTTGGCATATAGGTTTCTTCTAACCGAATTTAGTTCTCATTTGACATAGAATCATATATGTCAAATTTGGTATACACATTGTGTTTATTTTCAAATTTTCAGGTTCAAATGTTTAAAAAGCTGAAATGGACTATCAAGGTTACTCAACTTAGGCAGTGCTTTATCATCTAGAAATGTCGTTAACAGTAATCAAGTTGGAGTAACTAACCTTTTATTTTCACTACAGAAAAATATTAAAATAATGGCCATATGATTTTTCTCTCATGAAATCACTCCATGTTGAGAAATCATATGGGTTCTAGTTGCCATCTATGATGTGATCTTAATATTATTGTATATCACTAGCTGTTGGCTTAATTGTAATGTCCTGCTTTTCCAGTAGGGAGTTTCAGGGTTCAGCTCCCAATTAGTATGGATGTGTGCATTACATATCAAAAGGATTGATAAATACCATTGACATTTATGGGGTTTTCATTCTTTATTTTCTACTATCATGTTATAGCTACTTTTTTCTTTTTAATGTAAATTATATTATGAGGCACCATTTCAGCTGACAACATTCTTGATTGAATTCATAGATTGAAGGATTCTATTGATTTTTCTCTTCAGTTCCCAGCACCCTATTACCTTTTGTTATTTAAATGAAACTACAAGCTGGTTCCCAATTTATGAAGTGGATTTTCATTTAATTTCTCATTTTGACAGGATCTTCTATTTCAAAATCTTGTGTTTCTGTTTCGGAATGCTAATGGTGATGTACAAAGTGCTACAAAAGAGGCGTTGCTGCGTTTACATGTTTGTTCCTATCTCTCTTAGATTGATCTTGTTATTGTTTGAACTTATTGTTTTGGTTACTTTTTATTTTACTCAAATAACTTGGACAATTTCTTTACTCTGTCCTTTATGTGAGCATTAGATTGTTTTATCGTGGCAAGCTCAGTCTGGTCATGGAAGTTTGTATGAATTAGTTCCACCTTGGCAAATCTGTACTCTGTTCATCTACTTTTAATGCCAAGCGGTTACTCATACTACGAACAGTTCATTTTTAAACAACGGGTGTAGCTTTGAATGAGTTCTACCAGAAGTTATTAACGTAGACAATCATTTGATCCTGTCAGATCAGATAACTTGAGTTATTTTATGATAAATTCTTGCGAGCTGTAAATCTGAGTTAATTTTTCTTTGAACTAAGTTATCATATTATCTGTTTGTGCTGGACTTTCTTTTCAAAATTCTTGTATGGGTTGTTCCAATCATCTCTTCTATAATGGAAACATAATATTCTGAATGAGTATTTTTAAGTTCATCAAGGATTTGCTGTGGGCATTCCCCTAATGAACTTTGTTTTGCCGGTGGTGCTTATAAGTGAGGCTATGAAGCATGGATATGGACACGGGTATGACATGATACGAACATGACTATATGACAAATATATAAAAAAATAAAAAATAAAAAAAAAGTGTCCCAAACATGTCTCTGGCTCCCTGCAGTGTCCCACTAAAAAGAATAATAATAATTCAAACTCCTTGACGCTCCATAGCCTTGTTAGGCACATGTCCACCATGTCCCATTCGTTCATGTCGGGAACGTGTCCAATACCGTCACGACACCCTCTTGGGGACTGCTTTGCTTTCTAGGTGAAAGGTGGATGGCTCACAATCCATATGTTGCATCTTGCAACTTGGAAAACTATAGGGGATATACTGTGTGTAGTAGTGAGCTGTTGGAACGGCAAAGGCCGAACGATGTTCTGTAAACAAAAGCTAGGGCGAACATATAACGCTACACTACTGCATGAAGCTCTTGCCATTGGAGGGTTGGGAAGGGTTTGTTGGAAATTGTGTCTCAAATTCGTATTCTAATTAGGTTTCTCTTTTAGAGTTGTATTCAGTAAGGAAATTTCTTACTCCTTTTGTCCCAAAAAGAATCTCTCTTTTGGGATTAAACAAGTAATCCTTGTCCAACAAGGAAGTGAGTTTGTAACTCTATAAATAGATAACTTAGGTTTTGGATTGAGACTTATGAGATTGAGAGTGATGTAGTCGAGGGAGTTGATGGGTAGAGGTAATACGAGTAGGAAAAACACCGATGACATTGTTAGCGAGGAGATAGGCTCGTGGAGTGGTACATGGTGAAAAGACGTGTACGAGGTGTTGATACTCTATTGTTGTAATATCTCTACGAATCATAGTGGAATCTCTTCTCATCCATGGACGTAGGCCGGTTTTGGCTGAACCATGTATATCTTGTGTTTGTATGTGATTGCTTTGTTGGGTTTCATGGGATCTTTGTATTCGTGTGCTTCTGCTGCTCATCAGGGTTGACATTGAGAGTAATACTGGGAGAAGAGGAAGACCAAAATTAACGTGGGTAGAGTAAGGAAGGATATGATAGCATGTGGATTGACCGAGGCTATGGCTTAAATAGTGCAGAATGGAAACATAGGATTCATGTAGTCTACCCCGAGTAGTTGGGAAAAGGCTTGATTTTTGTTGGAATCCGCGACCTCTAGGTCACAATGGGGCAGTCTTTACCGTTGAGTCAAGGCCTGGACCAACCCACTGGACCTGACAGAATACTAAGAGGGCTAATGGGGTGGAACTTGGTTTGGTTGTAAATCGATTGGGTATGGCAAGAAACAGTTTAATATTCTATTATGCCTGTTGTGAATGATTAAAGAGGCATAATGTATGATTTCTATTATCATGCTATTCTGCTATGTAACATCATCATCATAAAGTACTGATCCTGACAATCCCTTAGATAAGGACCCTGAAGTGGAAGGGGTATTAAAGTTCTCTTCGTCCAAATATGTGTGAGATTTTAACAATATTTTAGTAGCCAAATAGCCTATTGGTGTAAAGTTCTTATGCAGTCATACGAGAGATCTGTGAGTGAATTTCACCTCATCAAGGATTTGGGTGTTACAGAAAACAAAAAATAAGAGGTCAAATGGTTCTAGCCTTTGGCTAACAAGCTTGAGAATTCAAGTTTTAGATGGAGAATAACATTCTCATATAAAAAAAATATGAAGGTGAGGTCGTACCAGTCTACTCTTCCCATAACCCCCAAACTGAAAGTACCATCATTAAAACAGCAGCCATTTTAGTAGTCACCTTTATATTTTTGTTGTTTTTAGATGAATTTGAAGCCTAGTGACTGCCATATCTATGTTAATGACATTTCTAACTTTTTGAAATATCCTTGTTGGACATACGACAGCTAAGAATGATTGATGCCTGTAACCAATATGTTTATAATTCGAGTACCATGTGATTATACATTAAACTTTATTATTATGTACATTTTGTTAAATGAATGCTTGGAAATCATAGTATGGCCGTGTTGTATGTATGTTACACCAAAGCACATTGAATGTATGTTAAACGAAAGCACAATTTCTCTCTTTAAAATAATAATTAAAAAAAGTTAAAAAATATTGTTTAGATTTGTCCCCTTGTTGTGTATACCTTGACGCAATACACGCACTGAGTCCATGCAACATCTACTCTGTCTGACGCACATTACCCATCCAGTAAAATTGTTTGTAAAATGAGATCTTTTGTTTATAAATACTAGCTAGTGATAAAAGTTTTGTATTCACTTGCCATTCTCTAAATCTTTATGTTGTCTTGACTCGAGAATCACTAAAGAAAAGACTTGTTACCGTTATATATTCCATTTAGAGACTTGGTAACTTCGTCAGATGTTTCTTTTTATGTATGTTGAGAAGGTTGCTAGCTTTTGTATGGCTCCACCTATTTCTAATTTTGTATTTCTTTATTTGAAACTTGCTTTATTCAAACATTGTTTTATTTTGCTTCAGTTGAGCAGTGTGTGAATAACCCATCGGCGTCTCTCTAATTATTATGGCTTTGCTCTAATTTTGCAGGTTACCAGCTCCATTGTTGGTCGGATGCTTGATTTCTTTTTTGAGCAGGAAGATCGCATGATTGGTTCAGCATTTGGGAAGAAGAAAAAGAAATCAATAACAGATCAGAATTGCGAACTAAAGCATGGTTTCAATTGCAAAGGCGAAAATGCACTTACATTCCTTAGCTCTCTCCTTGATATTTTGCTTCTGAAGAAAGACGTAGAGGACAGGTCTTCTATAATTATTATACCTATATTTTGATTATCTGGAATGCTTGTTTATTGTAATGACCCATGTCTTTCCCCCCACCCCCTTCTCTTTTTTTACTTTTTCTCAATTTGTTCATCTTCAGAACTGCTTATATAGTTGGACTAATTATATCCCATCCTTCGTTTCTCAGAACTTCTCTTATAGGGCCTTTATTTAAGCTTGTCCGCAAAATCTTTATAGATACTGGGTCCCACAAAGCTACTGACCAGGATGAGAAATATATAGCAGCTTCTTCTGGTCTCTCTCAAAGTATTTCCAGCACATGTTATATTCAACAGACACTATTATTGATTCTTGAAGATATTTGTGCTTCATTCTTAACTGTTACTCCAGTAAAGGTTTGCATCCTATTTATTGAATCCTATGATATCTCCTGGTGACTCAAATGTGATCTTCTTTCGTCTCTTTTTCTTAATCTCGAGTGACACTAGTTTCATGGCAGGATGAGACAGTTAATAACATTGATTTGAAACTGTTAGTCGAATGTGCCCGTGCTACAAAGGATGGAATCACCCGCAATCATGTATTTTCATTGTTATCTACTACTGCAAAGGTCATTCCAGACAAAGTTTGGGACCACATACTAGACATTCTCTCAGTTATTGGGGCATCTGCTGTGGCACAGGTTTGTTGATATTTTTTATTGGCCTTGTGTAAGTTGCCTTATTTTATGAAAGCACTTTATTATTATTATTTTTTTTTAGTAAAATATTGAGGGTCAAACCAGTCATCTTGTATGCCAGATTTGATCTTCAGGATCAAAGTACGATTGTACTTGAAATCTGATGCAACTTTTGAATGTCAAACCAGTCAATTCTTGAAGTGCAATTTTAGATATTTAGTGTATGTGCATGAACACTTTGGTTAATTTATTCTTTTGTCTAGTATGACAGCCATTCACAACGTGTATTTGAAGATCTTATATCTGCAATTGTTCCATGTTGGCTATCTAAGTCCGAAAGCTCTGAAAAATTGCTTCAGGTATTTTTGTAATCTCAGCCATATTTTCTACTCTGCTTACCTTTAGCAAGTTTTGGTATACTTGAGTGCTGACTGTTGATTTTTCCCTTCAGATATTTATAAATGTATTGCCTGAAGTTGGTGAGCACAGAAGGCTGTCAATTATTGTGCATCTCTTGAGGTATGTTTGTTAAATTTGATTCTTCCTTTGAATATTTAGGTTCTGCTTAAAGTTGACACGCTTGCCTTACAGGACTTTAGGAGAACGTAGTAGCTTGGGTTCATTGCTTGAACTCCTTTTCCGTTCATTTGCATCAAGAAAAAGATCATCTTTTCCCAGCAATAGTGTGCACTCGATGGATGGTTTTACTTCTATTACTCATACAGACTGGGAGTACGCATTTGCGGTGCAAGTATGTGAGCAGTACTCATGCATGATATGGCTTCCTTCTCTTGTTATGCTGCTTCAACATGTAAAAATGGGTTCTTGGGGTGAAGAAATGTGTATGGAACTGCTTATTGCAATGCAATTCATTGCAGACAAATTGCAAGATCCTGAACTTGAATTCAAGCTTGTTTCTGGGGAAGATTCAGATAACATTCAGGTATACAGTAATTATTCTTTTGATTTTGTTCAGTTCCTTGATGAATGGTAGGCCTTACGTAGCTGGCAATGTAGCATTTTGATACCCATCACCACTACATTTGTGCTTTGTCTGTCTGTCTCATGTTACAACATATAACATATGCAAGATGTTAATGCCTCGACCTCGAAATAAAGAACATTTTGTTTCTTTGATTCTTTTATTAGTTTGTTGATGCCTAGAGATGTGTTATTTCTAGCTGGATTTTATGTGGCAAGTGTAGGAACTTCTGTTTTATTATGCGCTTGATGCAAATTAATAAGATTCATATGTACTAGAAAAATGAATATACCTTGCTCTGAAGCAGGAAGGCCTGCATATTCGGTTTATTACTGTGTCAATTCTTGTTTGTTGTGGAATGGTTTTGCCCTTGGGGTTACATGTATTTAACGTCTTGTAACTTGAACAGAAGGAGGTGTTATTGTTTTCTTAATTTTTTTCTGAGAAAGGCATAGATATTATATGATTTTGCAGTGATTTTGCACAAGCTATAAACCCCAACCCACCCCCTTTTTTTGCTTCTCAAAAAGTATGTTCATGAGAAATGTATGGGAATTACCTCTTCAAATTGAAGCGTGTAAAATTCTAGTCTGGGCGTATGAGCACTTAATTTTGCTAGTTTTAAACCTACTGTAAAATAAACTTAAGTAGGCAATAAAATGCCCGTTTGCAAGTTTCAAATTTTTTTTTTTTTTTTTTTTTTGGGGGGGGGGGGAGCTGACATTATACTCCAAGAGAGGATTAAAATAGAATCTAGGTCAGTAATACATGATACAATTCTGAGTCTGTTATGCTGTACTTTCAATACCTCATTAGTAATTCTTGACTTGGACATATCTTCACGACAATTTAATTACCTCTGCAGAGAACACTTGGAGCACTTATGGAGCAGGTTGTTTCTCATTTACATCTGGTTGACTCAAAAAGAAAGCAAATACCTGTTCCTGCTGGAATCAGGAAAGAACTAAAGGAGCGTATGCATACTGTTTTAAAATCTATTACAAAAGCCCTGGTTCCAATGGCATACTTCAAAGGCATTATTGAATTGCTGGCCCATGCAGATAGAAATGTGAGAAGGAAGGTAAGAAGTGCAGCACTTGTCATTGTCATTTATTGTTTTTGTACTAAAGGGAATGTAAGCTGAATATAAAGTAATAGTACCTTATGGGACTGTGACACACATCTTAGTTGGATAGAGCAATTATCTGAATTACAGGATTTTCATGAGGGTTCCCTGGTCTAGAAGTTAGTGTAACAATCCCTTCTGTCAGTTCCTTTGGATTGTTTGAAAATGTAGCAGATAGTAAATAAAATAAATAAATGAAGTTGAGAATTTTCAGTCAATTCCAAACATATGCTTCCACCTAGTGTATGTGTTTCGCATCCTGCAGCACATTCTGAATATTGTTTCTAACGTTTTCTTGGAACATCACAATCTACCTGGTGGATTCATGGTTCCATTTATCTTTGCTCTTCTTATTGTTGTAGCCTTGCTATTTAACTCCTAGATGTACACATTCATCTTTAAATATATTAACGTACACGTTCACTGTGAGCAGGCGCTTGGGCTTCTATGTGAAACATTGAAGGATTCTGGCAAAGTGAAACTGAAGCGTGAGGGAAGGGGATTGAATTTAATTCCAAGTCGTTCTTGGTTTCATCTGGATGACAGTGCTCTCGAGTCCTTGGATAAAATGTGTCTGGAAATTGTAAAGTTAATCGACGATCCTTCTGATTATGCAAATACTTCCTTGAAACTTGCAGCTATTTCAACATTAGAAGGTTTAGCCAACAAGTTTCCTTCTAACCATTCTATCTTTAGCGTGTGCCTTGCATCTGTCACTAAAAACATCCGTGCAGACAATTTGTCTGTTTCGTCCAGTTGCCTTCGGACAACTGGTGCTTTAATCAATGTGCTTGGACCAAGGGCACTGCTTGAGCTACCTTCTATCATGGAGAATGTACTATGGAGGTCTCACGATGCCTCCACATGCCAAGCTTCAAAAACTAAATTGAGTGATGACAATACTACTGTTACACTATCAGATTCTTTGGAATCTCTCTTTATGTCAATTCTTGTCACCTTGGAGGCAGTTGTTGACAAGCTTGGTGGTTTTTTAAACCCATATCTTGGAGATATTTTAAAACTTTTGGTGTTGCATCCTGTTTATGCATTGGGATCTGATCTAAAGTTGAGAATGAAAGCTGACATAATAAGGAAACTTGTCACTGAGAAAATCCCTGTAAGTTCACTTATCAAACACTGGTGGTTAACCCTTGGTTATATTTCCTTAGTGTCTACCTTATCTTTCTACTGACTCCTGATTTTGTTTGGTAGGTTCGGCTATTATTTCCACCTCTGCTAAGGATATATCCAGAAGCTATTTTTTCTGGAGATTCAAGCTTATCAATTGCTTTTGAAATGCTAGGAAGCTTGGTTGGTACAATGGATAGATCATCTGTTGGTGCTTGCCATGCAAAGATTTTTGACTTGTGCTTACTAGCGCTTGATCTTCGTCGTCAACACCCAGTCTCAATAATAAATATTAATGTTGTTGAAAAACATGTCATCAGTGCAATGATTATGCTGACTATGAAACTTACGGAGACAATGTTCAAGCCTCTCTTCATTAGGAGTATTGAATGGGCGGAGACAAATTTGCAGGATAATGAATCTACGGGGATCACAAATGTTGATAGGGCCATATCATTCTATGGCTTTGTAAATAAACTTGCTGAAAGCCATCGGTGAGAAAAAATTTCCTTTTCATATTTCATCTGCTCCTTTTAGCTTTTCTTGTCTTGAGGCGACCTGATTAGTTGCTCACTTGTACCTGGATCAATGTGGTACATGAAATTGAAATTTTGATTTGCAGCTACTTGCGCTGCAAGTTGTTAGAATGGGGTTCGCTTGTTAGTGATTTAGTGTACATAAATTGCTTAGTAGAAGTTAGTATATGATTGGAGTCGGTGGAATTATTAATTCAAGTTAGACTTGGACCTCGTGGTACATGCGTGGTCATGATTCATCTCGCTAAATAACATACTTGGTCTAAAGGATACTCGCTACTTATATCTTAAAAACACAATCTTACTGCTACTTTTTGTATTTTTATTGTGTTCTCTTTTTATTTTACCTACACATCTTTCCCAATTTCCCACTCTTTAGTCTTTTATCTGTGGTAAACTCAGTTTTTTGTTATTTTAGGTTTTTTTATTTTTACCCATTTATTATTGAAGGTTTGTCTTTCTTGGCTTACACATAGTATGCCAAGAATCACAAAGATTGTTCTCAGGACAGTTAATTCTTGCCTGATGGCAAAACGGATTTCATGGCATGAGATTACTTCACAAGAGGATTGAGGGTGGTATGGCTCTGATTTATGAGAGTTATCATCATCGTATCATGGGATAAAAAAAAAAAAAGGTGTGTTTACACGCTGAACTAAGAAATTGAAATGCCGTCTCAGCGGCCGATTTGGTCGCTGTTGTGGTGTCACGGATGCTAGTTCTAACAGAGGTTATTTAAGTTTATTTCCATCACAGTCTTAAAATTTGATAACTCCATAATCCAGTAAAAATGGGTTTCTAATAGTTCTTTATGGATTTTATTGAATATTTTAAGATAATTTGGTGAGTGATAGCCTATGATTTAAATTTCTGGGTGGTGGTGTTAGCAGTAAAAGTTTAGTAATATTTGTATTGATAGAATAAGTAGAATATATGCGCAACTTTTCTTCTCGTTTAATTGAATTTTTATCTATTATTATGAAATACAATCTACGTAGACTCATGTATTTATTCATTTCTGAATAAGTTTTCAAATTTTTTTCAGGGTCAAATTTTTAGAGATTTCTATTTTTAAATCACTTTGTTATTTACTCTCTATTTTTATTATTATTATTTTTTTCTCTTTATATGAAAACAGCTCAATGCAGACTGAAATATGTGTAATATAACATATTTATGTATAATTCTTGTATATTTGTACTTTCATAATATACTTATGTAAATACTTTTAATATAATTAAAACAAAAGCTCAAATATTTAAGTAAACTTTAGGAAAAATAAATAAAAATTCTAAAAATAAAAGAACTCTGAAAGTCAAACTTCAGATCATGTTTAAATATATATATATATATATACACACCTAAGACTTGGAGGCCCTGGAGAATCCTAAGCGTGCTGTATGAGTGTAAAGAACTTTTGCCTGCCCTTTGAAAAAAGGAAACATTAGAAAAGTCGGTTGATTGAGACATTTGTAACAAAATACATGAACTAGTATGATTGATCTAGAATAAAACAATGTTTTCATGATAGATCTAGGTGAAAATCAGAAAAAGAAACAAAAAAAATACAGTCATACAAATTATTCGCAAAATCAGAAAGCTTTTATTAAATATCTACACCCAAATTCTGTGTGCTTTGCTTTTAGATTTGTAAATTTAAGTTGTTTGATGTGTCTAAGGCAGTTTGGAAGTTTATATACCTGGGTGGTTGAAAAGATGTCTTGCGGTTGGTCACAACTGATTCACGGCCGTTGTGGTTGGATCGTGTTGAGTCAGTGGCAAATCTCAATCTTACTTTGATACAAGGCTAACTCTGTTTGATGGCCAAGTTGCGTTGAGTTTTAAAATTCTAGACTGAACTTCTACGACCGAAGTAATCTTGTAGTTAATAAATATTTATCTTTATTTTCTTTTTTCCCGTCAGTTCTTGTACTTTGAATATTTTTTTTCTTAATTTGGGAGTTTTTGGTTCGTGATGCCATTATATTCTTGGTGCAGTTCGTTGTTTGTTCCGTACTTCAAGTACTTGCTCGATAGCTGTAGGCGACATCTTACGGTCACTGAAGATGCAACAATTGGTCTGACACGAAAGAAGAAGAAGGCTAAGCTTCAGGACGAAATCACTAACACAAAAGATGGAAATACTACATTATCACTTGGAATGTGGAATCTCCGGGCATTAGTTTTATCGTCCTTGCAGAAATGCTTTCTTTATGATACTGGGAGCCTGAAGTTTCTCGATTCATCAAATTTTCAGGTTATAGAACAATTGATTTTCAAAATATTTGTTTTGTTATGCTACATGGTTGCCATACTTATTTATTCCTTAGTTTAAGATTACCTCCTAGTCTGTTTTTGTATTTGTTTCAGAAAGTTAAAATTTTTGATGAACAAGATTATTGATAAATTGGATATAGTAATTTAACCTTGCTACAGTTTCCTGTCCGAAAATTTCCTTGAGGATTGAAGTTACTAATTTCATTGTTACTCCATGTGATACATTGTCATGTTGCGATTTTGGTGCTAAAATTATTGTCATGAACTTTTTTTCAAAGAGAACCCTGATTAGCTATGTGACTGTGACTTGGGATTATTTTGATGTTATTCAGCCCTTGCTCCATCATCTTGAATAACAAATACTCTGATTTCCTTGGGCACATACCTTGGTTGGTGATTCTTTAACTTTTAATTGCTTTGTTGTAGGTCCTGTTAAAACCAATTGTTTCACAGCTCACAATAGAACCTCCAGCTTCTCTAGAAGAGTATTCAAGCATACCATCTGTGAAAGAAGTTGATGATTTATTGGTTGCTTGTATTGGTCAGATGGCTGTTACAGCTGGCACTGACCTTCTTTGGAAGCCCCTGAACCATGAGGTAAACGAAGAGTCTCTCACACTTTCATTCTGCAATTGTTCTTAGCTATATATTTTGTCATCTGAGGCTTCAAATGATGAATTGTTCCTGTACTTTGTGTTCGGTCTTGATTCTTGGCAATAGATGCTATGGCCAAAATATGGACCCCTTTCTCTAAGCATCATGTAGAGTTGATCGTACTCCATCATCTTCATATTAATTATCATGTAGAGACCTTATGCCTGTATGATTCTTGAATGTTGAAGAATTAAGAGTGATCCAAGTGGTTGATTAGTGTCCCTGGGATTACTCTACCCTAGTTTATAAAAGCATAGAATGAGAGGTGAGAGCGCTGAGAATCCTTTCTTGGTTTTAAGATGGGTGCTTATTCTTTTTCCTGTCAAATAATTCAGGCTTTCATCTTTGTCAGCATAGAATTTATTCTCACTTTCATTGCCTGAAATATCTAGATCATGTTGTTACCACTAAATTTCAAGGTATCATTACCACTTTCATCTTTTTCAACATTTATAATGCTTAAAAACCAAATCAACATTTGCACTAAGTGGGTAATGGAGGTTGGACTTGGTCCAATAGTCAATTTTCTGCTCGTAGAATTTGTGGTAGACTTGACGGGTTTGGTGAATGGGCAGGGACACATTCTCCATCCCACATTCTGCTCTGCCGTGCCGAAACTTGGCTTTGTTAGATTCGCCAAATTTGTCACCTTCAGAGCCTCTTATATTATTGTTTCTGGAATAAGGTGATGCAGCAGCGGATAGGAGTGATTCGAAATCAGAATTCAAGTAGAATAAGAAAGAGATTGGGAGAGAAAGGGAAGAAGAATAGAGGGAAGAGAAGAAGAATTCACAAGAGAGGAGGAATTAAGATGGAGAAGAAATCATGATAATCTCAAAATTCAATATCAATAATAATCATCAAAAGCTGTCTTTCACAATGTCTGAACCAAGATTATATAGGCATCGAAGAAAAACCCTAATCAAACTATTACCATAAATAGAAATCCTAAAATCAACTAATAATAATAAAAGTCAAAAACCCTAATTCTATCTTTCTTTCCCACGTCTCCGATAATAGTTGTGGGTCGTATGGACTTGAAGCTCTTGGGCCAGGCCCGGTTCTTCATCATAAGGTCTATAGAATTTAATGGGATTATTACTGGACCAAGATGTATAAAATTTAATGGGATTCTCTTGAAAAATTTGCTGAATGTTGTTTTGGCGCAGGGGAGCAATGAGTAATTGTTGTCAACAAACTAGATCCTTTTGTCCCTTTCTTTGTGGATATTGTTTTGGTTTGGAGGATCAGAGTGGGATTAGGTGCAAATAAATGGCTCTCTCTCCCCACCCACTGGGAATGCAGTTTTTGATATATTATTGATTCTGGGTTCCTTTGTGAATTTTAAATTCTTGCAGGTGCTTATGCAAACTCGTAGTGAAAGGGCACGATCCCGTATTTTGGGCCTGAGAGTTGTCAAGTACCTCATAGAGAATCTGAGAGAAGAATATCTTGTATTCTTGGCTGAGACCATCCCCTTTCTTGCCGAATTGCTCGAGGATGTGGAGCTACCTGTGAAATCTCTTGCACAAGAGATTCTAAAGGAATTGGAATCCATGAGTGGTGAAAGCCTCCGGCAGTATCTCTAATGTTACTAACTGACCAGAAGTTTGTCTATTACCTGAACCCATTGACAATGGATGGTCTCCGGACTCTCTATCCTGATGATGGCGATGGGATTATGGAACGCATGGTTCCAAAACCTGGTTGAAGTTCAACAGTTTCAAGTTCGTCCCTAGAGCTGCTGCTTTCATTCTTGCCTCTGCGTGGTAGACTGGCTTTACAGCTGGTGAGACAGTTGCCCCCAGTTTTTGGCTTTGTTGCTTTCTTGCCAATATGCAAGCTGTGACAAGTTGTACTATTGGAGAAACAGCTACTATTGGAGAAACGGCAATAACGTAATGATGAGACTGAAATACAACCGTACACCTTTTCCATTTATTTTGTTTTACGATAGTACATCTTTTGTACATATATGCTGTCTTGTGCAACTATTTTTCTTTGACGGGCTCCTGTTAATGATGCAAAGCCTCCGTTAAGGTTCTGTTTAGATGATTCTAAAAGGGGGGTTTTTGTTTTTGTAATTTTAGGGTAAGTGAGAAGTTACATGATTCTAAAGTTTGGAATGATAGGGAATTATGTAATCGGCCATTTTGACAATGTTCCATGAGGAAAATAGAACTGTTGGGTTGAGTTTCCCAATTTGCTATGATGCATTTAATTTAATCATGGTGGCACTTTCATGGATCTGTAGATTTGTAAAATATGTTTTGCTTCTAACATATTTATAAATATTGAATCAGTGAACTGTTGCGGTATATTATTCCATTATTCCTGCTCATAGTTTCAGAACAGAGGTTGCAGAAGATTGGATATGTACAAGTAGCCCAACCTCACGACCTATGTTATATATGTTTTACCATTCTTCTGGTAGCTTAGGTGCCCACTAATAACAAAAATGGTCCTCTATTAGTAGAAAAGTAAAATAAATTTGCATTGCAAGTAAATATATATTACTCTACTTCGCTCCAAAGCAAGTCATGATGTTTTTGATTTTTTTTTTTTTTTTTGAAGGAAATGATATTTCTAACAGAATATGTTTGAGCATTTTTCTTCAAATTTATTTCCCATAGTTTTCGTATCTCGGATATTACCATTGCTCTAGTTTTAATAATATTAACTGAAAATTGAAGAAAGCCGGGTGCAATTTGGGTGGCAAAGTCGAGCCTAACCTGATTTTTTTCGGGCTTTGGCAACCATTTTGTTGGGTTTTGGTTAAAAAATGTCAAACCAAATTTTTTATTAGGGTTTGGCTTTGATTGAAGTGTAATTCAATACCAATTCAAAATTTAATATTATTTTTTTACATATTTTTTAATTTTAAATATAAAAATAAATCTATATATATGTATATATATATCTTATTTAAATTATGACCAGCTTGTTCTTTTTAACTGCCTTTATATAAATTTTAATTTATTGCATGTCAATATTTTGGAGAATTAATTTTTTAAGAATTAATTTTTAATTTTTAAAAAATGTGCTTAAGTATCAAGCTCTTACTTTTCAAAGGTGGTTGAGGTATGAGCATAAATACCAACTAAGAAAAAAAAACATAATCTAATTTGAAACTAACTAAAATATACTCTAAATTTTCAACGGAAGATTGGCCATAAAGATAATTTAACTTTGACTTTGTATCTCAAATTTTCAAGCCAAATTACAAACACGTGTTTGAAAATTCAAAGATGAATTGTGAATTTAGAATTTGAGAAGTTAGAATTGATGATTTCATAAAATTGGGTTGAGCCTCAACTCGACTGAATTGCAACCTGGTCTAAAATACAAAGTTTCTAACTTATACGAATGGAGGGGTATCTCCACCCACTAATCCCTCTGATGAGTGACAAACCTCAATGTCACGTGCCAATTTAATTTTTAAAAAATAAATCAATTTGAGTCTAGCTTCTAAGTTAAATTCATAAAAAATCTATATCAAAGTATCTTCAAAGAGGACAGGAGAAGAGGGAAGGGGTTCGAGGCAGGAGCGGGCAAAAATTGTATGTGAATAAAAGTATGAGTGTGTTTTTTGAAAAAAAAAAAAAAAAAAAAAAAAAAAAATGGTATCCTCAAAGGAGAATTGAACTATAGTTACTCTACATCTTCACCTTATAAGTTGCAGTTCCTGCATATACGGTAATGCACTTATATAACATGTGCACACAAGCGGGTGCACACATATATATATATATATATATATATATATATATATACATATACATATACATATACTTCTTTACATATAGCAAATTTTGTTTTCCTGTAAAAAAAATTTTTTAGGTAAGCACATTTTGTATCCGTGTCACTAGTGTTACATGCATGATGAGTTACATACATGAAAAATGCATGTACGGTGAAACTAATTATCTCAAAAACACCAACACTCCCTTAATAACATTATAATAAAAAATCGGTGGTACAAGTCTTTTTAAGAAAAATAAATAAATGTGAGTGAGTTTGTGGCCAAAATAAAAAATAAATAAATAAAAACTTCTCATCTGACATTATTCATTGCAATGTCATGTATTTTGATTAGGTTAAGAAGGGATACTAAAGACTAGGATTAAAACTTTTATTCATTTCACGTACAATAATATTGCCTGAACCCGGCCGACGCACGCAACCGTCTTGGGCTGAGCCTGGGCTCAGTCTTCCCCGATAAACAGAGTCCAGGTATATGGATGTGGCCTGGACGAACTCGACCATACTGGATGGTCCCAAACAAAACATAATATGGGCTTGCCCAGTTGGATGGATAACGGCCCAACAGTGTTGAGCTTATGGTGGAAGTTCCCACATTATAGCATTGCTCAACCTTCATTTATTTAAAAATTTAAGAAACCTTTTCATTCACTGCAGTAATTGATTCTCTACATTAATGTCAACCAACAGAACCCATGCAACAGTGTATCGTCTGTGTTTAATAATTTCCCACCTTCCAAACGACTACAAACACACACATATAACATGCACATCTACAGAAAATAAAGTAACAAAATATAGGGTTTTGTATATATAAAACTGATTTGCATTATGCATGAAATCTGATGAGCTTATATTGACATTATATACAATGCTCAACCCTTAAAAAACACTCAATCCTTAAGCTACATATGTAATGGCACATGTTCTCTGCAAGTATAAACCTGTGCTAACTTTTCTTCTGTATCTTTAAACTAAGCATAAAAAAGGAGGTAATTATACTAAGTGAACATAAAGTACCAATACCTAACTATTCTTCTCTCCACATTCATATCTCATCCATGGCCTCCTAGTCTTCATTCTATATAACATGGTTTACCTGCAACTTTTGAAGAGCTATATATATAGGAGGTGAAGTGGGGGTATTTTTGTAAATCCATCATCGATCACGCCACAAAATCTGGCAACAATTGAGCAGCAAACCTCTTCCTGTTCTGTATGTTCATGTCCTCATAACCAATGCTGGAATGAGATGGTTGTGGAGTGCTAATCCCATTATAATGCGCGTCGACACCTCCCATTTCGAGTCTACTTCCCAGCTGATGAATGTGTTGGCTGGGGATGTAGTCTTGTTGGGATCCTGACAGAGAGAGGTTTTCGCAATGGGGAAGGCCAAGAGTGAGAGATACGCCATTCCCATGAAATCTCGTCCCCAGTTGCTCCGGATTAAACCTTTCGAATTCTCCAATGGAGTAGGCACCAAATCCATTCCCATCAGTACTTGTTGTGCCCGCCATAAAGGGGTGGTAGCTGTTCTTGGTTTGTTTCTCTCTGCTTCCAAACTTCTCATTCATTGCTTTACTCGACTCCCCGGGTTTCATGTCCATGTCCATGGAGAGAATACTACTTGGAGAATTCTGCATCTCGTAACTTCTTGGCTTCTTTGGGCTTCTTTGAACGACGTTTTCGATGTCTGATGACCCGATGAGACTGAAGCCTGCCTGAGACTGAAAGGACCCTCTAAATGGAGATGTTGAAACAGTTGAGTTGGAAACTTCATTGGGAGACGCATTTTGGTTGATTGATTTTTCTTGTTTGGATTGGAAAGAACTAATTTGATCCATTCGAGCTGTGTTAGTCTCTTGTGGACCGGTGGATTTTGATCCTGATTCCTTGTTGCTTCCAATTTTTCTTGTGTTGTCCTCGGAACCATTTTGTTCTTGATCCTTTGTTTCCTCCAAGTACATTTCCTCAACCATTGGCTTCCAAAGCCGAACTCGAGCGTTTATGAACCAGTTAGACACCTGCAATTTCATATGATAAATCTTCTATTTTCTTGGGTTTTTGTAGCAAAGAAAAAGAGAGAGAGAAATCCAAGTGTGAAGCCAACAATTTATAAAATCTCTAATTGACATATACCTGGCTCCTAGTAAGCCCTGTTTGTTTGGCAAGCAAGTGTTTGTCTGAATCCTTAGGGTATCTGCAAGCCAAAATAGTTAATTTAATTTCACATAAAGTACTACTCTATAAAACACCCCGGTGTAGAAATTGTTAAAAGGACAATACTATTCAGACTTAATAGTCTAACCGAAGAGTCTAGTTGAGCATTTCTTATTCATTAGATGCATATATAAGAAGCATTATCCAATGGATAAAAATCTCACGGCTAGACTCCTCGATTATACTATTAGGTCTAAGATGACTGATTTAGGAACAGAGAAAGCACTTACGGGTGAAGGAAGTGTTCGAAAAGCCAAGCACGAAGAACTGAAACAGCTCTCTCAGGCAATCCTCTCTGGGGTCTCCAGGCATTGTGCTGGATCATTCCCAACTGTTGTAGCGCCCGTTGTTGCCGGAGCTGATGATCCACAAACTTCAGCCTTGAGCCCTCAACTTTCCCTCCTAAGCAATCTTCTTCCCCTAGGCTCTTGCTTGTGGCTTTGATTTGTCCAGAAATTGCATCTTTCAAACACCGGAATTGCTTCGATATGGTTTGTAAAGCAAGGGCAGTGTATGATTTCGCCGACCCAAATCCTGCAGCCTGCTCAAATGAAGCCACCACAATTTGCATTTGCTGGTGGTACTGCCTGTATCTTTGCTCCACCTTCAAATATTTAAGACACATCAAGAATTAAAAAAAAAAAAATCAAATAAACATATTTTTCCACGGTTAATTAATTGAATTAAATTTATTACTTTGATATATAAATCATGTTCTCTGTAAGCAATTACAACTTTTTCTTCCCAAATTGCAACTACAAACTCTAAAAGAAGTAAGAAATATAAGAGAAATCCCGCTGTTAGGATTCTCTGCTTGACTATTAAGTCTGAATAACATTGTCGGCAACTCAAATCAATGTAAACCGTACCCAATTCTAGTTGACAGAAGTTTTGCTTGAAAACCACAACAAATCTTAAAAATCAACCCATTTATTTTATTGGTTTTTGCTTATAATGATTAGAATTAAATACGACCAAATGATCATATTTTGAATCTTTGATTAATAATTATAAAGAAAGAAAACAATGAAATTGTGTACCTCATCAAGCATGCTAACAAGTTTGGCCTTTTTCATCTGAAGCTCCTGTCTTTGTGCTGTGGTGAGCTCAACCACACGTTTCATGCTACTCTCTCCTCCACTCGAACTCTCTCCGGCCACCGCCGCCATCGACTCTCTGCCCATTTTCGCCTTATTTTTAATTTCATCTGATGAGTCCTCCTTAATTCCCTTCCCAACATTCGCAACTTCGTCTAGAAGCTGTTGTGCAGCCTTCAAGTACTTGGAACCCAACATCACACTTTGCATACCATTAATTCCATTTGATACCGACGACGACGAACCACCCGATCCCCGGATATCGTTACCGCTTGTCGGTGATATGACCGTCACTGGAGCCTGTATTGGAACGTCACGCTCATCGGGGAATGACTTATAAGCGGGCCTTTGGGGCGAAAGGCTCAACGACAACCCTTGTTGTTGTGTCGGTGACACCACCGGCCTTCGAAACCCCATCTGCGACGCAACATCGGCCGTGGCAGCGGTGCTGTTGCTAGCCTGAATATGTGGATGTGGGTGGCTTCCGGCGGCAGTTTGATCGCCGGAGCTCCACAAATTGTAGTGGAAACGAGGGACAACACCATGCAGGACCGGAATTTCGTGCTGGGAATGTACCGACTGTCGGTTCAGATCGTCTGAACTGGCGGATCCAACGGCTGTAGTGGTGGCGGAGGGAAGAGGCACCCCGAAGAAGTGTTGGTTGTGGGAAGGCGGCGCGTGAGATGCACCGGTGGCGGCGGAGTTCAAGAAAAGCATGTTTCCGGGTGGTGGTGGTTGTTGTTGTTGTTGTTGATGTTGATGTTGTGTGTCAGAGTAGCCTACGTAGTTAAGGTTCATGAGATAAAGTGTTTGCAGAGTATCAGCTTGGATTTCAGAGCTCCCATGAAAGTAAGTACTTGCCATAGATCTCCAAACCAAACTGCAACTATAATTAGCCTTCAAAATTAACCTAATTCGATGTGTACCACAAGATCATGCCAAATTTATTCCCAATTCGATCCCGAGAAATCCCTGCAGTAAGAAAGCAAGAAACTAATGATTAATCCATGAAATACCCTAAAGATAGCAAACATTTTAAAAACAACACATTCACCATAAACTCAAAACTATACATCATCCATATCATAAAATTTGAACAAATATATATTTATAAGCTAGATATAGAGCTTTTACAGAAGAAGAAGAAGAAGAAGACGGTATATATATATATATATATATATAGGTATACTTACAGTGAAAGAAAACCCATCAAAGATCAAAACCCATCAATTAAAAATTGAAAAAACAGAAGAAAAAGGAAAGAGATGTAAAGCTGTGAAAGATGATGAAGAGAGAGAGAGAGGGAAGGGATTAACTTGTAGCATAAATCCAATAAAAATGAGTAACATAGATGAGGTAGCAGCTATGGGGTATAGGAGGAGTGGAGAGTATATGCACACTACTTACTGATCCCATGTTTGTCTAACTGTCTATATAAACATGGTAGCTGAATGAGTCCTGTAAGTTGCTCTCTTGTCAGACTCAATTTCTGCAAACTCACTCATACTCTAAAAGGAAATGGAGAAAAAGAGAGGTGGGGTTTACACCTAAAGAGTCTCATTCCAATAAAGATGCCCTTATGACATTTTGTGGTTTATTTTACTTGGATATGGAAATAGAAGAAAAGATAAAAGAATTGTAGAGCTAGTGAGTAATAATTGAGAGTATAATAGTATTGTTTTGATTTCGTACACAGTACAGCCTCCTCCTATTGTTTTATCTTTCTATCACTGCTTTGTGTATGTACATGCAATAGGTAAAAAATTTGAAAACTTCATAGTCACATATGATATATGTATGTATGTGTGTGTATGTATATATATATACATGGAGAGAGAGATGTTAGAACCCTACAAAGTGGGTCAGGATAAGCATAAAGTTGAAAAACGAGGAAACGTCTACTTCCACCAAAGCTTATGATAATTGAAAAAGAGGGTGAGTGATGGCCCTTGCTTTCCACAATTCAAATATCTCTTTAGTTTAATATATGGTATTTATTTGTTTTATATTTATTTGGTAATTTTTGCAGTTGAATTCAAAAATTAGAAAATAAAATAAAACGGATGATGGTGTATGAATGAAGTGATAATAAAACGAGATTAAGAATTTCCTTAATTTGTAGCGTTTTGTAGACAATATTTGAATCCTTTTAATTTATTTTTTTCCCCAAAATATCTCCTCCAATTTAGACCATCTTCAATGTAAAATGTTATTTTTTTATATCAAAATTATATTTTGAGAGGCACTGCAGTGTCAAAATATTATATTTTACCAATTTTACTCCAATGGTGCATTTCATTCAAAATACTATTTGACGTGTATTATTTTCATTCACTTGCTATATTTTGAGAAACTCACTGTATGAGAAAAAAGAGACCTCTCAATAATTTTTGAGAGCTGCTATACATGATAGTACTTTTGATAATCTCAAAATATGAGACGTCTTTTGAGAGTCTATTAGAGTGTATTATTTACTTCTACCTGTTATATTTTGACTTTCATAGGCCCTTTGAGAGGACATTAGAGATACTCTAAAGGTGTTATTTTTTGACTTGTTAAAAATATCGTGTGAATTGCATAAATCCTTCTTGACTAGGTAAAAGTATTTTAGTAAAGTAACACCCTAGCTTACTACTTAGAGGGAATTTTTTGATAAAAAAAAAAAAAAAAAAAAAAAATTTAAATTATTCCAAATCGCTATATATGGTCAAGAGAGAGTTTAGTGCAGTTCATCTTAAAAATAAATTAGTGTATTGCTAATGTTGATTTTAGCTCTAAAGTATGAATTTGTAACTTTTGTATTACTGAGTTGTTGGAGCCACAAACTCGTGATGTGGCCTAGTGCTTTTCTCTCCTCCCATACAAACCTAACTAGGTTTTCTAGTGTGGTACTGTCACACATATGTACTTAATTCTTCGTACAAGACTGTCACACATATGCATATAAAAAGAAGTTTTACTTTATATACATCTGGCAAGAGGAGGTTCACTTTTGCTACAGTGATCGCTTTGGAGTTTGAGAAGCTTACCCCACAGTGAAATGGATTCTACTAAAAAAAAATTTAGTCTTTTATTTAAAAATAATAATAATATATATATAATTTTTTTGTATGGCAAAAAAAAAAATCATATGTGTATTAACAAATGAAGAGATCAAAGAAATTTTCACACTTTGTACAGCAAACAAATGAGTGGTTTTAGACTGTTTCGTTTTTATACTTTTCTTTTGGTACATATAAGATCAAGAATCTGCACGAGAGAGGGAAGGTCACTACTTCACTCGATTGTTGCTCATATATATATATATATATATGCTGTAAGTTGGATAATTACCACAATTCTTGTTTGGGATGTCCCGTGTTTAATGCCATAATAATTAGAAAGATTATTCCTTTTAGCTAGGTTCATGCATTACTAGAATCATTAATTGCGTCGTACCCTGACATTTATCACTTGGCTTTTTTTGGTGGGATAGGTTTTGTAGGTGTCTACTGTAGCCTTATAGGTGTCCCCCTAGTACTGCTCACATGGCAAACATAACACTGCTCTCACAGCAAACCATAGAAAGTTTGAAAAAAATAAAAATTGTGGGGTCATCCATAAGTTTTTCCAAACATGTAAATCTTGAAACTCTAATGTTATGTTTGGGAGAAAAAAAAGAATGAACAGGGATGGATAAGAGGCAGGGAAAAGAGGGAAAAAGTAAAGAAGGAAGAAATGAGTAGGGAGGACAAGAGAGAGGGAAAGAGAGAGAAAGTAAGGAGGGATTGGATGTTTCATTTCTCTTGTCCCTATCCATTATATCTATTTTTTTATTCCTCCAACCAAACAAAACAAAAAAGTTCAAAATTTTCTAAATAATGACAGAGAGTTTGACAGTCAGATAAATTTAAAATAATAATGGCATTATTGTTTAGTCACATCCTTTACAGAGTGTTGTTTGACTTTCAAACACTAAATCATTATTTAAGAAATTTTCACTCTCAAACATCTCACTAAAATGTAAAAACTAATTTTGTCTTAATGCATAGAATAAAAATAACAAATAGGCAATGTAATCACAATGAATGAGAAAACTAAGGTTGTGTAGCCTGATGATACCTCCTTTGCCCTTCAAAATAGAAGATGAAAGTTCTGATCGAGTCCGTGTAAGGACAAATAAGTGCATAAGTTTCTTGCAAATTAAGAAAAGAAAAGAAAAGAAAAGAAAAAGTGGTATTATATTTGATTATACTAAATCAGATAGTGTGAGTTGCACAATGTAGAATGGTTGTGGAATATAATATGGATAAACAACCTAAAAAGGGTGAATATGTTTATCCAATTTTTACTTAAATTAAATTTACTAAAATAAAAGTAAATTAAATCACCCACAAAATAATAACTTAAAGTGCAAGTAATGTAAAAAATAGAGATAGGGAGACATCGGGTTTTTAACGAGGAAACCTAGTTGGAGAAAATCATCCAGACATCGAAAAAATTTAGGAGAATGTCAAGCGGTCTCGAGCGAAAATATCCACTATAGATGAACCAAAGTATATACAATGGTTTTCGACTCAATTTCACACCTCTTCACTCTACCAAGAACCAATCACTGAACTTCTTCAGCTTCGCGACTTTACCATCCAACAACACTTGAATTCAGACTTGCTCCCTTAATTCCTATAGAAGGATAGCTAGTAGATCAACAAGCACTCTCTGAACACTTTGATCCCTTCAAAGTGTGATCTCTTTATTATTTTCTTCAACTCTAAACTTTTAAAGTAGAAAGACAAATTATTTTTTATTACCAATAGCAATATGATCCTCAATCATGCAAACTTTGATTAACCATTGAACAACAACTTAAATCACTCAAATGTATCACTGTGTGCTTTCAAAAAAAAAAAAAATAATATATATTCTCTCACACAAATGCTTTTTTTTTTTAGGGTTTTAATATCTTCTATTGAAAAAGTCGTGATTAATTGTGTGTGAATAATAGTTTATATAAAAGATTAAAGAGACCGATTAAGGTTAGAAAACCATTTTAATTTCATACTAAAACATTCCTCTAAATCAGACTTAAATGTAATTAAAGTTGGCAAAAACACATTTCTTTTCCTGTCCAAGATAAGTTCAACCGATTGAACTTTTCCCGAGTGCAGTTTTAATGCGGGGAATCCAATCGGTTGAGTTTAGAGATTCAACCGGTTGGAAATATCCTGAGCTATTTTATTGCAAAATTTTAATCGGTTCCAATATGAAATTGAACCGTTTGGAATCTCTAGAAACCCTAAAATCTCTATCTATCTTCAACCACACTATATATGGTCCTCACTCACTTACATTGACTAAATGTTATTCATAGTTGAACAGGAATAAAGCATAAATAAAAAAAAGGGTAAAGTACAGAAAACTCCCCTCGGCTTGTAACATTTTCCAGTAAATCCCCCTTGTCTATTTTTTTACCAAAGAACCCCCCTCGACTTGTAACCTTTTTGTAATAAATTCCTTATCTAATTTTTTATCAAAGAACCCCCATCAACTATCTTAAGGGAGTAAAATAGTTGATATTTGAACCAAAATGTCCTTTTATTTAAATCTTAATTCTCCCGAATTTCAAAAATTCATATCTCACAAACCGTACATTTAAAAATTGTAAATAATATATGCATGAAAAGCTTATCAAATAAGGATTCCATAAATATAAGATTTGCACAACAAACCTTCATAACTAGAGAAAAAGAGGAAATTTAAAAATCTACTCCAATAATCTTATTTTATTTTTTAAAAATAAAATATTCGAGATATTTGCTAAATTTTTTTCAGAATTATTCATTTACATATGGAGCCGAATATATAAAAAATTTAGCCCAACAGATATCGATTTCATGAGATATCATATTTTACATCAAAATATTTTTGTTCTTTTATAGACTCGCCATTTAAAAAATAATAATAATAAATATTCGATATCTATTGGGGTTATTTTTTTATATATATGTTATGCTCCATATGAAAATGAATAATTTTGAAAATTATCTTGCAAATAACCCGAGTATTTTATAAAAAATAAAATAGAAGAAGATTGTTGCAGTAGGCTTTTAGATTGTCTATTTCTATCTGGTTATGAAGTTTTATTAATAAATCTTACATTTCTGGAATCCTTATTTTATAAGCTTTCCGTACATATATTATTTGCAATATTTGGATGTACGGTTTGTGAGATATGAAATTTTGAAGTTCGAAAAAATTATTCCCTCCGTCCCATAAAAAAGTATCACTTTTAGAGAACCGTGATTCTCACAAATTAAATTGATACGGTTTTCGAAACATGACACTATTTTTGGGACGGAGATAATAAGATTTAAATAAAAGGACATTTTTGTCCAAATATCAATTCTTTTACCCATTTAGATAGTTGAGGGGGATTCTTTGATAAAAAATTAGACACGGAAAATTTATTGGAAATGAGTACAAGTCGAGGGGAATTTTTTGATAAAAAATTAGACGAGGAAGGTTTACTGAAAAAGGCTACACATTCCGGGAGATTTTCTGTACTTTATCTAATAAAAAATTATAACTCAATTCTGGCTTTATTTTAATCACCAAAATACGCCAATTACGGTATCTAAATTCCCTTTTAG